AAATTCGACTGGAAACGTATTGGACCGTATAACGTTAAACGAATGGTCAATCCCTATGCCTATGAATTAGAACTTCCTCGTTCGATGAAAATACATCCAGTATTCCACGTTTCGTTATTGTCGCCCGCAGCCAATGATCCCTTGCCCGGTCAAGAACAACTACCTCCACCTCCAGTTGAAATTGAAGGACAGGAAGAGTGGGAGGTTGAAGATATCTTGGATTCGAGGAAACGAAGAGGAAGATTTGAGTATTTGGTACGGTATATGGGATATGATGAAGCCTCCTGGCAACCACTATCGGACCTTGAGCATTCACCTAATATTGTCAAACGATTCCACGAACGTTATCCAGGAAAGCCTAAGCCTACCAGGAGGTAGGCCTTAGAGGGGGGCGTGGTCTGTAACGGCAGCTATGTATTTCGGCTAGGTGATGAACTGGGATAAAGGAAGGAGGTATTGTGCAGTGGAATTAGGATTTGTAATGGAGACTTCTGTTATGTTCTTTGGGTTTCTGTTATGTGAAGGTATTAGTCATCGTTGGATTATGGGTGGATATATAAGGGGGCGTTGTTTCGTGCTTTTGTCTGTTTTCCTTCTTCTCTTTCTTCTTTACGCAACCTCTGTATTTATTCTACGAATACTATTCTTTGTCCGCACTACGTCATAGGGCTCCAATCGGTTTATCATACCAGGTAGAGCCACCCATAGTCTATAGTCAAAGCATACCTTTACGTCTACGTCCACGTCTACGTCACTACCTAGGTTGTATTCTTTGGCACCACAGTCTATCGTCTACGGTCCCCGTGATAGTAAAGGTGTAGTTGAGGTGTGGTGAGGTTGCAGTTACCCTACTGCCAAGCCTGTTCCACTTTGTGATTGCTTGGCGCATTTTACATACTAAAATACCGAATTTCAAGCTTGAATAACTTTTTAACCAGGAGAGATATCAAAAATCTGGTTGGTAAAATTCTTCTTCATCACTAGTACTTCAATTTTACCAACCAGATTTTTCATAATTTATTTCGTTGGAAAGTTATTCTACCTCGACCTCGCCCCAATTTTTTGACTACCTTTATGATTGGGCGCACCATACATCAGAGAGTAAAGATAATGCATTAGACTACGCGACTTACTCGCAGCAGGTAACAGTACCCGAAAATGCACGTCCTAATCTGCAATTTCCATTGGAGTAGAAGTCAAAAATACACCAAAAACTTGCAGCTGCATATTCGGGTACTTCATGCCTGCCGCGAATACACTCGAGATGTGCGGCAAGGTAGTCAGTTAGGGTTAGGGTTATTACTAGCGTTGGGCAGTTTTGTGGGCTGAGTGGTCATTGACACTATGATTAGGATTCCATTTTAAGGATAATTACGTATCTGGTAACTTAAATATATATATGGGAGAACAACGATGGAAGGGCACTTATTGCCTGCCAAGTGTGAAATTACTACATGTAGCTAATGCTATTTGGTGTGCACGTGTTTTGTAACACCGAATATATTCTCTATCCAAATGAGGATGATATAGTACCTGAGTGCATGTAGGCTGTTGTTGAGAGTATGTACCCGGCTCTAAAACCGCTCTTTTGCCATAAGTGCCGATAGAAAAAAGGTTCTAGGCGAATACACGAGTACATATGCAAAATTCCGGGATGCAAGGAGAGAACCGCGTAAGTACTGTACGTCGTTCGCTGTGTGGTGACGGATCTGTACTTTGTGTTGACGGACAGCGACTCTCATCGTATAGATTGGAGATTGTATATATACGGCACGCTTTCTTGTGGTTATCTAACACAATGGTTAATTTGGGCTCACAAGATGCCACCGATAAATCCCCTATTATATAAGAGGTCGGGACAAGAAAATCTTCACAAATGGTGAGAGTCAATTGAACCGGGCCGCACATGCGGGATAGAAGACCCACTACTAAAACCTTACTCTCAGAGCGGTCAATGTTTATCCTTGGCACAGTCTTCGTCCTGCTATAAACCCAAGTCAAACTCCACCCCTTTCCCTTCTATACATATATGGCTCGCATACTTCCGTTCTTGCTCCGGCAAGGATTCAGCTGCAACTCTCTCTTCGTGGCCCCCTATTCACCCAATGCTTTTTGAATTGGGAACATGGCCTTATCCGTCGGTTCCCCCTTTTAAATCCTTTTTAGAAGGAAACCGCGAAGTTACAGTTGCAGAATTCTTTTAGGGTTAGGGTTTCTTTGTACATACCTACTAGATAAACGAAACGGTTGAAAATTTGGATATATGGTGGCCAATTAATAGCTAGCTACATGTGTATGTGTAGTGCAAGTTCAATTGCCATGGCTGTGTTTTGCGATTCATGATGCGGTGATTGAATCTGTAAACAGTCACCTTGGATTCCACATCGCCGCGCGCCCTCCTGGGTATATTAGAGACGGGGTAAGGTTTGCAATGATCGGAATGACTATAAAATAGTGCGTCTTCATGAAATCTCACTCACGTGAGTGCTATACACATTAGTATTAGTAGTAAATCCGGCATATTTAATTGCTAATTTCTAGACTTCAGCTGCGTAAATAAATTCCCATGATACCGCATATTCTAGTAAGCATGAGGGGTAGCGAACTGTTCTCAGCCAATACCCGCACGCACACCAATGGCAACACCATAGCCGAATGAGTTTAATACTACATGTACATGTACCTAGTGGTATATAATACCATATAATTACTATTATATACATTCCGGCACGAGCCGCGCTCTGACATTGATGGTTCCACGAGCCCTTGAATTGTGCGATCTAGGCTTGAAAGACTGGCCACCTTTTGTAAGTACTCCTCGTACCATATATCTCGTGATGTAGAACTCGCCCATTACTATTTACGCTATATATGAATAGTCACGAGAAAGAAAGAAAGAAAGAGAGAATTTGTGTTTTTACGTACTTATCGCGAAACCATATATACCCACATCCTGGGGACTACTGATATCCTGACCTTGAAATCGTACCTCGACGGCCAACAGAGGAGCATAGATTTATAGCTGCAAGTTCTACGGCATCCGTCACTCTAGTATAGCTTGCTGGTTTATCCCACATTCACAAAAGAAAACAAAATAAGCGTAAAATACTGGAATCTGTGTGTAGATATAACCCTAGCCCTTTATCTGAATGAGAAACCACGCCGTATCTACGTAACTTAATTGCCATAATTATTTGGAGCCAGATTATTTGTATTATATTAGTATGTTATAATATAGCAATAAAGTTAACGTAGGCCAGGGTCAAGAGCTGTAAACAACCCATGATTCTTTGTACCCTATAGTCGGATCTTCAATTTTTTATACAAGTATATACCTGCAGCATGTATAGTCAAGTCGTCACACACGGTAATTGGTGAACATCGGAGTTTAGTAGAGTGATGCACGTGCCTAAATGTAACACTGCCTACTTGTCGGGAAACCCCAGACCTGAGGTTATCAAGGTCAGGCGTTTCACATAAGCTATATTAGGCTCTAACTAAAAGGCTCGTTGTAGATGCATCGATGTCTCATCTGAAAGATGATGTGAAATTTGAGATAGCCAGTACGAAGGAGAGGGTACGAAAGCAAAAAAAATAGAAATCTACCGCACAACGTCGGATTGAAGTACGATTTGTATAGTTGCTGGGTGATGCGTACTCGGGGAGTCGAACCCCGTTCTCCCGCTTGGGAAGCGAAAATCATAACCGTTAGACCAAGTACGCTTCCTGTAATAGTTCTAAAAACATTTTATAATCAAAAGATTCATCATATATCTTCGTGAATAAAAAACTGACACCGTTACAAAAAGACTACATGTGACTACATTAGTATTCTATCCAGTAGTCTACTGCGTTCAAATCTTTGATGTCATCTTCGTTCCCCGAGACAAGCACGGGCCCAAAACATCCCATATCTCAAGTCACTCCTGCACATACCCGCAAGATAGAAGCTTCCGAAATCTATCAAGCAACGTGTCAACTTCTCAGAAGCCCATCGAATAATGCGATGGATCTATGTCTGAAGAAATGCCAAATCTTGGTATTTCCCTCTCATGTATTACAAAGTAGGCCCTGATATGTCGTTATACTGGGGCTGAAGGGAGATATATGTACGCTATTTATATCCCGGAAATACGCAGAGCTGAGAAAGTGCATCTCACACATGCTGTACTCTAATCAATTGCAAAGTTGGGCAGTTCAGGACAATTGGAAGAGAGTATTGATGCATGTAAGGATTGTAGAGTACAGATACGATGATCAGCGGCAACCTATGGACGTCCATGATTACCCCGACTTGCATCCTACTTAAAACATAAGGTTAAATCGCGATCAAAGCACACTTTGCATCTTATCACACATGCAGCACATATGGGGTGCTAATTCGATCAATACGGCCCGCTGTATCTATTATTCCCTGGTAATGATAACCTCTTCTGTTATTGAAGATCTGCAAACCACTTTTATGTAGGACTGAAACTTGGCAGATGATCATGGGGAAAATCTTCAGCCCAAATCATGGAACACCGGGCGTCACTCGTTCACGGATATCAGCTGAAAGCTGCACACCTCCAAAAACAAGTTTACCAAATGCGTCATGGGACTGCGCTTAAGAACAGCGCAGAGCCAGGTAGGTAATAGGTACGCGAGATCTTCGCAATGATCCAGTACCAGAGGAACGGGCGAGGCACTGCAGGGAAGGTGCCGGTTGGGCCAGTTCCCCGAGATGTTTGAGACACGGACAATGCGAGTCTATTCAGATGGGGGATTGGGGTTTTCCTAGGCTGATCCTCAACAAAAAAAGAATGTAGATTATCCCTAGGAAAGAGAGTATGATTTTGGATGTATGAATACCCAAATGCGTTATGATGTCTTTCGGCAGACAAGCGGCCGAATACCTGTGGTGTATCTCCTGTGAAGCCAGCTGAGTTGTTTGTCTGCTTCAGTCGATGCAAAGCTAGAAGTATTGTGCATCTGCCGGTACTCTGGGTCTGAAGCTTTGTCTACCACAGAAAGTCTAGAGAGTGCCAGTGATATCGCATCTCATTAAAGTTGTCCTTGCATGACTCTGATGTATAACTAGATGTCCCCCCCGCCAACCTGTTAGAGAGTTACGACTATTTTGCCCCTTCAGTCATTATCACAAGTATCGCTGGGAATTGGTTCTACATACACCTTATTTACCCGTTGTTGCTTTATATCGCTCACTGAAATCTGCTTATCGCGGTACCTGCACATATTAATTATTCCGAAGTCAAAAGTACCGAACTGCTCGTACCTGAATTGGGAAAACAATAGTATTAAGGCGTGCTTTTTACAATGTCTTCCACCATCTCTATCGTCGCGACGCCCCTGCCACTTGATCGGGAGCTCAAGCAGAAAAGCAAGCTATTGCTATCTATAGCCCCGACAAAAGGGCACCCACCAAGTAGCACAGCTTTCAGTCCCCCCCTAACACCCACCTCACCAACATCACTGACACTGTTCAGCGAAACATCCACAACCCCATCCTCCACAACATCATCTCCCTGTAAGAAGCGTTTGAGTTCAACAGTCAACCGAGCACCATTCCGGAAACACAACATCTGTAATTTTGTTCCGGATCTTCTGTCGTGCTGTGGTTCCAATATGAGGGGTGGTTTGTCGCCCATGAACGGGAGTGGAGACGGTAGTCGTGTAGGGACACCACTACCACGGTTCTTTGGTGAGTCCCGTTGATTTTTGCATTACTTTACATAACGCTCCTTCTGCTTCCATCCGGTCACACCCCAGTCTACCAGTACGCCTGTCACGTGCATTTTACGTCCCAGTTCCCGTCCCCTAGGGCGATCCTGGGGAACGCTCCCGCCGCTTCTTTTCACGCGAGATTTCCTAACCTCCGTCATGGATTGTACAGATAATTCCGGAAACCTGGTGAGCTTGTCCATGGTTCCGGTCATCACAGCCGACAGCCCAGATGCACTGCCAAAGTTGTTGCATAGAGTCAATCACAGGCGTTCAATATTATCGTTGGCCGTGTCGAAAGATTATGTGTATGCAGGAAGTCAGACTGGAGAGATCTTGGTGAGAACCAGCTCAATGGGTACCTTCGAATGCACTATACTGACTTGCAGCGCAGGTCTGGTCGATTGAGACATTTGAGAAAGTTGCAACCTTAGAGGGTCATCAAGGAAGTGTACTCTCACTTTGTCTAGCAGAGGATCAATCGTTACTATTTTCAAGTGCCGGCGATGCTATAATCAATGTAATAAAGAGCTCCCTCCAATGGTGTATTACAAATCACTCATGGTATTCCAGGTTTGGAATTCAACTACCTTCGAAAATCTCTACACAATATACTCCACATTCGACCTCGGAGATGTCTTTTGCGTCGCATATTCTCCACTACAGCATACCGCTTACTTCGGCGCTCAGAACACCAGCATCCAATGGTATGACCTGAAAGTAAAGGACTCACGGCCATGCCCAACCCTCACCTCCCACCCTTCACACCGCAACCACCCATTCTTTGATTCCAAAGGCCCTGGCGGTGGCGCCGCTCTTAAGCAAGAGATTTGCCCACGATCAACTACCTCTCAGCTCCTTGAGACCGACCCCGAGAACATAGTGCAGTATGCGCATTACGGGTATGTCTATTGTATGCTCCTAATCTCGCTGTCTGCGAGCTCTGAGATTGGAAAGGCGGGTCAGCAAATATTGTTGAGCGGAGGTGGAGACGGTGTGGTTAAGCTATGGAGCATCGACAGCAATACGAGCAGGATTGAGCAGATGCGGGAGTTAAGTGGTGGAGATTCAGGGGTCCTAAGTATGGTGGTTCAGGACTCTTTGCTGTATTGCGGCTTGACAGATGGTGAGATTTGCATTTGGGACCTTGACACATGCCAGTTGATCCGGAGTGTAAAGGCCCACTGCGAAGATGTGTTGACTTTGAGCATTAAGGGAAACTTTATGTTCAGCGGCAGCGCAAGTGGATATACAAGGGTATGCATCCTCATCTACAAGTTTAAACATTATAATTCGCTTATCATTCATGGCTAGAAATGGAACCAACGCTTTGAATGCGTCTCACGCTGGCAATCACACACTGGCTTGATTCTAACCTCCGCCATCACAACCCGAAATGACCGCCTAATCCTCATTACAGGGGGTAATGACGATTGCGTCGCCATCTGGGACGTCTCCGCATGTGAGCTTGACGAAAGTTCAGGATCGCAGCAAACCCAGAACGACCAGCTTCTCAGCTCTCTGAGTAAGCTAGTGTCATTCCGCACAGTTTCAAACAATCCAACTTATATGGAGGACTCTCGCCGCGGTGCGACTTACCTTAAGAGTCTTTTCAAGAGGTTTGGAGCCACCACGACGCTGTTACCAAGTGAGCCAGATCGCAATCCTATTGTATTTGCAAAATTCAATGCTGCCGTGAAGAAGAAAGGAAAAACTATTCTTTTCTACGGGCACTACGATGTTATCCAAGCAGAGGCAACGGTTGAGGAAGGCTGGTTTACGGATCCGTTTGAATTGACGGGGCAGAATGGATATCTCTACGGCCGTGGAGTATCAGACAACAAGGGTCCCTGTCTTGCAGCGTTATTCGCGGTAGGCGAGTTAGTGCAGGCACAAGAGCTGGAGTCCGATATTGTGTTTCTAATAGAGGGCGAAGAGGAGAGTGGTAGTAGGGGTTTTGCAGACGCAGTCAGGCGGAACAAGGAACTCATTGGGGATGTGGACTGGATCTTGCTGGCGAATAGTTACTGGCTTGATGATGAGGTACCATGCTTGACATATGGGCTGAGAGGGGTCATTCACGCGACTGTTGTTGTTGAGAGTGAAAAGCCGGATCTGCATTCAGGAGTGGACGGCAGTAGGCTGAACCGGGAGCCCACCATTGATTTAGTTAATCTCCTGGCAAAGTTGACAGACGAGACTGGAGCCATAAAGATTCCTGGTATTTTCTTATTATTTCTCTTGTTGCATCTGAATTAACTTACTAATAAACGGAAACCAGGTTTCTCCGAGCCTGTACGCCCCGTCACTGCAGCGGAAGAGGAGATGTATTCTGCAATAACCACTGCTCTATGCAATAAACCCAATTGGTCACACCTCACCGCCGAAGGTATCAAAGATCACCTCATGTCCAAATGGCGATTCCCTTCTCTTACAATCCATCGTGTCTCCGTGTCCGGACCCTCAAACGCAACCATCATACCACGATCCGCCTCGGCGGCCATCTCACTTCGCATCGTTCCGGATCAGGAGCTCAGCGTCATCAAAAACTGCCTGGTTGAATATCTCAACAGCGAATATAAGCGTTTCGGGAGTGGTAATAAGCTCAAGATCAGCATTGATCACGAAGCAGAGCCTTGGCTAGGTGATCCTGAGAACGACGCATTTAGGACCCTAGAAAGCGCCATCATGGACGCGTGGAGCACCAGCAATACGGCCGGAGAGAAACAGCAAGTCAAGCCATTGTATATCCGCGAAGGAGGTAGTATCCCGACGGCGAGATTCTTGGAGAAAGAGTTTGGTGCGCCAGCTGCACATTTGCCGTGCGGACAAGCGAGTGATCATGCGCATTTGGATAATGAGAGATTGAGGCTGGTTAATCTTTATAAGGTATGTTTTAGTTTTCGTCTCGGCATGAGTTGTGCTTTCTTGACCGAGTGGTTGGGCGGAGTTAGGATGGGACACGTGCTAATTCGTTATCGGTGTTTAGAGCAAAGATATCCTCAAGCGTGTGTTTAAGGAGCTGCCTAAGAAATGATTGGTGCCCTAATTCCCGCGAGAATCTTGGTATCAATCTTGGTATTAGGCCAAGACAAACATACCCGTTCATGACTTGTGGTGAATTGCGAGGTGTGGTACTACACAGGCAGTTTTCCATGTTGTAAATCTCTTCTCCTATGTTTCTACTACCCCATATATTTTACCTATATCTTATTGTTATTACTTTCGTATTTGGCCGGCTATTGACTTTGGGAAAAAAAAAGAAGAATGGGCATTAGAGGTGTTGGATTTGCATGGGCATTTTGTACCTACCTGGAGGTTATTCTATGGTAGCGTTGTAAAACAGATTATCTTTCCTGAGTATTTATCCCGGCCAAGGGAGATGCACGGCATGTTCATACAGTTGTAGTTAAAGTGTGGAGATGGACCTACATACGTAGATCCTGCAGCCCTTGTTTTCATGTAAGGGTTCAATCGATCCTTGTAGGGCAGGCAAGCTGTTGACTCTAAACTAGTAGAGAGATTCGAGAAAAGGAGATGTGCTTGAAAGGGCCATTGTATCCACAAAAATGCTCGTTTGGGACGAGGGCCAAACTGACCATTCAGAACTTGACCATGGTAGAGAGCAGAGCTGGACGTCTGCACGTTGGACTATCGCCCCCTCCGGCGCCGGCAACGCACCTCCACCCCTGCAAACGGGACGTCACTAACATCCCGTTCCTATCTGCAAACCCACGCTTCAGGAAAAGCGCCCAGAATCAACTTCCTTGAGGTTTCTTGGCGCGTCGTAGTTATGCGCGGGTATCCAGCCCCGTGCGTCAGTCTGTGGCTCCGGTTTTTTGTCTTGTCAGTAGAAGTAGGCAGTAGATAGACTTGTCTCTCCCTCACCTTCTGCTTCCCCTTCCTCACTCGCACGCCATTACCTACCTCTCTTTACCCTTCTTCTACAGATCCGTCAGGAGTGAGAGTGTTAATTCTGTTTTACCCAGCTTCACGTTCCTTCTCTGTTTAACGACATCCTTACTCCGCTAGATAGTTGCTGCCCATTTCCCGTGAAAGAACAGGCAATTTTCACAAGTAGATGCCTACGATCCCTCGCGCCCGCGCTATTGGCGGAAGAAGTGGTGGGAGTTCGGCGCTGGGTAGAATAGCCGTCTTGATCGCCGGAAGTATCCCACGTTTGCGCCCACGAGATGGAAATATCCCATTCTTGGGAAAGAGGGAGTTTGAGGAAAGCCCTAATAGTCCGGATTTTTGGATGAATGTTGGCATTGCATTCGCCTTGGTCGTGCTGGGAGGAATATTTGCTGGTTTGACTTTGGGGTATGTTTTCCTTTGCTGTTTTTCCTTTGCTCTGTTTTTCTTTTAGGGAGGTTACAGGTATATTATGGGGGGTGGGGGTGGGGGTGGTTGGTGCGATTATTGATCAATTGGTCGCAATTGCTAACAATTGGTGCACTTTTTGAAGATTGATGGGACAAGATGAGATATACCTGCAGGTTATCGAGCAGAGCGGCGAAGGCGCAGAACGGATTCACGCGAAAAAGGTGCTTCGTCTTCTGAAACGCGGAAAGCATTGGGTTTTGGTTACTCTATTGTTGAGTAATGTTATCACGAATGAAACGTTACCAATCGTCTTGGATCGCAGTTTGGGTGGTGGCTGGCCGGCGGTGTTGAGTAGTACGGTCTTGATCGGTGAGTGCGCGCGCGCGATCTTGAGCCCCTTCTTGAATGGGAGCGGTTTGGGTCTCAGTAAAGTCTTTTGCACTGTGAGAATTGAATTGCTGATCTTTGCGCCGTGGAAGGAAAATAGTCATCTTTGGTGAAATTATTCCACAGTCTGCTTGTGTTCGATATGGTCTCTCAATTGGAGCTTACCTGTCACCGTATGTTGTTCCACCAACTTTCCTGCGATTTCTACTAATGTGAGCATAGATTTGTTCTTGGTTTGATGTACGTGATGTCCCCCGTCGCCTATCCCACAGCTCTTATGCTCGACTGGATTCTCGGCGAAGACCACGGAACCGTATACAAAAAAGCTGGTCTCAAGACCCTCGTCACTCTCCATAAGAGCTTGGGCCCATCGCCCTCAGATCGTCTCAACCAGGATGAAGTCACGATCATTTCCGCTGTTTTAGATCTTAAGGATAAGCCTGTTGGCTCAATCATGACACCCATCAAGGACGTATTTACAATGTCTTCAGACACAGTCCTTGATGAAGCTACAATGGACAAGATTCTATCTGCCGGTTACTCGAGAATCCCGATTCATGCGCCTGGAGAACCGACAAACTTCGTGGGTATGCTTTTGGTCAAGATTCTCATCACATACGACCCCGAGGACTGCAAGAAAGTTGGCGAGTTCCCGCTTGCAACGTTGCCAGAAACCAGAGAAGAGACTAGCTGCTTGGATATTGTCAATTTCTTCCAAGAGGGAAAGAGCCACATGGTGCTTGTTTCTGAAGCTCCTGGCGAGAACCACGGTGCATTGGGAGTCCTCACGCTTGAAGACGTCATCGAGGAGTTGATTGGAGAGTAAGACCACAACACAAACCCCCCCTACGCCTGAATATTGATTAACATCTCATAGGGAAATTATCGACGAATCCGACGTCTACATCGACGTGCACAAAGCCATCCGCCGCATCAACCCCTCCCCTCTCGCCCGTCGCTCAGTTTCTACCCACTACCGCCACACTGACACTGCCATCGCCGTTGCTTCTCTTACTGCCGCTGCTCCTGGGCTCGAGCATCACCTTGAAAACAACAACGATGTAAAGCGCAACTCCGAAGACCTTCTTGTCCATGAAGACCACCTATCATCTGACCATGAAACTGGCTCTGTTCCTCCGACTATGCGCCGTTCCAGTCAGCAAGCGTCACTTGCCGGTATCCCAGAGGACATCCTACCACAGCTAAAATTCTTAGGCCCCGCAAACCATGCTGGGAACCCGAGACAAACAAGTAGCAAGACTGTGAAGATCAAGCATTCTGATGGCAGTACTGGTACCTCTACACCGATGCAACAGACAGCTGCTGTGGTCGGTGGCAATGATAACCGTAACGGGACTCCAATGGATGGATCACTCGACCGTGTCGCACAGATAGCGGTCAAGACCCCAACCAGAACAGACAGTCTATCAGTCGGTAATAAGAGAGTGGCACGGAGTGGAAGTTTAGTTGAGAGAGTGGAGCATGTAGGGGGCGTTCCAAAAACGGTGATTGAGACAACTAGCAGTAGCGATGATGAGAGTAGTAGTGGTGAGGGTGGAAGCAGCGATAGGGGAAGGAGAAGAAAAAAGACGGAAAATACTCCGTTGTTGGGTTAGATGTAATTTTTTTTTTTTTTTTAGCTGATCTCCTCTGTTTTTCTTTGAGGGCTCTTGTTTCTATTTTTTATTAGTTCATATGCTTGCTTACTTATTGATTTGCCCTCTGATTACGAGTTGCTTTTTTGCTACCCCCTTAAAATTATAGGCTTGTCTTTTCCATGGTCGTTATAAAATGGGATCCGGTTGTTTGGCCGGTGATTGGTAGTCGTACATGTGGAAGGCTGTGGGCGAGGAGAACAAAACTGGGTGCGTTTTGCGATAGTTCTGCTTTTTACTTGTTTGCTTGTTTATTTCCTCATCTGTTGTTTATTCCCCATGCTTGGCTGTGCCATGACATGTATGTAATGCTATGATGACACCGGAAATAGCAACTGAGGATTACAAAAACGTATAACTTGTATACGAGGTATACTTAGCTAAAATCCATGAACTGTGGTAGTTATGTCCTCCTAGCCTTAACATCTTCACAGGGTTAAACAGAAGCTAAAGAGACATCTAATAACGCCAAAGGCCCAATTCATTCGACGCCGGTCAGGGCTCAGGACACGAGGGAATCGGCTCCGAGATAAGAGGGTGCTACGAGGGAGCCGAATTAAGACATGTATTACATGCCATGCATAAGTATAACGAGAGTCGGGCCTAGAGGTGGGGGTGGAGGCTTTGCCTTGCTTACCCTAGGTTTTAGTTTCCAACCCACGAGCACAAGCCACCCGAAGACCTGTGCTCGCCAGTACCACATGAAGATCTGCACTCGTCTGTGTTGAGAGGGCCCACCCTCATAAACTTGAAACGGGCGACTGCTTCTGTATCACGGGCGTAGATCTAGAAGTCTCAAAACCGCTACACCAAGCCGCTGTTACTTCCCTCGCACACAAAACAAAGGTAAATCTAGAAAAAGCAGGCCTAGATACCTCCAATAGCCATCCCCCAACTGAGCTCAGAAAGGGTCACGAAAAAAATGGAGGTGAAGAAGGGAATAGAAGAAGAGTGGTGCGAACCGAAACGTAGATATTATATCTGTTGCCTCGATCCCAATGCAATTGAAACCCCCTCTGCTTGAGTCAACATGCACCTTGAAGTCAGGATAAGAAAAAAGACCTGTATGTGTGTGTGTGTGTGTGTGTGTGTGTGTGTGTACTGTGTGTGTTGGATGGGGGCAGAAAGCATCTTGTGCTGCCGCAAAATCTTTGTTGTGACATTTGTTTGTTGATCACAGAGAATCACTCGATGCACCTGTGTTGTAGAGAATCAAACCTGGCAATTGATTGATCGATTACTCTCAATTCTCCCGGCAAAACTTTATTTTTGCCCCTTTGCACTAGCAGCGGTATTCAAATCTATTATGTAATTGGCCGCACTGGCAACCCTAACCCAATTAATAGTAGAGGGGATACCTAATAGTTTATTAAGAAGGGCCTGGTAGTAATACAGGAAGATGGGACGAGATCAGGTTGTACTAGTTGCCAGTAAGCTAGCCAGGCCCCGAATGCTCCTGTTATCAGAATAAAACTACTTTCTAACCAAATCATACCCCATGATTAGTGCCAAATCAGGCTCTATGAAGTACCGAGTCAGATTCTATGAAGTGTCGAGGCAGACTCTATAGATCTATTTAGAGGCACTGAGCCAGACTCAATGAAGTACTAAGCCAGTGAGGTATCAAACCGGAATCCATGAACTAATATTGAATTGGTAGTGCCGACAATATTGCTTATTTCACCTGTTATTAATCTTAAGGCCACGTACTGAATACCCAAGGCTCTAATATGGAGTGACATAATCTTGTCCTTGCTATTTCGCGAGTTTCTATTCTGAGAGATCTGAGCTAGCTCGACCCTTAGTAGCGTCCCAACTCGAGCAGGCTCACGATCACACTCTTTCGGTGTCATTTTACACCAGCTGGATCACAATTCTCAAAGAAGTATATATCTCCTATATATCTCCTATAATATAAAAGGTCGGGGCGAAAATTAATTTCCCAAATGACAGGCACTGATTGACCAAAAACGTACCGAAAGAAAGGATCGAAGGAAGAAAGGAAGAAAGGAAGACACAAATACCCATTTCCCTACGTGCGTCTCAGAGTTTGTTAAAGGGATGCGGCTGGCAGCCTGCTGAAAGAACAAATGGAGATAGTGAATTCTTATAAAGGGAGGATTAAGGCTTGAGGCAGGCTCCTAGGTTAATTAAGGCCTGTACACGTGAGTCCAACAAACGAACTCTCAGCATGCACACTTTCTACAAGAAAGGGTAATCGGCTTTCAGCAGGGACGACTATTAAATGAAGGGTGAATCCCCTCCTAAAGCCATGGATCCCGTCATTGTTACCAGTAACGTATTTGACAGCACTGTCAGACTTAGGCCTAATCACAACCAAATTTATTCACAGCCAAATCTCTATGCCAATGACCGATTTACCAGTTTCACACGGTACCAGGTTCGCGGTGGTAACACCGGGCTACCCCTAGTGCATAATAACGGGAGTGGTAAAATATATATTCCATATAGCCAATTCAAATCCCTACAAACTAAAACCCTCTCCCTTGCCTCATACTGTCTATGTAGCTGCCTCAGCAAAAGTTTTCTTTTCCTCCTGTTCCTTCACTCCTTCTTCGACAACCTCTTTTTTGTCCTCTACAACCGCGTCCTTCGCTACGTTTTCTTCAACTACATCCTTTTTCGCGTCTTCTACGGCCGCGTCTACTGTAGGCTGTACTTCAGTCTCTTCCTTCGGCTGCTCAACTTTGGGTTCTTCCACCTCTTTAACGCCTGCAAACTCACCTTCATCCTTCTCTACCTTAACCTTCTCGCCCTCTTCTTTCTCTTCCTTCTCGTTCTTTTTATCTTTTTTATCCTTCTTGTCCTTCTTGTCCTTCTTGTCCTTCTTGTCCTTCTTGTCCTTCTTACCCTTTTTGTCCTTCTTATCCTTCTTCTCTTCCTTCTCTTCCTTCTCTTCCTTCTCTTCCTTCTCTTCCTTCTCTTCCTTCTCTCCTCCTTCATCCTTTTCTTTCTTACCCTTCTTCTTCTTCTTTTTCTTATCCTTGACCTTCTCTGCCTCATCATCAGCCTCTGCCTCACTCTTCTCTTCCTTGTCATCATCCCCTTCCTTCTCTTTACCCTTACCCTTCTTATCCTTCTTCTTCTTGTCCTTCTTGTCCTTTTTCTTCTTGTCTTTCTTGTCCGATTCGTCCGATGACTCCTCTGCTGCATCTCGAGAAGTGTCGTCGAGGTCGAGAGCATCGGCACTCTCAACATGAACAACCTTTACAGTTGTGTCTTTGTCTTGTGAGTAAACGCGAAGACCAATACAAGCAATAGGATCCCAAGTGTCCTCATCCGTGGGGGGTTGGGCGTCGGTCGGTACTGGCGCTTCGGCTGGAGCTTCCTCGGTCTCAGATTCAGATCCAGAACCAGATGAAGAGCCAGACGAGGACCCTGACGAACTAGACGAAGACGAGGAAGAAGAAGAGGATGATCCTGACGATGAGGACGATGAAGAAGAATCAGAAGAGCCTGAGGACGACGACTCGGAGCCAGATTCGGAACCAGATTCAGAGCCAGACCCAGACTTATCGTCGTCCTTCTTCTCCTTCTTCACCTTTTTGTCTTTCTTGTCCGATTTTTCAGACTTTTCAGACTTTTCAGACTTGTCCTTTTTATCCTTTTTGTCCTTTTTGCCCTTCTTGTCTTTCTTATCCTTTTTATCCTTCTTTTCTTCCTTTTCCTCGTCGTCTTCCTTCTTCTCCTTCTTGTCCTTGACTTTTTTGTCTTTCTTCTCTTCTTTTTCATCGCACTCGTCTTTCTCCTCCTTTACCTTGGCCTCACCACGAACTCCACCTCTACCCCCGCGCACACCGCGTGACTTTTTCCGGGAGTGACCTATACCTGCACCCTCACCTGGCACATCACCTACACCCTCGCCATCATCTTGCGCTACCTCTGGTGTTTTCTTCGTTTTTTGTGATGCCTCCGCCTCCTCAACGCCCTTCTTATCTTTGGGATCAACTGCAGCTTTCGCATGAGCCAAATCATATGACATTCCAATCTGCAAGAACTTCATTCTGTTGGTCTTGCAGGTCTCCTTGATCACCTCTTGAGTTGTTTTACGGTGTGTCTTTGTGGCAGTAACCATAAATAGGACCGTGTACCTCCCTGGCTCGAGCTCCAGCTCTGCGCTGACACTTCTGGTCTTATGGATATTGGGTCGAGAACGAGTGATGTACTCTTTCTCTCCCTTTTTATGGACTCGGAAGTGGATTTTGAAGTCGTACTGGCCTTCCAAGCCTCTGAAATAACGTTCATCAAGCTAAATATAATAAGCAAACCATAATAATAAGTCACTGCAACCCTGATATATATGACAATGGGGGTGATCAAACACACCTGCGAAAGAACAAAAACCACAGGGCCCTTCTTCTTGATGGTAACTTCGAACCTAGTGGGACTGTACACCTGGGCCCATGGCACTGGAATCTTTATCCAACTGGAAGTCACTGTCCAGGACGGGTCGAAAAGGCGTGTTTGGTCGATGTGATCAAATTTATAGAGGAAATCCTTGTCTATTAGGCTATCGTTAGCAATCTGACAGAGAAAAACACATTTATATATTTTGTACTCGGGAAAGTCTTACAAGACATCCAAAATGAACCATCGTTTCCAAAACGATGGTCCAATTGCTTCATCCATTCAGGAGTCCATTCTTTCGATCCGTCGCTCCATGGTCCGGTCCATTCAGTACAGCCCCAGGGATTTCTGTATTCCACTTTAGTAAGAGTATAAAAAGGAATAGCGAATTATACATACCTAACCAGTACCAATCGCTGGCCGTTAACTTCGACGGCTTTGAGAACTGAGTAAGCATGTCCTGCCAGGATACCGGAACGATCAACTGTGCCCATGAGGTACCCAGAAAACAGGTAATCCTTATTTGCAAGCGTCAAGTCCTCTTTCCAAAAGCGATCACGATCTAGAAGATCACATGTGTCGAATTCAATCGTCACACCTCCGGTCAGGTCTTCAATGGCCTCGCTATCACAAATTCAGTACACACACAAAAAAAAAAAAACGGTTGAGAGCCTAGATTAAGATTACATACCCAGACCATCCACCTTCTACTGCACCATAGTCACCATGGGCCTTTGCGTAGGCCTTCTCCAGCAGTGGTAGCCAAGTTTCGTTAGGGTCCTGGCAACTAGCGTACACCAACGCATTGGAGCCTTTCATGAAGGTCTTCTCGTACACATCTTCTTTCCCGGACCACACAGCCTGGGTATAGCTATCGGCATCCTGATATTCTGGCCTGTTTGTGTAGAGCTGGTCGTCAACAATTGTGGAAATCCACTCGCCATCTAATTCAAACAACTGTTATTAGAATGTACTAGAACCTCTCCGGTTAGTGGAGGATTTTATTACATACCGCGCATGAAAATAAATCCATATATCCCAACAGCTTCATCTCGGGCAACACAAATCTTCTCAATAAGACCTGGCACGTTACTGATAGTTGCAACCGCAGCTAATAGCCAACAGTCTCCAGTCTAGAGAAATCAGATTATCTTAACAACCGTTTCATAGATTTACAGTCTTACAGCTCCTTGTCTAATATCTCCTGCGCTAACACCATCTTTGAAAAACTTTGGATCTTCGAAGACATCCTATACATCAATTAGCCAAGTAACTTTCACCGGGATGATCGGACTGGTTGCCTACCGCAACTCTCAAAGTACCCTCAGGATTCAACTCTGACCTGTGCTCAGGAAGCAAGCCGTCTAGACAGTATCTACCATCCCTCTTCAAATCAAAGTGAAGATCCCGATATTTCCTGTTCGCCATACGGCATTCTTTCGCAATTTTCTCCACCTTCTTCCTGCATACTTCAATAGCCTCTTCCAAGTCGCGGGTTGCTACAACAGACTTCGATGTGTGATGGATCGATGCCGCAGCAGCATCTGCAAGCTTATTGTGCGGAAGCAAAGTCTTGGACTTCGACTCCGCAGACTCGGCTTTCTTGTCGTCCTTCTTCTTGTCGTCCGGCATGGCTGACTCTGAGGAGTGTATACAGACTAAAGGTAGGCAATGATACTTTTGGATAGAGCTTTTAAATGGGAGAGGGTTGCTACTGTGTGTTCCGAAGCTCCGGCGGGGGGAATAGTGAATTTATATCTCAACGAGAACCAAACGCGCGGCAGTTTTCTTGTCGGTTAAACCCCAAGGAGCTTTTTTCAGCCTTAGCATTCTGATTGAGTACATGTACCTATAAAACCGCCCATTGAGCCACTAGGTGGTGTGTGCACAGACTGGCAATGTGTTCTGGTGCAGGCATGAGAGCTATGAGCTCTACACGTACCAGTGGGCTACACCAACTCTCAGCCCCACGGGAGATTAAGGCACAATCAAGGGACGGTCCCGACTCCCAATAGGTATCAGGGGAGCTTGGTGTGGTGATGATGCGTTTCTGCCCCCACAAAGATGCAAACATATCAAATTGGGAATAGTAGCGCTCGGTGCAACCCCAAGGGCGTAGGACGTAATGCCTACCAGCTATATGTATTGGCGCTTTACTGGCCATGATATATGATGATCAACCATAAGGTGGAAATAAACACCAATTGATGGCATGAAAGGAGGTTACATATATCGTAGAAACACAACATGTATCCTCCGCTCATCTATAGTTGATCCCTGTTCAATTCAGCCCCACCGTTACGAGCGCGGGGCACAGCTCCATGTAGCTATGGAAGAGGTTTATGCGTCAATTGGTATTTATTCCTTGCAAGAAAAGCGGGGTACTAGAAGTGGAGGGACCCGATCCGAAGCCGCCCTAGCTTACGCCCAGTTACTAATTAATTATTAGGTGTAGGAGGAGCAAACAGCCATCATAAAGAGCTCTCAGATACTTACATGTAAGTATCGTGTAGTAGGTAGCGCTATGCAATTGCGAAGTTCTTTGATGTGTTTAGGTACTCCGTTTCCCTGCTCAGCGAGATCCCTGCTGAGCGAGATTCGCATACAAATATTCCTTGGATGCAGACTCGGCGGCCAGTGTTTAGGTGGTAGAGGACCCCAAGTCTCGGTCAGCAGGGATCTCGCTGAGCAGGGAAACGGAGTATCTGTTCATATCTGTTCCAGCCGCTCTGAAGATAGGAATCAGATGACCGATGCCGAGTCGGTATCCTGCTGTGCGATGTAATTCAGATGACCGGTGCCGAGTCGATATCCTGCTGTGCAATGTAATGCAGCGCAGCTGTCTCGGGCAGAGTAATCTCTGCATAGACAGGCAACGACGTCCACTGATGTCGAGCGAGCAGTATTACAATCCACAACCACAACAGTTGCATAAAGATTAGTAAGAGGGAAATATTACAATGACTGGAAATACATAACGTCCCTGATATGGTCTCCTAAGTCATCTGGTAGGGCCCGTAAGATGCAAAGTACCCCTGGTTATTGTTATTAGCACAAACTCAAATTTAGCGATCCCAGGCTCCTGTGCGCCATACACTAACAGTGGTTTTACCATACATATGCGGTATCAATTTAGATTATCTTAATTCCCTCAAACATACGATATCCGTACCTGCTGCACAGCAGCCCAGGCACGATAATGGTTGCGGTTCTAGGAGGGCCCTTGCGGGGTTGGCCACATTCTTGGCTCTCACAATCTCACTCGGTCCTCTGCAACGCCGCAACAAAAACCCGAGAATTCATTAACTACTAACCAAATAGCATAATTAAGGTAAAATAAAATAAAAAAAGATACATAAAAAGAAGGGAGGCCCCAACTGGAGACCATCAATACATGCTCAGCCCGTATTCCCGGTCATAGCATTCCAGCCACTCCTTCAGCGCAGTAGAAAATACACCTAGGGCGTCGTTAACTTCCGGAAAATGCCTCTGTTTTTTGCCACCAAAGATATCAAAAGAATGCACAGTGTTCTTCATTAGATATCCGAATATCTTGTTTTGCGAGGTGGGCACACCACATGTGGGAATATCATGGGATATAACGTTTTGGGGAGCCCATTTTTCGCTCGATAGTACAGAGAGGGAGGTCCATGGGTCGTATTTACCCCCTAAATAGGTTAGTCACGGTTAATGATTCATATATATACTAATATTGACGGTTTTTGTTTACCAGTAAAGAATGTGTTAGAAGGGCGCATGTTCCAGCCTTCAAACTCTTCATTCACCTTTTCTACTTGTGGCTTCTTCGGAAGGAACCCTGAGGAGACTCCAGTCGGGAAGTAGCGGTAGCAAAGATCTTGCCCGTACTTCTGACTTAGATATCTTGATACGATTTGATTTGGGCCCAGGTTGACGGATTGGATGAAGCCTGTCGCAAATCCTTGTTAGAGTCCTACGGTAATGGAGTGAGCTTGATAGATGGGGTACGTACCCCATTCACTACAAATTATCCAAGCCCAAGAGATACTTGCTGAGTCCGTTCGTGCAGCGTCAAACCTATCGCAATCGATGGTCCCGTCGTTGCCAGTACCATGATACCCTTCACAGTTCTGGCCCAGGTATTTGTTGACCTGCGTTTCTTGTAAGTACATTTTCCTAGGAAATTCACTGTTTTGCTCAATCAGGCATTATTCTTACCATCCCAATAAACTTCGGCCACTGGGCCCAGCGGTCGATTACCCATTGGACGCCTTTTTCCTTCGCCCAGCCCTGAGCTCCAGCCGTCACATTAGTTTCCGGATCTGTCTCCAGATAGTCGCAAAAGTTTCTCAATCCCCATTCTATCCGCCCATTTCGTCAGCAAAAATCTCCCATTTCCATCCATACCAGAGTCACAAACCATTGCCACAACAGCATTCCATCCCCCATGCCTGCCAATTATATAGCACCAGTGACAACGCATACCCAAAGCCTCCATTCCCCACGCCCTCCGAGCCCTTCCCCAAAAACTTCCTCTTCAGCTCTGCTGCTGTTGCCGGAAGCCGTAACTGCTTATCGATCTGCTGAACCGCAGCACGCATATCTCTCGTGCAGTTTCCAAAGCCAAATTCAATAATTCCTCGCGCGATCTGTTCAAAATAGACTGACATGTCGATGCGTGCTTGGACAGGCGCCGAGGAGGCATATGCCGCGAGGAAGGTGGTAGGATATTTGGCGCGGGCAAACGCCGCCCGTGTGCCTGAGTAGCTGCCGCCAAAGATAACCCAGGGGGTGTGGTCCGGGGTCAGAGGGACAAGGGGCCAGTTTGGACGCTCGAAGGTGCGGGCGAATACCTGGCCATGCATTATATATGGTTAGTGGAGTCAATATCATACAACGTAGAGGGAGGTGTACCGGAAGGTCAGCGAGTGCTTGGGCGGTAGTTAGGTACTGCATTTGCTCTGGTGTGGTGGTGTTGGTGATATTGTAGGGCGTGGATCGGCCATAATACCTGTAAGGAAGTACAGATACTTAGACAATATTGACTATGTACAGAACCCTAAGGAATACCAAGGAGAAGTTACCTATGTTCCCACAAGATCACCATGGCATTAAACTCGCGGGCCAGATCTCTAGTGGGGGTCATATTACCCCTGAGATAATATTCAACAGCAAATAAAGAATTTGACTCGCCCCCGTCAACCACTACATGAACAACCTATTAGCTGAGCCCAATGGGAGAGGAGTATTTCTATCCAGGGAGCAGACAAAACACCGGGCCTCCAGGCTTGTAGAACTCTTCCAATACCCAGTACCTATTGTTGAAAGTAGCAGTATTATTTCCAAAGTGATCCAAAGGGAGCTGATTTCTATGAGTTAGATCATCCACTTAGTATCAATGACAACACAGAGAACACTCACGGTCACAGTCTGGGGGTCTATAAATGCTTCATTTTGTGGGGATAAATTGCCGGCGCCGTTGTCCATCACTGTAGTTGCCTCATCAAGCTCGCGGCGGTGAAGCATTGGCCATGGGTGAAGGAGAGCTTGCGCAGATTGCAGGAGCGCAAGCCCGATTAACGGGAGATGCTTGTAAAGTACGTACATTGAGGTCTACCCAGAAAGTGTTCCAGGATTCAGTATTAAATGGGGACGTTGGATCTAAGGATGTTGTTTGAGTGAATTGGGATGGGGTCTAGCAGTTATTTAACAATCCCGTATCGTTTAACACATATGGGATAGACGGCACTATATCCTAATCCATTCTATAGACCTACATGTACTGCTAGTACTTCATGGTACGGTATATAAGGGATTGGATATCCTTACCTGTACACATGTACTCATCGAGCACTAGGGTGCGTCCAATCGTGTGATGGGATGATAGCATATACCTTAGGTGTACCCGCGAATCGTCTGATCATGACATTGGCTATATGAAGGCACTGATAATAAGTCTAACATAGAAAACCCACAATACCGCCGCACTGCTGGAGCCCACCAATAGAGCATACGGGAGATATATCTAGAGGGATGTGGTTTTTATTCTACATTAAATCCAAGGTCACTGTACCAAGCAGTTGGGACAGAGTGTATGATCTTACTGATCTAGCCTCTTTGATAGCTAGTCCTGAGTATTCTGGTTGGGCGAAAGCTTAAAGCCCCGCGCGGGTCCCTGCATCTCAGATAACCTTCAGTGGTGAGTGTAGCTAGGTGTAACACTAAATGTGCTTTTAACAGCCCCAGTTGTACCTACGTATGAGAGAAGCAGCGTTCCCGGTAAACCTTATTTGAGGAATGTATCCGACGACTACATGCCCTCATTGAAATCATGTAGATTCAATTAAGATCTCTCCCCCGTAGTTTGATCTTTCTAAGAGACTCTGTTTTAGATATACGTTATAGTGTAGGTAGTTGGTGGCCTACTTTATATTTAGCTACTCTTCTATTGAGCTGGAGACTGTGGGCCCTCAGCTTCTTTGGTAATACACATGCAAGAATAGATACTGATGGATTTCCAATAGAGTGGCTTTTAATTGCATGGGGTAGTAGGGGACAGCCTAGCAAGAACTGCGTTGTAGTCCTCCGGTCGTTACTAGATACCTAGAACTAAATCTGTAGCAACCAGCCAATTTGGGGTCTGGGAGTTCTGGATTGTCAAGTTTACCGGGCATTAAAGAAAATTAAACGTAGAGATAGAATTTTAAGTCAGTACGCGGTAGAGTATATAACGTAGACAGAGCTGGAGGTGGGGAAACTATTCAGATAAATTATAAAGTAGGACGTAGAGATCGCTACTCCCTTGTCTTTGAGCTTGAAGACTTTGCCGGATATTGATGTCTTTAAAAACTGATATATATATCCAGGCGGCACAAGGCTACTATGGTAGTAGCGATGTTAGTATTTAGATGTCTGTATTTATATCAGCTTAATTCTTGTATGCGAGTGTGCTTCTGTGACTGAATTGAGATCCTGCGCATGCCATGGAACTGTGCTTATACATACATACCACCTACATATTTACTTTGCCGCTTTGACGTAAGTTATCGCTGGTGAAGGAAGCGAATTTGTTCTTTCTAGGCTTAGTCGCCACTGTATTTGATTGTTTGACTTGAATATGCTTTTTCAATGAGGCCATGGTAAGGCTTAGGAATCGGATGATTGAAGGATCGGTTGAAATTGAGGATCATGGTTGTTAACTAATTATGGACTCGCGCGGCGCAAAACTTGCTTCAATTATCATTGGTTTGTTCTCGACCGCTTAATGAGAATTCTATCACAAGACAGGTCGAGCCAACCATATGCCCGCTTCGCTCTACTGGTAGCCAAAAAATGACTTTTTGTTGGTTGTTGGCTTCTGATTTGTGTTTATCCATCACATTTTTCAGTCGATGAAGCGAGGCTAGAAGTTCTCTTTATCTTGCACAACAAATCCTGTGTCTTGCCTGTTTGATACTGTGGGCCGATCGCAGCAATGCAATTGGGATGGCATCCCGCTAGCTCCCCGCAAACCTTTGAGCTCGACATCTGCTAGGAAAGAACAATAGAGCACTGAAGTAAATAGACTATCTGGTAACTAGTTTGATATATACGGGTTACACGCGATGTAACTACCGGTGCCGGAATTGGCCTGAATTATGTAGAGTATACATAAAGTACATAAGCGTCTATGTATCTAACGCGTTTATTGCTTTGATTCAGGCAACCCATATTGTCCAGTATCGTTCAAGTGGGAAAATCTGCACGACCATGCACATTTCAGGTGCGCCCCATGGGGTTTACATATGTATAATATATCAATGTGCCTCTGCAAACACACTTCTATTTTTCTGTGATACCGAACACATCGCTGGCAATTCCAGGCGTTCAGGCCGCCATTTTATATATCATCATTGGTGTCTTCGCGACACAGAGGAGAAAATATTAAGAACAGCTAACATCTCTCCTACCAAGTAGCTGATGGAGTTTCACCAGAACTAGAAACCCCTAGCTTCATCAGCAAAAGCCCGGTACACAAACGCACTATTCTAGGTCTCGTGTGCTTTATCTTGCGCCACCCACGTGCACATCCCTCGAAGATGCCGTTAACTACTGAGCAGCTCACGTCAACCCTCAGCGAGGCCTTGTTTCATTATCGTGAGGTCCTCAACCTCAGAGAAAAAGAGAGAGACGAGGTTCTTCCTTTGAATGGAAAGTTACCCGCGACGGAGGACGACGATGCTTTGCAGGCAGAGTATCGTTACCAGTTAGAGGCCATGGATCGCTTTCTCGGCTCCGTGGACGATATGGTCGCTGCCATCAATAGACCCAACGAGTTGTCTTTGGTAAAGTACCAGGCGCAAAATCATCCCACGTGGCTCGAGCCATTTATTTATCAGAAGGATGAGTCCTTCGTAAATCCATTCACAGGCCTAATTGTCGAAGCCCCTTCGTCCAATGCTGTCTGCTCAAGACCAGGTCCCTCAACTAAAGAAGGGCCCTTGCAAGAGATACCAGCTAGCTTTTGGGAGAACTACGTAAGCTGAAAATGTTCATATATCGTAAAGTTATTGGAGCTGAATTAAGTACTACTAGGATCCGAGCTGCAATCCTTCTCTAGACGAAGACTCGGCTTGCCTCGCACAAAAAGCAAGCACGGTTCCTTCGCGTTTGAAAGATGATCAAAAATATCGATCTAAATCGTGTGACCTGGAAATTGGCGCAGATGGTCGTATGGATCCTTATGAGGCATCGATGAGATCTAGATCTATCAACGTAAGCTTTTTTACTTCTCCCAAAAATTCAAAGGAGGGTCTTTGTCCAAAAACTTAATTGTGCTAGGGAAATTACTTTCGTCCGCTCCAAGTTCACATCCCAAGCTCTGGGTTCGGGGATATAAGGCGAGAAAACGATGTTAGTCTCCCAGGTACCTGGGTCAATAGCTGGTCCAATTCGACGGACGAAGAGTTCGACGAATGTTTCCCAAAGGCACCGGTGCCTGGGTCTTCTAGTATTTCACGCACTACTTCGAAGATCTTGGGTGTAGGCCCCTGGAAGGCATGGGCGCCTCGCATGCACTCCTTCGCTGCCATTCAGTTGGAAGAAATGCAGGCAAAGAAAGCTGGTGCCAAGGCTAAAGATAGACAAAATGACATATCGAAAAAGCCGGCTGAACAATGGACAACAGCCCCCGAGACGCAAGGAATTGTAGATGAGGTTGAGAAGGCTGTCCGCTTCTCATTCCCAACTACACAATCAATTGAAATCGGAGGTAAGAACCAATTTCTCCCGGCATTTATAATCTATTTTAGATGGGATAATAATATTTGGGGTACCTATCTGAATTAATAGAAGATGGGTTTCAAGTGTTCAACGAACCTGCCGCTGAACCCCGGGTCACTCGTAATGAGCCCACTATGTCAAAAAAACATTCAATATCTTCCTCATCCTCAATAGAGACATCAAGCTCCGGAGTTTCTTCAACAGCGGAAGCAGATTGGTGGGCAGATAATGAAAGGCGAACCCCGAACTTCGAGCTTTTTGAAAGCTTCTCTGGTGAAGAGGAAACGGAACCTGCCCCACATCATATAAGTGAACCTGAGAATCCTCACCCAACAAGAAATGACTCTGCCTCAACTCAGGTGGCGGATAATCCCTTAGAAGAGCCTATTGAATCGAATAGTCAAGAATTCGAAATTCCCGAACATTCCTCTCAATATGGTTCTCATGACCAAGCCGCCGCGGATGAAGCCCTGGCAGAGAGACTGGCAGACTTTCAGGCTGATTTCCAAAGACCATCCGATCTGTTTGATGAAGAATATCGAGAATCAGACTCCTCTGCTTTCATGCGTGAGCAGTATCAACAAGATAGGGAGTTGGCAGAAATGCTCTCTGCAGGCTTAGACCCAGATATGGATCGCGAAACTCTGGAGTTGATAAAAAGACTTTCAGGAGATTCACCTCAAGACTTCCACTCGTTTCTTGATCAAGAAGCTGAGAATGAAGCCCTGATCGCTGAGCTTTCTGATTCACATGTACTACAAGATTGGGAATTGGCTAAGCGGCTGGCCGAAGACACGCCACAAGATATGAAAGAGCATCTAAGACAGCTTCAAGAACAGGAGGAGTACGCACGCCTTGCACAGGAGGCCTGGGATGAAGATGTCAGGGCAAGAGAAAGAGAAGAACTTGCCGTATTAGCTGAGATAGCTAGGTTAGAAGAGCTAGAAATACTGGAGCAATTGCGGAGAGAGCGCATGGCAGACTGTACTGCATGCTCGGAAGAGGGCGAAAAAGAAGAAATGGCAATGTTGTCTTGTAGCCATGGGTACTGCACGGGTTGCATAAGAGGTAAGATACTTCAACTATTATAAACTTGTTTATTTTCGAGATTCGGCATCTCTAACAATTGTGGGGAAATAGTTGCTTTTGAAGGCGCATTGAGGGAGAAGAAACCGTTTAGATGCTGCGACCAGGTCCCCATAGATTCTATCGCGGCACACTTCACTCAAAACTTCGTCAGAGATTATAACGATCTCATGCTTGAGCTTACTACTCCGAACGCTCTCTATTGCTCGGCGAGGAACTGTTCAAAATTCATTCCCCCCACCAGCATACGAGCCGATACTGGCACATGCCGCGCTTGTAATAGTAATACGTGTAGATATTGTCGGTCTCCTGCGCATATCGGTATCTGTCCCGCGGATGAGGACTCAACTGCAGTTCTTGGCTTGGCGAAAGAGAAGGGATGGAAACCCTGCCCCGGTTGTCAGAACATGATTGAAAGAGTTGATGGTTGTTTGCATATGACATGCACCAGGTGCCCTAACCGTACAGAATTTTGCTATAACTGTGGAAAGCTATATAGTATCTGCCCTGCCACCTGTAGCAGATGAAACTGGTTAAAATATTGTAGATACTTGTACGTAGTAGGAAGTAGTTAATGTATATAATCTTTATTTTGTCAAATTTTGGCTAGATATATTTATCAAATTTTGTCGTTTAGCAGCCATAAATATAGCTTCTGTGTATCACGTTTATACTATATCACACTTATACATGTACATGCATCCAATTTATTTGCCCAACTAAAGCCTTGAAGCCAAATATTGATCTGACAGTTGATGACGCTAGCCTAATTAAGAGATAGTATATTATTACTTAATAATTTACATGCATGTTACGAGCGCATATGACAACGTGGCCGAGTGGTTAAGGCGACAGACTCGAATTTCCAGTTCTTGTTATCTGTTGGGTTCGCCCGCATAGGTTCAAATCCTGTCGTTGTCGATATCAACTTTTTTTTGCTTCAGACTCTTTGCCGTCCTAAGGCATAGGAATAAAAAGGAAGTGGACTCCTTCCCACTCCGTTCGGTGCGTAGGAATATATTTCCGCTATCAGACTCTCATATTGCCACCTCGAAGGCCTCTGTTGGTTTTTCGTCTGAAACACCAGCTCAAATCTCATAAACTACGAGAAACCGTAGGAAATGCGATCACCTCTAGAAACCAATTCAAGTAACTTTAACGGACTTTGTGGCTTACTAGCCTCGAACTCAGGCTATTTCTTTATTCATACACTTTTGTCTCATGATATTCGTGGTTGGCAGCAAGTTTGTTCTTGAGTGCGAGATTCGCGGGTTGAACTTGCTCGGCCTTTTGCAGCTTAGATAAAGGTTCAATTATTACGGGCTCTGGGCCTTGAATTATCGAAACACGCAGCTCAGTCACAAAGCCATAAGCAAAGCCATAAGAACAGAGTCCTCACAGAAAATCGACCGCTCTGCGGTCTATAGCCTGAGACTTTTTCTTCTGGTCGAGGTATTCCGTGACAGTGCTATGACAATCACGGATCACTGCCTAAAAATTGATTTCTGTTAACTACAGCCCCAAAATGATCGTGGAACATGATGCATGTGATAACTCGCCTTGACTTTCCATATGATGGTAAGGAGGTCGCAAGCTTTGTGGATGGACTCGATGTTCTCTGGAAATGGTCGTAATTCACCCGATCTTAGGTAGAACATATTGTGACCGACACATGACATGTAAAGAACTTGGGTGAAGCGGCCTATATTCAACGTTAGGCACTTAAAGCTATAAAGATTTTGATGTAGTAACTTACCCTCGTGTAGGACGCCAACCACAACTAACTTTTTGACAGTTTCGGGGTCATAATTGACAATCTTCTTAAGGTTATTGAGGATGGCACGGCACCCAGCCAGTAACTTGGTAAGGTCTTTGTCTCTCTTTCCTTCATTAGATGTTTTGGAGTCCGAACTCGAAGATACTTCAACTACAGCGTATTCGAGGTGGCGACTGTGATATTGCCACCTTGTCTGCACAATCCCATCGTAACGCACATAGGGAGATATGAAAGGGTCAGGGTCGCTGGTATGTGCTGCCAGTATGATCTCTTTGCTATTTGGGTGATTAGCCAGAGGATCCGTGATCGAGATGAAGACATCGTTTACCGCTGCATAAATAATCCAAGATGAGCAAGACGAAGGATACAGGCGTCCATCACATGTGCGTACAAGCTGTCCCATACTCCTTCTTTCAAACCACGGTAATCCAATAAGTTTGAGGTCTGTGTAAGTAAAAAGAGACTGCGATAATTAATCAATAAGCATGAATACACGACTTTGTGTAAGATCTAGACTCGTCTGCTGGGCCATGATAATCACGTACGTGTGCTCCATCACGTTATCAATCCAGCGCTTGTCTGAGTACTCAGGTGTGCTCTTATCCCACCCGCTCTCGGTTGAATAAGCAGTTTCTATACAGTCATCCGTGGTAGCGCACTATTGGAATTAGCATCTAGGACCGCACTTGGATGCCTTAGAGAGTGGTGTTACTTTTGTATAGCTTGTGATATGATCGGCGAGCGAACAAGGGAGTTGAGGTATTGGTGGGGATTCATCAACTATTTGTTTCCACTGATCATCATCAAACAAATCTCTAAAGTCTTTGTCGTGGGCATCAATTATTGATAACGATGGAAGGTTCAGCTGGTCAATATCTGAGAATTCTTTTGCATAGTCCCGTGCTATATCTTCCAAAAATACGCCGCCTACAAGTGGGAATTTACTGTCCATGCTCTGATTGGTCTCAAACTCGGGTGTCAACGTCACTGATTCGGATGCGATACTATCATCTTCATTCTAATGAATACAGCATTTATTTTGTTAGAGTCACATAATATTTCATGAGATAATTGTGGAACTACATTTTGCTCCCCTTCTATTTCAACCTCTTTCGAACCAAGAGTCGATCCAATAGGCTTAAATCCAGCATGTGGCTGGGGAAACGAGTTCAACGTGCCGACGTTCCCGCGGACAACAGTGCCGATGGTCCCATTATTTTGATGAATCACCACCTGTGGTTTGGAAACGCGTTTCTGACGTCGTCCAGTTAGGCGGTTTTTATCCCAACAGCGGGAACGAGCCTTGTCCGATATACGACCCTAGTAGAAATAATGAGTTAATTGAATCAATACCCTCCCCCACTGAAGTAACAGACACCAAGTAGGTAATCTGAGGTTCAGTGGGACCACTGGAACGCGGAGCAGACACCCAGTAGGTAATCTGTGGTCCAGTGGTCCACCGGGACGCGGAGCAGACACCCAGTAGGTAATCTGTGGCCCGGTGGGAGCCGACGGCAAAGCAGATACCCAGTAGGTAATCTGTGGCCCGGTTGCGTCAAGTAAGGGCATTGGTTTTCCTATGAAATCGATTAAAAAGTTGGAAGACTTGAAGTGACTTACCCCCCGACTATATTTAGTCAGTAGCAACTTGGCTTTTGATAGTATGGTCACATCCTTTGTGTTGGCGACGATGTGGTTGAGAGAAGCGAGATAGTGATCCACGACTTTGTTGAAGTTGAAAGGGGTTTTGTGCTTACGTGAGCTTTGGTACTCCTCGCCTAAAAACGTCACCAGATCCCAATCGATGGGGACTTGTGAAAGAAAGTCCTCATCAATTATGACTAAAGGATGTGTCAGTAGAGCTCAAGTGGAGTATTTGCGATGGTGATTACCCGGCATCGTGGTTTTGGTGTTGAGTTTGACGTGGAAGGAGGATGCGGAGGAATGGGGAGGATCTTGGGTGCATGCGCTAGTTGTATGATCTGGCAAAAGAGGGGGGCTGGTATGTGCGCCAAGACGGTGCGCCCAAGACGTGTGCGTGCCAAGATTATGACTGCTCCGCCAAGAGCGGATTATTGCCAAGACCTCGACAATAAGAACCTACTTGACTGTGGCAACGGGTAAAAAAATAAGCCTCCAATTACGATTTGCTGGCGGAGGAGGCTTATATAAGCGTTTTGCACCCAAAAAGGGTCACTTTAGCATTACCTTGGTGTAAGCCTCCAAATCGGGTAATGCTCTGTCCCACATAAGGCATATATACGCCTTTACCTGCCCAAAAGCCTGATTTTAAGGCAAATCTTAGGTTACGTAATCATAATTAGTGGCAAAATAGGCATTATTTCGTGATATGTCTTAAACAGCGCTTATTTGAGCTCAACGCTGATTGGCTAGGAAGTATTATAGGTAGGTAATCCTGATATAGGGCTTATCTAAGCCGGGAAACTGTGGATGACTAAGCCTGTAGCTGAGCCGGGTAACTCCCTAATCTATGTAGAGGCATCCGAATCATAACTCATCTTTCCCTCCTAACCTCGTACAACCTTCCGCGCGTGATTTTGGTACGTTTCCTTCTACCTAGTACGTAATACATGTAGATACTAATCTTCGTTTTAGCCCTTTAGCCCACGATACCCTTGTTTTACTTTTACCCTTAATTAACCCTGTCGCGTCGCACGGGGCTTGACGCTTTGCACTCAGCAGTGCAACTAGCCAGCGGTGGGGTCCTACCCCCCACCAATGGGGGCGGGCATCGTGGGGCGCTTCATGGGTTCCTGTCGTTCACGGTCCTTTGGGCCCTGAACGTTCCCGACGCGTCAGGTTTGTGGTGTCAGCTTCGAGTCGACAGATAAGCGTTGTGAGCCTCTTACATGGGGACCGGGGTACTGGCTGCTTTCCTGGCGTTAGGGGATCCCTCCTGTATATCATTCTCCCAATTTTGGTGTTTACTAACCCCCGATACTGTGCCGCTTCACCCCTTTTAGATCGTTGCCTAGTCATCGGACCTGCCTTCGTACGCTTCGTACGAACGTGGCGGCATCGTCGAGAGATTAAATTTGTGGATGGAGCGGGCATCGCTTTCAGGCCAAACATGTGGAAGTTTGGTGCCTGCTCCGCGATCTAGATTAGGATCCGCGCACATAGCTGTAGTACGTCTTTTTGGGATATAGGGCTGTATTGCGCGATAATTAGGCATGTAATCTACGTACAATTAGACTCCAGGCACCGATTAGGAGGTGCATATGTATCTAGATACCCAAGCGCTCAGGTAAAAGTCGTGTTTTGGCTGTACTGCGCATCAAAACGGTGATATTACGTGAAATCGTATCGCGCGTATCGCCACTAAAGTAGGGTTAGGGTTCAAAAATATCGTTTCTTGGCGATAGGGCTCAAAAAATCGAAAAAACGACATTTCGGCTTATAATTGGGCCCGTACACTAGATTAGGGGGTATCACGACAGAATATTGCTTTTTAATCACATTTTATTGCTTTTTCCTAGACTAGGGTCGTAACGTCATGAATCGTAACAAAATCAACGCCTTTTGAGACATCAGGGGCATCAGGGGCACCAGGGGTAATTATATCGTGCATCTTGGTGGGTATTAGGGTGTGGATTCCGAGCTCAAACAGCACCACGTGGGGCTTTTTTGCCTCGAGCTCTAGTATTCCTTCCAGGCGCAGGGGCAGGTGCAAGGGTTGCGGCTTGAGCAACACCAGGCGAAATCGTCGTGGTGGTGGTGGTGGTGGTGGTGGTGGTGGTAGGCGTGGTAGGCGCAATACTAGGCGCAACCGCCCTAGGAGGTGTAATTGGTACAGCAGGCGGAATTGGTGCAGCAGGCGTAGCTGGTGCAGCAGGCACATCTTGTGCAGGGGTAGGCGCACGAGGAGTCTGCGCAATACCGGGAGTTGGCGCAATATTAGAAGTACGGGGAGCCTGCGCACGTGCAGGGGTTTCTTCGTGCGCCACTTCTGACCGCACCTCCTCTCCCCAATCGTCGTCGTTGCCCGCCAAATCTACCAAAACTTGGCCTGTATCCTCGGGTTGAGGTGCACCTCCGGAATCGTCATCGGGAAGCATAAAGAAGCGCGTGTCGTCATCAATATCGTCAAAGTCCTCGTCCCTGCCGTGCCTGACCTTTTTGCGCTTGGTTTTGGGTGGTTTGACGTGATAATGCGACAAATCAATGCCCTCCCACGCCGCCGATGCACCCAATCGGTCCCAGAATCGATTCAACGCCGTCCTATTGTAATCTGCAGAATAGGGTTTGTGGATATGCATCTTGGTAAACGTGCACATGTTGACGTAGATTACTGCACGGATTAGCGATTGACTGATCGCCCAAAGGGGGGGGTATTACCCTTCATCATGAATTGCACTCTTTTGGATGACTTTGCGATATCGACAAGGGGCTCCACCCAGTAGAATATCGACATCAGATTCTCGATATTGTAGGCTTTGGCGTAGTAGTCTCTGATTGCGTCGAGATTACGTGCAGATCGGAATAATACACCCTCCTGGGTAAGAGTCTGCTGCACGTGCTCAAAAAAACGTTCAATCGTCTGATGCTTAATCTGGTGGATACCGTTTTGGGTACGATTGCGTACTAGATTGAATATGGCGGTGTCCTTGACGAAATCGGCACCAAAAGCCGTTGAGATTAGAGAATCGATGTCATCGATCACGAATTGCCTCAGATACGTACGCCTTGCAAGGCTCTTCAGCACCCCAAAGAGGTAATCATTCGCAGGGCTGAGCTCTTCCTGATTGGCGCCTCGCTTGAATTTGGAAGAGCTCAACAAGGCCTTCTTTACCTCCGACAGAAGCCCGGTGCATTGGCTAGGGCGCTCACCGGCCAGCAAGCCGCTGAAGAAGCAGTACGCCATCTGCACATCCTCCACCTCCCAACGGCATCGATTTTTATATGTCTGGTGGCGTCACGTCAGTCAGTCAGTCAGTATCAGCGCACCTACCACCTATCACGGGGGCTATAGGCAATAGACTGTGGTGCCAAGGAATACAACCTAGGTAGTGACGTAGACGTGAACGTAGACGTAAAGGTATGCTTTGACTATGGACTATGGGGTGGCTCTGCCTGGTATGATAAACCGGTTGGAGCCCTATGACGTAGTGCGGACAAAGAATAGTATTCGTGGAATAAATACAGAGGTTGCGTAAGGAAGAAAGAGAAGAAGGAAAACAGACAAAAGTACGAGACAACGCCCCCTTATATATCCATCCATAATCCAACGATGACTAATACCTTCACGTAACAGAAACCCAAAGAACATAACAGAAATCCCCATTACAAATCCTAATTCCACTGCACAATACCTCCTTCCCTCATCCCAGTTCATCACCTAGCCGAAATACGTAGCTGCCGTTACAGACCACGCCCCCCTCTAAGGCCTACCTCCTGGTAGGCTTAGGCTTCTCTGGATAACGCTCATGGAATCGTCTAATAATTTCAGGTGAATGTTCAAGGTCCGATAGCGGTTGCCAGGAGGCTTCGTCATATCCCATATATCGTACCAAATATTCAAATCTTCCTCTTCGTTTCCTCGAATCCAAAATATCTTCGACTTCCCATTCTTCCTCCCCTTCGATTTCAACCGGAGGTGGTGGTAATCGTTGTTGTCCTGGTAAAGGATCATTCGCTTCAGGTGACAATAACGAAACATGAAATACTGGATGAATTTTCATCGACCGGGGAAGTTCCAACTCGTAAGCATAGGGATTAACGATTCGTTTAACGCTATAAGGTCCAATACGTTTCCAGTCGAATTTCTTAGAGGGTCGCTTTGTTAGAATATGACGGGTCGATAGAAAAACCTTATCTCCTAAATAATATCGAGGAGCTGGAGTTCGATTCCTATTGGCTGATTCTTCTTGTATCCTTTGCGCCCGGAACATTTCTTCTCTTAGGAAGTCCACCACATCCTTCATTTCCCTTGCAATACGGTTCGCTTGATCCTCCGCCGTCGTTCGACCATGTTCCAAAGGCCCAAATGTTATCCTAGGATTCCTTCCCGAATTAGCATAAAAGGGGGAAACTTTTGTTGTTTCGGAAACGTGGTTGTTGGTTGCAAATTCAGCCATCGGTAGCCATCGGACCCAGTCGTCTTGTTGATAGGAAACATAGCTTCGGAGGTATTGTTCCATTATGGCATTGATTCTTTCTGTCTGTCCATCTGTTTGGGGGTGGAATGCAGTAGAGAACTTTGGCGAGATTTCCAGTCGATCACAAAGGGACCTCCAAAATTCCGCAACGAACTGTGTTCCTCGATCGGATACCATAGTGTCGGGTAATCCATGTAGTTTCCAGACATTATCAATATATAGCTTTGCTACTTCTCGTGAATCCGCCTCCTTTGTCGTTGGTATCAGATGCCGCATTTTGGTTAGTCTATCTACCACGACCAAAATCGCATTATACCCATCACTCTCAGGAAGATCAGTCACAAAATCCATCGAGACGTCTGTCCAGGGCCCATCGGGGATTGGCATGGGGCGAAGTACTCCATAAGGTGCATTGTGTGATGCCTTGCTACGGATGCACACATTGCAATTCCTGATATACTGATCGACGAACTTCCGCATCTGTGGCCAGTAATATTCTCGACTTAGGAGCTCCAGAGTCTTCGCTCTACCCGGATGTCCTGCAGATGGTTTGTCATGGTGTTCTTTTAAAAGCCTTAGTCGAAGGTCATCGTCGTCTGGTACATATAGCATGCCTCGATAAAGTAGCCGACCGTTGTTATCTTCTGTACATTCGGCGAGTGAAATCTTATTCGAGTGACGAACGCCGTTCCGGAGCATAGCGAGGATCTTATTTGGGAAACTATCCACTTGGTAAGCTTTTGAAAATAACTCCTCTACAGTGGACGCTCCTTCAGCGGATTCATTTGACAAAGAACCCGCGAACAAACTTAGCTTAGTATCCAAATTTTTTCGCTTCAGAATCACTTGACTCTGATGCGTCAACCGTTCATCCCCCTCTTTAGGTAGGTCACCTGACCTCCTAGTCAATGCATCTGGTTTTGTTCCTTGTTTTCCTGGTCGAAATTGTATAACGAAATCAAAGCGTGAAAGAAATTCAGACCAACGGGCTTGTCGACGATTTAACAATTTTGTTGTCATAAAATATTCAAGATTCCGATGGTCGCTAAGAACTTCAATTGGAAATTGAGCTCCCTCCAGGTGATGTCGCCATTCTTCGAAACATCGTATAATTGCTAAAAGTTCTTTGTCGTAGATTTCGTAGTTGCATTCTGCAGGAGAATGTTTCTTGGAAAAGAAAGCAACTGGATGTAGGATTCCTTCGTTGTCACGTTGAGATAGGATTCCTGCTGAAACATAGTCGGATGCATCGGTTTCTATCACAATTTTTCGATCCGGATTAAAATGAGCTAGGATTGGCGCCGTTGTAAACATTTTTTTTAAAGTTTGAAATGCTTCCTCCCTTTCATCCGTCCAATCAAATTTAACATTCTTCTTCGTTAAGGCTGTAAGTGGAGCAACAATTTTCGAATATCCTAAAATAAATCGCCGATAGAAATTTGCAAATCCTAGAAATACTTGAACATCACGAAGATTTGTCGGTGTAGTCCATTCCAAAACATCAATAACCTTCTTTGGGTCCATTCTATTTCCATTCGGAGTAAGAATTAAACCGAGATATTTCGTTTCCTGAACCATAAATTCACATTTTTCAGGTTTAAGGTGAACATGATTCTCATCAAGTACCTTTAGAACCCTTTGAATGTGTTCTTTATGTTCTGGTAGAGTTTCGGAATAGATAAGGATATCATCTAAGTATGCCGTTACAAATTGGTCGAGATAGGGACGTAAAATATCATTGATCCAATGTTGAAATGTTGCAGGGGCATTAGCTAATCCAAATGGCATTACTGTATATTCGAAATGTCCGTATCGAGTTCGAAATGCCGTTTTCCATTCATCTCCCTCCGCTATCCTGATTTGATTATATCCCCAACGTAAATCCAATTTCGTATAGTATTTTGCTCTTGACAACTTAGCTAGGGTTTCCTTTAACAATGGTAACGGATATCGATTTTTGATTGTGATCGCATTTAGGCCTCGATAGTCAACACAAAGTCGAAGAGTTCCATCGTTTTTCTTTACGAACAATATAGGTGCTCCCGCTGGTGATTCACTGGCCCGAATGAATCCTTTAGGTAAATTTTCATCAAGATATTCCCGTAGTGCTTTCAACTCAATTTGAGACAATCCATATATAGGTCCATATGGTGGTCGTTTACCTTCTTCCAGTACTATCTCGATGTCGTGGGATGGTCGATGTGGTGGGAGAATCGAAGCGTCGTATTCTTTGAACATATGGAGACGATGGTGAAACTCTTTCGGTACTAATTGTTCAATGTTGACCGTAGATTTTTCGGTTGCTGAAATAATGACCGTATGGTGTTCCGGTAAGGGAATCGAGATACCATGAACAATGACTACAGTTCCATTGAGTGAACAGTATTGACAACAGCTTCGAGAGTCAAAAACAAGTAGATTTTCTTTTGGTCGAATCGTAACATCATGTCGTCGCATCCAAGGTATCCCCATCACAATCGGATAATGTCCTAACTTCGTTACAAAACATGGCGCAACTTCCCGATGACCATGAATGTCTAGCGAGACATCGACAATGTGGGTAATTTTTCCTGACTTAATAGGCCTTCCATCTATAACGTCTACATGGCGGGGTATTTTGAGGGGGGACATTGTAAGATTGTTGTGGCGTGCAAAAGATTCATCAATAAAAGCATATCCTGATGCTCCGGTATCAATAAGGGCGTAGGTAGGTATGAAAGAATTTTTATTCTGTGAAATCGAACAAGTTACTACAAGTTGATTTCCATCCATTTCCTCCTCTGATACCGAAAAACCAGAAATACACATCCTAGAAAAATCCTTAAATGGTCCCTGGGCTAAGCCACTTAGTGCAGGGACAAATCTTTTGCCGACTCGTTATCGCTTCCGCCATTTTCTTCCACCGTCAACGCTGCTCCTCTCATAACAGGCCTCCTTGGTTGGTTTCCCGTTGCCCTCGCTTGGGGGCAATCCCTAACCATATGTCCAACACCTCCGCAATAGAAACATCGGCCCTCAACTAAGCGGGCGTTTCTTTCGGCAGGCGTAGGGCGACGACGTCCTCCAGACAGATCCATGGGTACATCACCTCCAGGACGGAACGAGGGGTGATTCTCAGTGGCAGGTGGGTTGGCAGCAGGGGCAGCAGGACGGGGAACAGGAACAGGATTTGTTGGTGGGGGACGCGGAGCCGGGGTCGCAGTAGTAGTCCAAGGTTTTTTACTACCTCGCTTAGCTTCCGCTGCGCGTCGTCGGTTATCCAACCGTTGCAAGAGTGTTGCACAACCATCTACCGTTGCAGGAGTCTCATGGTGTATCATCGATTCGTCCAGTTCCCCATTAATTCCTTCCATCAAAGCCTCAATCCGAGAGACTTCATCCATACCCGACTCAGCAGCATACCGTTGAAATTCAGCGAAATAATCGGCAAAGGTTCGAGTGCGTTGTCTGATGTTTCGAAGATTCCTTCTAGCTGTACGCATTCGATCGGGGTCTCCAAAAGCTGTATCCAGAATCTCATAAAATCGTGTCATAGAGGGTAAGGCAATACCTTCTTCTCCCATGTACTGTAAGAACTGATTGGCAGCAGCGCCTTCCAATCTGCTGAACGCGTATGATAGTTTAGACTGTAGTGTGGGATAGCGATCGATGTTTCCTAGTAGCTTAATTTTCATTTGTTGTTTAAATAAGTGTAACCTTTCTCGATCACGATCCCCTCTGAACACGTCGGGGTCTGGGAGTTTCTCCGACCGATAGGTGGTACCTGTAACTGGGGGTGCTGGGGGTACAGGTGGAGCATTGTTTCCAATAGGTTCTTCGTCAGGGGCCACAACCTCAACAGCAGTTCGTTGAGCTCGGGCAGCAGTAAGATCTCGTTCAAACATCCTTCTTGCCCTCTCAGCTTCCGCTTCTACCTCCTGTAAATCCGTTGCGTATTGGATAAGACCATTTTGACACTGTTGAAGGAGCGCATAAGCTTCAGCTCCGACAACGTGATCGACCTGTGGATGCGCTTCAAAAAATCTTTGGAGATTATCATTGAGTTGTTGATAATCGACATGGACATGTTCCGACATTGTAGACTATGGTGTTGTATTGGTTGGCGATAGAGGACGCAACCTACGTATCACGGGGGCTATAGGCAATAGACTGTGGTGCCAAGGAATACAACCTAGGTAGTGACGTAGACGTGAACGTAGACGTAAAGGTATGCTTTGACTATGGACTATGGGGTGGCTCTGCCTGGTATGATAAACCGGTTGGAGCCCTATGACGTAGTGCGGACAAAGAATAGTATTCGTGGAATAAATACAGAGGTTGCGTAAGGAAGAAAGAGAAGAAGGAAAACAGACAAAAGTACGAGACAACGCCCCCTTATATATCCATCCATAATCCAACGATGACTAATACCTTCACGTAACAGAAACCCAAAGAACATAACAGAAATCCCCATTACAAATCCTAATTCCACTGCACAATACCTCCTTCCCTCATCCCAGTTCATCACCTAGCCGAAATACGTAGCTGCCGTTACACCACCCCCTGCACCGTACTCACGTTGATCTCGAAGATACGCACTTCCTTCTCAGCGCTGGCGTCCGAATCTGCCATATCTGGCATACTGACGAAGATTGGCGATGGTCTGGTAGGTTAGCGATGGTCTGGTAGAGTAGCGATGGTTTAGTAGACTGGCGAGGTGTGGTGTGATATCTTCGTGGAGGTTGACGATGGTTGAGGACTATCTTAAGACCGCGCTAGCCGTATTAGGCAGGTGCACGGGCCATATGAGGCTCAATGAGGCGGAAGTAGGGTGTGGTGACGTCAACATACCAGCATCAACCTCCACGAAGATATCACACCACACCTCGCCAGTCTACTAAACCATCGCTACTCTACCAGACCATCGCTAACCTACCAGACCATCGCCAATCTTCGTCAGTATGCCAGATAGGGGCCTTGATCTCGATCGATTCCTAGCATTACCTGGTAGGGCTATACACGCGTTAGGCAAGCGCAAACGTGACGGGGAGCGCCTTTGCACCCCAGATGCCGATAAGGACGACGAAGACGAGCCTCCTGCTGAGCACGAGCATCAATCTGAGCATCAATCTAAGGCAGATTTAGAGCCCGATTCTGAGCCTGATAATGACGAATATCCGGTGGTATCTGATGACGAAGGACGCCCTGATATCTTGGAAGGAAACACCGTTTGGACCGAGCAATTGGCAGAGCAAAACGCCGATATAGAGGAGGCAGAAGCACCCGTTTTGCAGGAGGCGGAGGAGGCGGAGGCACCCGGAGATGCAGAAACGGTGCCTGAACCGACGATTGCTTGGAAACCTCCTACTTCAAAGCACCCAATGAGCCCGTTTCTTTTTGCTTTTGCTGTTTGGTGTGATAGGGTTAATATTAGTCGCCCAGATTACGCTGCTTTGCTCGAGGTAATACACCTAGCACGTGACAACCCGGATGTTTGGAAACACCTCCCAAATACGCTCGACACCCTCCAAAACCATTACCAGGCACAGATACCCGCACCGCCAATCTACGAGTGCAAGATCGATCTCAGATTAGATAAGATGCCAACGGGTCAATCAGGGGCTGGTAAAGCCTATTTTTTTGACCCAATCGAGCTGACACAGACGATATTACGCTCTAAGATGAGGCAGCACATGCATTTTGGTATGGCGCAATTGGTGGAGGAGGCGTCAGAATTGTGGCACGGAGAGGCTTGGGCGGAGTCTATTCGCACGTGCAGTGGTGTATTTGCTCGATATCCTGACGGTCTTACACCCTCCTAAATTGCACCCAATTCTAAGCAAATCAAGACTGACTAATCAACAGGCTCTCCCATATTTCCTTCTGATTTTGTCACGTATCGAGAGTCCAATATGCTGCATGCTGGGCGTGTACGATGCATTTACCAAGACATGCGTACCGCACCTACCGCCGGTGCACCTACCGCCGGTGCACCTACCACCGGTGCGCCTACCACACCCAATATCGTCGTATATTTAGAGCCCGTCATGGGATACGTCGATTTGGCTGACGATATCAAGCCTTTGGTGACGCACCCACCACCCCACCCTGGAGAGTGCTTCCTAATCGAGGACATCAGGTTGATATCAGCCAATCAGATATTCGCTAGATTAGGTGAAAACGTCACATTTGATCGCGATTTCCGTGACGACAGAGACCTCGCTGAAGAGGCTGAATTGCTCGGCAGTCAAGAGGCTGCTAGAGAGGGTGCTAGGTTAGCACGTCAGGCAGCACGTCAAAACGCTGGTATGCGGGTGAATCAAGCCCAGGCACCAAATCAACGCCAGGCACCAAATCACGGTATGCCCCCACCTCCGCCTCCAAACCAAGCCTTCAACCCTACCGCATTAATCAATATACGCAGGGTAATCAACCTATCAAAACGCTCGATTAGGGCAGTACGTCTTACCCACCCAGTCAGGGCAGAGCTCGAAATCAAGGCGTACGGTAGGCAGGTGCTTGAACGTGATTTTGTATCACGTGCAGGGCAACGGCCAATCAGATGCATGCCCCAGATGACGTTTATCGACGGTTTTGGCTTATATCGCAATATGTACAGATCGCTGACAGGTGGGTGTATGGCGTATACCCCCCCCTTTGTGATTTACCGTACTGACTGATGCGCATCAGGGGTATATATGATACCGTCTAACCTACCAATCAGAGAGCGTACCAGGCTCGTTAATGTCTTTCCCCTGACGCTTGGACCACACGGTAGCGATTTGCGCGACGTTTTAGGGTGCCTGGAAACGCCCTCCAAAAAGCTCGAATCCGGGGTAATAATGCAGATTCCGTATGGCGAATCGGAGGCGCTAGTGGAGGCGTTTGTGTCGTCATTTGCGCTAGGGTATCTAGGTGATATGCCTCAGCAAAACGAATGCGCTGGCTTCCTGCGCCAAAACGCTGCTTTCGGGTGCAGAAGCTGCCTAATACCATCAAAAGAATACGGCAATTTGGACTACGATATCACCAAAAGAGGCAGATATCACCACGTGACGCTAGATATTAGGACTAAAGTGTCAGATATGCCGCCTACTAGGCGCAAAGCGCATCTCCGAGCGCTGGGTATCAACGAGCTGCCCTCCCCTGTTTTGACGTCATTAGCTCCCGCAATTGACGTGTGTAGGAGCTTTCCGCCTGACCCCCCCCATGCCGAGATGTCCGGAATAGGGCGTTTACTTCAGGATCTTTTGATCGACAATCTCCTGTTGCCCAATCAACGTGAGGCATACGCCTCCGTCTTCCGGAAGCAAGCCCTACCACCAGGCTGGTGCAGGGTGCAAAACCCCCTACGTCATCGCAATTCCTGGGATTTGAGCGAGCAAAGCAGGGCTTGTGTCATAACGGCGATGGTTTTGCGTACCTGGCTGACAAATCAACGCCTCCAACCTGCCCTATTACGTGCTATCAGAGCAGAGTATGATGCAGAATTGAGTCCTGATTTGCGCCTAAAAGAGTGCGATATCGTGACTAGGGTCTATAGCCAGTTAGCATCGAGCTACACCCTGATTACCAAGCACTGCTTGAGCGCTGATAACGTGCAGAATATGAGCTCTTCAACGCTAATTTGCCGATCTCTGTCTCTTAGGCTGATCAATTGCGCGATTAGCGCAGGTACGCGGGGCAGAGGTGGTGTGGCATCACGTGCCTCCTCCTCAGGTGCCTCTCCAGCACCCATCAACGAAGACGACGATATCTCTGAGCCTGGGAGCCAATTAGGGGGTGCTCAGCCACCAAAGGCGTCAGCTAACGTGCTCGGGGGGTGGCTGAATCGACCAAATATCCACGTTGCAGTGCATTATCACGATTACTGCAGGCAATACGCCACTATCTGGAATACCAACGTCCTAATCGGAGAGCAATATCACCGTCTTTTCAAACGTCAGGTGACACACACCAACCACAAAGACGTTGAATTGCATCTTCTCCGCCACGACGGTAGGAAAAAGACCGTTAGATTTGTCCTAGAAGGCGCTTTCGAGGAGTCAAATCCGGAGATATCACGTGCCTTTGCTGATCTCAAGAAGGTGTGCCCTACCCTAATCGAATATCTGCTACCAGTGTCTTCACACCAATATCTAGAGGAAGCAGAAACAGGGGTAGAATCAGCACCAAATCACGTCAATCCCAGGGTTTTGGGTCGAGTTCCCGCCAATTACGTCAGAAACACCGCCCTTTTACCTACCAAATCACGTGCTTCTGGCGTCTTTGACGATATTCTCCGATTAGCGTACAAAAGGGACTATTTGCGCCCAAATATCGTCGATTTGGGTGCTAAACCGTATGCTTACTACCAGCGATTCACCTTTGTCGATCCTACAGAGCAGAAACGTATAGGGTTTACCAAAGGCACATATATTACCCTAAGAGCACCAAATCAGGGCGATACACCTCCACTGGTAGGCCAAATCGAGTATATCTTCACCCACAAATTGCACCAAATCGAGCGCCTATTCGTACACGTGCAGATATATGACGACACCGGAAAATTAGACCCAATATCATCGATTCCGGTGCTCAAATCAACCAATCGGAGAGCAGTATACGGGCTACCCGCTGTATCGTCAAAACGCCTCTATATTCTGCCTTTTGACCCGTCAGAATCGTCTTTAGATAGGCGCTTTTGGTGGTGCAATTGGGACGTTAGGTTCTGCTGATTTATGCTAAAAGGGGTGCACTAAGGAGGGTGTGGTGCGCAATAGGGGTGCACTAAGGAGGGGTGTGGTGCGCAATAGGGGTGCACTAAGGAGGGGTGTGGTGCGCAATCAATAGGGGGTTGGGGTGCACTAAAAAAAGCACTGTACTGTACGATTAGTAATTGCTTAGTAATAATATAAATACGTGCTCTAATATAATACATATCCACCAATAATCATGCCGAGGTATTGATCGTTATTTAATAGAGAGGTATATATGAAATTAAATCTTAAATAACGCTTATTTTTGTAAAATCTTATTTACCCGTAAGGCTAAGATAACGTATATTAATGTAAAAGAATACTTCACGATTAAAGATTATATAGTCATTATTTTCAAAGATACCTTATATTGAAATAAGCGATCATACACCGCGTAAGCCTTTTGTGAACTAATGCTTAATCGCTGGAGTTCGTCGTTAGAGACTTGAAATTAGAATAAGCAATATACTACCCAAAACGGTGATATTTGCCTTATTTGAGCCTACCCTAATGATTATTTTTTTACTGCTTCCCGCAGTCAAGTATCCCCGTAGCAACCGACCCGGGATCTAACTCTGGCTTGGCAAGGCCGATTGATACGACCCAAAGCTCTCGTTTCTCGGAGTCTCATTGGGACTGCAGCAAACTGGATTTCTTGAGCTCATTGTTTAAAAATTTAGCTCAATCTTCCAAGCTCCCGAACAGGTCTACTAATAATACTTTGCAATCTGGAACGACCAGCTGCAGGGAATCAAAGAAATAAGTGACTACCGTCTAAGGAAACCAGTTTTTAAAAGCACCATCTTCTATACAACTTGCGCCTGTATAGCTAATGCTCTAGCTTTGTACTTCTACAACCTCATGATATCCTCACGGACACCATTGTTTCAACTCGCCCCTCTGGATCTGGTTCAGTCCCATCAACTACACGGGTTCCCCGGGGCTTGAACAGACCGGGCTAACGTGTGGAGCAAACAATGCCTCAAGTGCATCTATAAACATGCCCCACTTCAATATTCGGCCTTTTATAAATCCTAGAATCCACCATACTATATGTACTCCACTGACCACGTTCACAGCAATCACTGCGAATACCCAGTCCGAGTATTTTCTTCTATCACCAAAAAACCGCCAGTCCATGTCTTTGTTGGGGCCATGTATGACTTGGTTGCCAACCTTGGTCCAGAAATAGCAATAAAATACTGTGAAAAATGAAAGAAGCAAGCTCTCTATCGTCATCCGTTTCTGGTCCCATGCTGATAAGGTTTCAAAGACTGAGTTCAGAAGAAACAATTCAGCAAGCGCAACGGCTGAATTAAAGCTATTGAGGATCAACTCTAGCCTAACGACTGGATGGTCTGATGGAAGTATAAGAACGAAATATAGCAGTGTGCTTGCTAGCGGGAGGACCATGACAACAGTATAAAAAGTGTGGAAGAAGAATCGATTCGAGTCACTTTCGCTACTCGGAAAACTGGTGATACGGAAAAGATGGCCGTTTAATACCTCTTGGAACGTGAGTGGCATATCGGCCGAATTTGAACTATGACGACAGCCCATATGCGCATACGGGAGACGAGATTGGTCTTTCGAGATTGTATAAAGGTACATCCAGTACTATGAGTTTGAGCCATGCGCCAGTGAGATAAGATCATAAGGTAAAGGGCTCGGTCGAACTTACTGAAGTCAGCCATAGATAGATACACTGTCCTATCCATGCAAGGTCCATCAGCCGGAATGCAATTATCTTGCCACGGCCGGCGAGAACCTCAAACACGAGATATACAGACAGAAATAACGTCATGGTGAAAGCTAGGAATAAACGAACGAAGAAAAGATGTCTGCTGGACAAAAAGCTCCATGGTGATTCAACGACTCTCAAGAAGAGATCTGAATCTGTAGGTGGGATGTGATCTACCACCTGGCCGAGCAGTGGGGTGCTGTCATTCATTACTCTCAAACAGCTATCCAAACGGTGGTAGGATAATATACATGTATGGTCGCTTTGATGCTTGGAAGGAAGAATATAGGTCTCACAATAAAGCCACATATATTTCTAGATGTTTTTCCCCCTTCTCACGCTATATCTGGATACTGCGCTGCATATCGGGTATGCTCTAGCTACATGTATCTTATTAACGTTAATGCAAACTATAGAAATTCTAGAATACTGCGAAGCATTCTTATACGTACATGCAATTTATGCACTTATGTCTCTCAATTGCCTGCATCATAATAAATCACTCGCCCGAAAAGCTGCCTCGGTTGGTCGTTTTGATTGATTGATTTCATCATTAGGAGCTCAGTTCGTCGTTTCAAATGTGAGTGCATTCAACCATAGATAAATCTCAACCACTAATAAAAAGCATCTAATAATACATCATGCCTCCGAAATCGATATTACCGGGCTTGACTGATAACTCCGAGCCTTTGCCGTTCGACCCTTCAGCAGATCAATCACCCCTCTGTGTCCTTTCAACATCGCAAAGTGCAACAAACTCTTGCCATCTGCATGATTTATGTCGATAGTAGCTCCATAATCCAGGAACTTTTGAACAGCAACCTCATTACCACGCGTCACAGCGAAATGAAGTGGCGTCTGTCCGTAGCTAGTCTTAGCGGTGACATCAGCCCCCCTATCGAGCAGCAGCTGTACCACTGGGTCGTGTCCATGGCCCACGGCTTGATGAAGTGCGGAGTGACCTTGGGTGGTTTGAACAGAAACGTCGGCACCGCTTTGTAGCAAGAGCTCCACCACTCCTTCATGCCCGCGAATAGCAGCTAGGTGCAACGCGGTCTGGCCGTCGCTCGTCTGGCAGGTAATGTCGGCACCATTCTTCAGAAGAACTTTGACTGTTGATTCATCGGCGTGTGCTGCGGCCCGGTGTAATGCTGTATGACCATCACAGTCCATCGAGGTGATATCGGCGCCGTTTTCTAATAATATTGTTATGATAGCGTCGTATCCATGAATTGCCGCCGTGTGGAGTGCTGTTTGCTGATTTTTATCGAGTAGATCAACATCAGCACCGCTATCTAATAGTGCTTCAATGGCCTTCTCGAGCCCATGCCGTACTGCCCAGTGCAGCACCGTCTTCCCATCAACCTCTCCAGCAATGGATATATCGGCATTTTGTTCAAGTAGAAAGAGAATCATCGCCTCGGACCCGTAGCGGCACGCCCAATAAAGAGGACTTTGCCCCCTTCGATCCTGGGCATCGATGGAAGCACCTCTATCCAAGAGTACTGCAGCCACTGAGGGGTTCCCATATTGGGCCGTGACATGAAGAGGTGTTCCGCCAGTATACATGTTGTCTTGAGCTGTATCAGGGTCTGCACCAGCCTCGAGAAGTAGCTTTGCAATGTCGGCGTGGCCGTATTTTGCAGCCCAGTGGAGCGGTGTGTCTCCGTGAACATCCTTCCCCGTGACGTCGACACTTCGGTCCAGCAGAAGTTTGACGACACCCTTGCTACCATTCTTGACGGCTCGGTGGAGGACTTTACCAGGGCTATTGTAGACCTGGTCTTGAAAATTGATGTTTGCACCTCTTTCTAGAGCAAGGCAAGCGAGACTTTCATTGCCATGATCTACCGCCCAAGTGAGTGCAGTGACACAATTGTTTTCCTGGATGGCTCTCTCGTTGAGGAGCGGGGTAAGGGCAAGAGCATGGCGTCGATTCGTTCGAAGGAGGGAGTTGAGATCCTTGACACTAAGTCTTTGTGCAAGAAGTTTGAGGATTTCGTTTGTGATGCCGAGGGAAGTCATTTTGCTATTGAAGACAGATGGTTTGCGAGTTTGAATTTGTGAAGATTTGGAATGAGTGTATAGTTGGGGAGTCGAATGCCAGGTTTTGATGCTAATTGTCTAGGCATTGTATGGCATTACCGGTAACAGTTGATTGGTGATAGATTGGCTCCGATAAATATTATGTGCATTTATTCCCTACTTACTGGGCTCGGTATTCACCAACCCCTCGGGAGGGTGATCCGAGACGGTGGGTATGATGAGCTCACATGATAGTGTTCCGCCCAAGTCTTTTCTTCTCTTCTACAAGCCACTCTTTGCCGTACAAGTCTTCTAGAACTCGTTTCATAGAGTCGGATCCGGGGATGGAGGCACGCGGTGTGGCTGGTTTCCGGTGTCTGATATTGAGTACCCCAAGTGGAAAGTAAGGCATATCTGTAAACAAACAAGAAAGCCTCATAGAAAGAATAAATCAATTGTACGCCTTGGGTTTGAAGATACAGTCATAGACTCCGTGTAAAGAAAATTTTTACAAAATCACGTATTGTCACTCGCAACAAAGACAAATGTAAGTTTCGGCCAGGCCATTTTAATATTACTCGTGGTCTGAAGATCTCGAGTCAGATACTGTGAATGATGTATTCGACGAAGTACAATTCAATCAAATAGTGAAAGATCGCCTCTTAGACTTCTTTTTTTCAGAATGACTCACAATAATTCTTAACAAGAATGGCGGTATTTATGTCGAAGTACCAGTAAATACATACAGCACAGACAATGGAACACACGTAGTCTTTAAAAGCACAAATAATTGAGCAATAAAGCATCGGTATTATTGGCTAGATATATATACCGGAAAAGCACATATATGTAGTAGACGCTACGAGCACAGATATGGCGCTTAACAGTTGTGTCAATCATTGAAGTCACTTTTTATCTTCTTCTTCTGTGTCATTGTTGCTACACACAACACAGTGACGTTGCTCATGGCCAAGGTAAAGATAAAAATTTAGTATATTGAACATCACTGTTGATATCCCAACACATACCGTACGAAAGCAATTTCATAGTAAAAGCTACCTAATTACTAACCGCTCTCTTCCCGTAAACCCTTAACCTTTTTACTCCTCCATCTGGTATGATGACCATTTTCACATGCGTCACTACATTCCCTGATACATCCTTCAGCATTGTTGAAGGGAAAGCATGTTCTTTGTCTGCTTCGCATGGGTATGCTTCGACAATCTTTTGCCACTCGGGTGCGCTCGCGGCCACAACATGGTCGGACACAGCATTTATCGCGTAAATCTCGACAGCCTGAGGATAGTTACCGCGAAAATGAAGTGTATCAACTACAATTTCTTCAATATACCCTGGCGCGCCCTTTTAATTGGTCAAAGAATAGTCAGTTTGCATCCTGAGGACCACTTTTAGAAAAGACCCTAAAAGGCCCAGTGTTAGACAAAAGCAAAACTTACGAGCTTTACTATCACCCAGTCTATATGACCTGCCTCTCTACTCCGTTTAGTCTCCCAACCATCACCCATATCCTTGCCCCTGCCCGGGAGCAACAGGTTGTCTTTAGTACCATAGTGTTGATCACTGCAAGAGACTGCTAGTCCCCCGGATGATACATGGGCAAGGTCAATTATCGACTCTGGGTCTACGGGAAAGACCGGTACAGCGTTTCCGTAAAGGCGGAAACGAGCGATCCCTACAAACTTCTGTCAACCTTATTGCGTGCGCCCAGCACAGATCAAGATTAACGAACCTCCATCTGGGTACATGTTCAGCCTTACATGTGAGTAAGCCTTTTTTGTCGGTTCATCTAGTTTCCAAAGGTGTCGCTGGGACGGACCTGTCTCCTGTTTTGGGAGGATCTCATCCCACTGGAAACCGGTGTCAGTTACAGCCTAACCACTACGAATAGGCTTTTCATAAATAAAGGTCTAACCGTAGTGTTTGTATCAGGATGACCGCCATCGATAAATGTCCCCTCAACTGAAACTGCCGGTGCATGATTCCCGTTAAAATATGCTGTGTCGATTTCGACCCCAAGAACTGTTCCACTGGCAACTCCGAGCTATATATATATATTGTGATAAGCTCCCCAGTCCAAATAAAACCCCACGGATCCATTCTCGCCAAATTTACCTTTATTACAACCCAGTCTGCCGGTTCCTTATTATGCCTCCTGGTTTCCCATCTATGTTTAACTGAGTCAGCTGAGGAATTTTGATATTTTAAGACATAAGGTTGGGGAAATACCCATCGTACCATGCCCCCGACGGGACAAAAACTCCCGGTTTATGGACAGGCGGCGCTGGGTTGATCAAATTTTCAGCATCTGCAAAGAATTGATCGCTGAATCCGAGTACCTGGCCACCGAGTGCTGCACTAATCAAGTCTACGCCACAAGTATTCTTATTAGCTATCAGGACATGGGTACATAATCATAATTGTCGTCTAGGTAAATGAAGCTTCCTACCAATACTAGAAGACCCAAAGGTTTCTTGCACTTGAGATATATCGATACGTTGAGGCATTGTTTGATTAATTTTGTGCTTTTGAGGATGACAGGAGGTGCGGGGCTGTGGTGAAGATATATGTAGATGATCTGTAGGAAGTCTTAAGTGCTTGCTTATCGGCTGTCCCCGCGAGTCGGGTCTTGCCGCTGATATAGGCAACCAAGACCATTTAGGTTAGAGTGGATGACTAGTGTGTCTCACCGCCCCGGGAAGCTTTATGCTACTATTTCTAAAGTAGAGTATGTACCTACTGGTAGAGTACAAATGTACCTATCTAGAGTACCGCAGAATCTCAGGAATAACGAATCGGACTGGGCTGGAATACCACTTACCCATTGGTCAAGATGACCAAAAGTTACGCTTTGGGTCTGTGGGATTGAGGCTCAACAAGCATTTGACCAATCCGAAGGCCAATATTCCAGTCCAGTTCGATTCGTTATTCCTGAGATTTTGCGGTAGTAGAGTAGAAAGTATGTCACTTTGTAAATCATATGCATGTATCTGCTCTAGAGGGTAAATTGCTCACATCGCGGACCTGGAGATTACCTATGCGATCCGCGGTTGTAAATATGGAGTGGATTTGGCCGGCCCGATCAACCAGAGCGCAAATCATGACCTTTCAACGATATTTCTGCTTCCCCTCTAGCTAGGTTTTGTGGTGGGATAATCCAGCCAGCCAATGTCGCGTCCAAAAACTCCATGTATGCTAATGCGTCTACTCTATTTAAATTATCCGAATGGCAGTTTGTCGCACCCTCTGTATGTACTCTACGTGTCAAGGTGTCTAATATACTCATATTATATTATGCCAATTATACTTTATACATTCCTACTCACGGTAGAATTCTCATGTCAACAATTTAGTGAACATCCTAATATATAAAAGAATATGTTCCAAAAATGTTTCGTTAAAACCTAACCCTACACCAGGCGCCCTCACCGTTGAATGGAATACAGCAAGTATCAATCTCTTGGCTCACAAAAGGATAAGATGAGGTAGTCCCGGGGGCTGATGGGAAGGTCTACTTGCAATTGCGTAAGGGCCTGGGTACCTGTACTCGGGCTGTAGGAGATCAAATTCAGGTCCTCAAATTCTCTAATTCTAGACTGCACACATGCCTTTGGGGCGGGACAAATGGTGATCCGGGGGGTAACACCCGGAGGCACCCCTAGCAAAAGGATATCAAAGTATTTTGATCTATGCTGTGCAGTAGAGCTACATACATGTACTTGTAGTCGTCCAAATCAACGCTGTAGGCAAATTAAAATGCATCGTGAGATGTGCAGATTCCGGGGGCTTCTTAACATAGGTACCAGGCCCTTAGATCTGCACGTCTTACCAGGCCAAGGTCCTTCGGGTGCATACATGATTGGCGGAAAGTTCGGTGGCTGACTCATGTTACTTGTATAGCAATCTTAACTTTCGAATCTTCGTTAGTTTTCAATGATTAAATATACAGGTATGTAGATACACGGGTTTATAATTACGGCATTAGATATGTCACGATCACTAGCAATTCTTCTTGATAAAGTTTGGCTTGGCGGGTGCAATAGTGCGGTACTAATGTAAGTACATGTATGTACACAATGTATCCGCGGTAATCGGCATACAATTATCGGGAAGGGCCGAAACGTGGAGACAGCGAGATAGCAGGGACTCGTTGTTCGATCATTGTATTATCAGATGACGTGACGTGATAAAACTATAAAATGCGAAATTTGTCACTTCCAGACAGTTGTAGAGCTCTAGACTATCTCAGGATGAGAGAAAAATTTAGACGGCCCAGCCCATCATTGTAGTGTGCTCATATAAATTGTTTGGTCTTCTTTTGAGCTGAGGAATTCATACATACATGGTCTCTTAATTGATCTGGTCAAATCAATAGTCGCCCGCACTAAATGCCCAATATTCAGCAATTAATTCTATCAGTTATTGCAAGCGCAATACAATGCTAAACAATAACACAACAGCTTGATCTATCCTTCTGCTAGAAACAAGCGGATTTGCGAGCTTCAGGAAACAAAGAAACAAAGATGTATAAAGTACATAATATTCCACAAGAGTAGCATTTTCTGGAAGCAGAAAATATTCCCCTCACTCGGAAGATCCTCTCACTCGAAGGGTTTTCTCAGTTGAGATTTCAATCAAACGTTAAACACATAATCTTCGCGTGCCGCGAGTGTTTTGTAGCTTCCATGTTCTGCTTGTGTTTATCGTTGCTCTTTAGCTTCAAAACTGCCCGAATCTTCACCCTTTGTCCAAACCTTCTCAATGTGAATACGGTGCGTTGAGCCATTATTTGAGTCTTTTCTTTGGGGGTAATCCTCATGTTCTTGGTTTCCCATTCCACGATGAATCCGCTCAGTAAAGCAGATAGCTCTTGATCTGACATGGAGTAGTCGATTACCCACTTGTCAAGGCATTTCCATTTCACACTAATCGCAGGACCAAACCGAACAATGATATCCCACTGACCAACGCATTTGAGGCATATACAATAAAAGCCCCAAGAATTCCAAATCCACGCACGTCTCTCCACGACATCGTCTTCCAGTCTCATCTTCTTTTTGGTAAGGTCGCGGGTTTGAGATAACGCTCTTCTTATCCTTTCTGGAGCAGGCTTATTGAGTGACTGAGAAACCAAATAACACCTCGTGAGCTCTTCCCCCGCCTTAATATCTCTGTAGGAATACAGACGGATTCGTTTGATTTCCGTGCATGGATCGTTGTCCTCTATTTGGAACATATTTGGTATGCAGCTGTGATTAATAGTCATGAACACTTCACCAGTTCTGCTACTCCAGGCATCGTGATCTAGACATACCGAGAGGATAGGTTGTCCACGGCGTATGTTCTGTCTGGCAAACAAACCATAGCCAGCGTCTGTCTTGGTGTGCATCTTTCCCCAACATTTCCCCCATCCCATATCGACTGTTATTTTGTGAAAAGATAATCGGTGGATATTCGTACGTGCTTCTCGATAGCCCTCTTTGCGTTGATAGGGACCCAGATGAGCAGGACACTATAGACTCTGTTGATTGAATATAGCTTGGTATTCACATACACATTGGATAGCTAGATTAGAGTATGAAAGATCAAGACTTATTATCTGCGAATTGAGGCACTTGAATGGATGTAATCAATGGTCTATGAAAAGTGTGCCGAGTGAGGTTAGAGGTTGACGACGTTGGCTTAAGCCTTGAGGATCGACGTGTCATGCAATGGTTGAAGCTTACTCCGTGCTAGCAACTACATGTAGTGAGAAGTCACTCGGTTTCGACCACCGCCCCGGTCACAATACCGCTTAGTTGCGTGAATTGTATCACACTAATAGATTGCCCAAATGTGACCTATAAAGTGTCGTATGACCAGATTTCCGGATCGATCACTTGAGATGAGTACACGAATCCTACAACATTCAGCACACTTTTATCATAATGTATATCTGATAGAAGAATCCTTTGATACAGAGTTCGGGGTATGATAGCTTTGAGTCACAATAAATGAATTAACAATAATGACAGCTTCGAGCCACATGAGGTTGCATGCAATTAATGTATTTAAAAAAAAAAAAAAAAAAAAAAAAAAAAAAAGCCTCGAGCCACACGGCTTTTATCGAGTGATTTTTGGTGATTAAACTGCACACGTCAGCTATCTGAGCTTAAAGTGAAAATGTATCAGAACGATATTATACCTTTATGGGTCATAGATCATCCCTAGGTTGCCGTTCATAGGGTTTCTCACCCAGCTGGCCAGATTTGTATTCGCAAATAACTAGAAGTGCGATGAGCATTCGAGATTAAAACAAATAGAATGTAGATACCTGTGAATGTATAGAGTACATAGCTCATGATGATGTAAACAACAACCTTGATTAGGTAAAATAGTTTCCTCGATGTCGTCGACATGGGCAGAGCCGTGGTAACCCAGACCAAATCCCGAGACCAAATTTGCAAATCATAGATCTAGACACTCTTACCTTTCGTCATACCGTCAGTAAGCGAGCTACGGGAGATTTGCTTTTTGGTACACATTCCAGCAAATGCGTCATACATGTAGTAATATCTACGGTATGAGCCGATATCACACAGACCTGCATGAATAGCTCTTCGAATTACATCTCTGTAGCATCGCAACTCAAATTTAGTGATGTGACGAGAGAGGTGGGATGAGAAGACCAAGTTCGCTTATCGTGCATAATACTACATGTAGCAAATCTAGCGGACGGTGCCGGCCTTTGGAGAAGTGAGCTCTGTCTTCTTAGGCCTTGCTTGAATCGATGAGAGTATGTGATGCGGAGAATGAACGAACTTCTTTTGCGAAAAGCTACAGCAGTAGCAGCTGATCTGTGTTACCAACAGCTCCTTGGATTTGTATTTACGGATCTCTGGGTGTACCCTAATAAATTATGCAACTGGGCGCGGCCTTGCGGCTGATCCCCCATCCTATTGTTCGCTTTATGTGTAGTGAAACGTCATTACCCATGATTACTATTATATTGCGGGAAACACTTTTTGGGATTCTGGTTCCGACAAAAAGCAATACACTTGCAAAAGCTTATCCTAGAATCGGGCCAATAAAAGCACCACAAAAGAAGTGAATTGCAATCATTAGCAGCTTGGCGTCGTCTTGAAACACACACACGTCGTTTTGCGGTAATTTATATTGGTTGATGAAATGCTTGTTCTTGAGCTTGTGTGTCGTTGCATCGTGAGATGAGACCGATGTCGTGGGCGAGGAAGGCATAAAGGTTTGAGGGTTAAGTACATTAGTACATGTACCTACATGTAGAGTACCCTGGTTACAGTACATACATGCAGTAGAGCAGGAGATACTTGATCATGATACCAACACCATCATCTCGAATGATACCTTGTACTCTAGCTCTGCCTACCAACGCCCGATGCCGATGACCCGAGAATTGCAGTTACCAGGGGCCAAAAGGTGGGGAATACTTAGTACATTGAGTTACCGGGGAATCCTGCTGCCCTGGAGGAGAACTATGGGGAAGATCATGGATCGTGACTGGGTTTGAAGTTTCTTGGGCCCATGTGAATAGTGTGAGGCATGATTACAATCGATTAGGTTTTCCGCCTCTAATCAAGTCAACTCACGCTTTCGGACCCATCAACTGATAGTTATGATTAATTAATGGCATAAAATCATACCTATTCGATTATTCTGATTGTTTACAGGATGATATTTCAGGCCTTAGAAACCGAATTTCTTCCTAAAATTGGTCTTTCTTTAAGATCCTTGGAGGACAGATGATTATTTCCGCTGTTATTTTTCCTGGTTTTACTGTCTCTTTATACTCATGATTTAATCGATTTATTGCGAAAGACTAATCTTAATTATAATTCGAAATATCACCCCTAACCGAGTCTAATCAAATTATATACTCGATTTTTATACTCGACTATAGTCGACTCATGCCTTGCACACTACAGTATGTATGTATGTAGGTACATACATGTGCCATAAATATAGTGTGCACACCAATTTATCTAGAGCCCCTACACCGTGCAAAGTAAATAGAGGAAGCCATGCACTGACACATGTGTCCACCTATCACGTTAGATACTCTATTCCTGTTTTTAGTTGGTGGGTAGGATTTGTGATAATTTTTGCTAATAATCATATTGTTGGTACGCATAAGTATAACGGCTCTTTCCAGCCTCGAGTGCAAAGGCCCAAAGGTGACGCCGATTATCTCGATACGAAAGAGCTGAGACCTTTAAAGAATCCTTGATTCTACACTGGATCGATGCTCCGGTTCGAATCTGGTTCTAAACCCACCAACACGATACTTTTCGGACAAGCCTTGCCGATATTCAGGGATAACAGGATGGTGATATTAGTTAGAGTACAGCAAGGCAAAGGCCGAGCGGGCGAGCGGGCGGGCGGAAGCTACATAAAGTACAAACATGCGCAGTGTGCAGTTGCAAAACCCCGGTATTGTAACTCCACCTTCGTCATCAACGTTCTGGCTTAGCGCACGCCTCTGTTGCTTGTTTGCGCGTTCCAGAAGCCAGAGGAACACCAGGCCGTTGAAATCGAGAGAAATCAATAAATCGAAGTCACAAGTCAGCCGCCACCGCAAAACAGCCGCCCACCGAAACAGCTGCTGCTGCTGCCCTTCTCTTCTTTCTCCCTTCTGATCGTACCCAACCGGAAGCCGAGCAGTCCGCTGAAACCTATCTGTCTATCTGACTGTAGACCATCTGCACTCTCTAGCCGACTGACTTACACACTCACGAAGTGCTCACTAATAAGTAGAGCAGAGTACCCCTCATCCTCACCATCTTCTCCCTTTCTGTTCCTACTCCTGTTCCTACTCCTCATCCTCTCTCTCTTCTGCCTCTCCGTCCTCTGCCTCTACGCCTTATCTTATCTGAGCGACTTCATTTGGTCTCTCTTTCACTGATTCATCACCTTGAATCGTTATCTGCCTGTTGAACTGGTAGTGGCAACAGACATATCATTTTTCACTGTAAGTCAAACTCATTTCATACTTCACGTTTCCGAGGTTCTTTTCTTTTCCCTCCTTCTTTCTTTCTCTCTGTCTTCTCGGTGAGCTTTCAAGATATAATTTTTGAATTTGGAAGTTTGCACGAGGATTGGGACTTTTCCTCATGTTATCTTTCGTTGGCCCGGAATTTTTTTTTTTTTTTTTTTTTTTAGTTTTCCTTTTTTTTTTTTTTTTATCTGGTACTTTTCATTGTGGGCCCCAAGTGGCGGGGAAAAGTGTATTTGAAATCTGATTTGAGGGGCAACGTGAATTTCAATAAAACTTGGACCAGTCACACTTTCTAACCTACATAATCTCACAGACTCCATCCATCTCACAGACTTTTCTTATTTCTCAACCAGAGGGCACTTCTGTGTTCAAAGTTACAACCAGCAGTCCAGTTGAGGCTCACGAGAGAAAAAGCCCCTGCATTTACCCCTCAATCACCCGCTATCCTCCCAATCTCAACACCATGACGTCTGTACTCCCATCTGTTGCGCCCACCATACAGAAACCACCGCTTTCGCAGACTCACCCTTACACATGCAATGCTTGCCAGGTTGCATTTCGTAACAATGATCAACAGCGTACTCATTACCACACAGACTGGCAGTAAGTGGAATTTTTGGGGCTATTTCCTTTCACTGAAGTTTGCTTGTGCTGATTATTTTGCGCGCACCTTAGTCAATACAATGTGAAGCGCAAAGTTGCATCTTTGCCACCACTCTCCTCTGAGACATTTGCCGAGAAGGTGCTTAGTGCGCAGGCCAGCAACAGACTGGAACGCGAAAAAGCGTCTTTTGAAAAAAATTGCTCGGCATGCAACAAAGTTTACTATTCCCAGAATGCATATGCGAATCACCTTGGATCTATGAGACATAAGCAAAATACCGCATCGGGTTTGAACAACCTCCGCGCTGGCGGGAATGCATACACCGGCTCAAGGTCAGGACGAGTCATCGATGACAAGGATGAGACTGCTAGCGTTGTGAGCAGTACATTTTCGTTGGGCGACCCTGTTGCCACCACCACTGATGCCGATCAATCGCTCAAGGATAAAGAGAACGAGATCGCAGATGTTGAATTTGCCAATGTTGTCAAGGGTCTGAAAATCTCCTCTGATGATGCTAAAAACGATGAGACCCCCTCTCCATCTGGTGAAGAAGCCAAGACATCCGAGGAAGAACCAACGGAACTTGCGCTGGAGGCTTGTCTTTACTGCTCTTATGTCTCGCCTTCTCTAGAACTCAGCGTCTCTCATATGTCAAAGGCCCATGGGCTTTTTATTCCCGAGCGGGCTTTTCTGGTGGATTTGGAGGGCTTGATCCGTTATTTGGGTCAAAAGCTCCTCCTCGGAAACCAGTGCTTGTACTGCAACAAAACGAAGGGGGGATTGGAAGGCGTGAGGACACACATGCGGGATAAGGGTCATACTATGCTTGGATTTGAGAGTGAGGAACAGCAAGTGGAACTTGGCCAGTTTTATGACTTCCGTAGTTCTTACAGCGATGCGGAAGAGCACGAGGGTTCCGGCGACGAGGGAGAGACCGAGTCTAAACAAAGAGGCCTTAAGCCTAACTACATCGTTCGTAAAGAAGGAGAAGTTGAAGACGATGAGTGGGAGGGTGTATCCGATGGTGGATGGGAAACGGATTCTAGCGCGAGCTCTCTCGATTCAACTGAGCTTTGTGCGGTTCCCATTGACCAGAATGGCCATTCCCACAAGCATCATGGAAAGTCAGAAAAGCACCACATGCAGGATGGATGGCACAGCCATGCTCACTCCCGCGCGCACGTCCATGCCGTCTACCATGATGATTTCGAACTACATCTCCCATCTGGCCGCTCAGTGGGTCACCGCTCGCTGAACCGTTATTATCGCCAGAATCTGAGGGATCACCCATTGAACGACAAGGATGTTCGCAGGATTGCAGACACACCATACCCTCACTCAGGTGACGAAACTGAAATCGTATCGGATGACGATGAGGATGGTGGTGTTGTGGTAGCTCTTGATAGCACCGCGACACCGGCGAACAGACGAAGGTCCGCTAGGGAGGAGAAGAGATTGGCACTCATCAGCAGAGCCAATGGAGGGTTGGGTATGCTTGGTGTCAGCGATGCTACGAAGAAGGAAGTGTCGACGATGGAAAAGAAGAGTCGGGACATGGACCAGAGAGGAAGGAAACGTTACGAATGGGGAACCGAGAAGAGATCAAACAAGCAGAAGCACTACAGAGACCCGTTGCTGCAATAGATGCAGGGTTTTGTGGTTGGTACGGGCATGTTTTCTTTGTTTCGCTCATGTGTCGCTCTTTACGGGATGGTGTTTTGAGATTGGCTGGTTGTTGACTTTGGCTTCAAAGGCGATATGATCGATCCCCTTGCATTTTCTTGTGCTTATATCCCTATTTCCCGTTCATTTACCCCTTTATCTTTTCTTTCTTTCTTTCAAAGGCTATAAGCTCCTAGCTGGCTTAAGTGTCTTTTATTCTCTTCAAAAGTTTTCAATGGTCCCTGTGGTGTGTAAGTTCTTCTTTGCTTTTGCTTGCCTGCATTGTAATGGGTCTGATGAATTGATGGTTCATGATTCTGTATGCGTTTATGGTATTTTTCCGGTTTCCTTGCTATTTGTCCCCATTGGTTGGGGTTCTCAGATCGACCGACGGCGTATAGGGCGGGGGGGGGGGGTCAAGGATTGAAGATGAAGTAAATAAAGTCAATAATAGAATGGCGTTTTTATTGAGTGATGGCTTTCAAGCAGAAATAAATTCCAGGGGGGGGTAAAGTGTACTCACAAGGTATCACTCGGTGGCCCCCATGGACATGCCCGATTACCCTGTCTTGTGAGGTGAAACAACTCCATCTCCACCATAGGCTCCACGACGATTTTGCAAACTGCAGTGCAGCGCGCCTTAGCCATATTGCCAACCCAGCCTGATCACATATTTCCCAGGCCTATGGCAATGGGAGATCGACCAACCCCCCCCCCCCCAAATCTCTGCCGCCGGGGCGAGCCAACCAAGAAGCCAACCTGCAAGGAGATAAAGTGTAATGAACAAGACTAACCGCACATCCTCCCCCCTCCACATAAAAAAAAAAAAAAAAACCAACATGCGCAGGTTTATCTTTTATCTAATTGATCATGTAATCTACTCAACTTTTATCTAATAGATCACGTAAACCCTACCCAATGACTTACAGAGCCGATCGGTTTTTTTTCTGAAATATGAAATATAATGCAATTGGCACTAGCTTCCTCGCCTCCAGATCTTCTGCATGCATGGCTTTGTGAGTGAAGTGCGAAATGGAGAGTTGGTTGGATAAACAATATACTTCCCCCCCCCCCCCCCTCCCCTCCCCTTACGTGAGTAGAGAGAGGTGATGGGGATTGGGCCGCCACCCGCAGTGGGTAGGTAGGTAGGTAGGTAGGTACATGTAGGCTGTAGTAGCCGTCTATCGCTTTGAAGTAGTGTAATTGAGCTCATTGGGCCATTCATGCATGCATGCATGCCCGGCGGCGGCGGCGCACAAACGCACTTCTGAAAAAAAAACCTATTACCATCAGAGGGTAGACTTTCTTGAAAAAAAAAAAAAAAAAAAAAAAAAAAAAAAAGTAGTTCTACGCCATCGTTCTCGTGATTGGAGGAGACTCATTGTTTCCCGGTCATTCAATGGGGGAGTGGATGTCTCGGGTACGGAGGTGGAGGTGAAGGGTGAAGTGGGAATCGAACCCTAACCCTAACCAGCATGTAAATGTTTTATGGCTGACGGCGGGCTCGAGGGGATGGAGGGGAGTAGATATTGGGGGGGGGGGGGGGGGGTTATGGTCGCTGCGCATACTACTACCAGCATCCCGGTATCTAGCTATAGTACAGCCACGGCCCCTGGCTGGAGCAATGATCTTTTTCTTTCTTTTTTTCTTTTTCCCGCCATTGGATCATTGACCCCCCCTTTCTCTTTTTCCCAGTTCTACAAAACTCACTATTACTACTACTACTACTACTATTATTTTTTTTTTTTTAACCTATAACGGGGGGATCTTCTTGTTTCTCACATCTACACTTCTACCCCAAACTCAACCCAGAGCCAGAGAGAGCTAGTCCCACATCTGCCGCACATTCAAATTGACCCTCTTACCGCCCATCCACCCCTCCCACCCCTCCATGCCTGGCCACTCCGCGATACCGCCCGGACAGCTCCCCGCCACCACGCGCGGCACGGAATGCCACGCCCACCTGCTCGCGCCGCCCATGAGTACGACGTCGCCGGAGCGGACGCGGAGCACTAGCACTTGTGGCGTGGCTTCGGCGCCGGGGTGACAGGAGGTGGGGGAAGCGGGGGAGGCGGCGTCAAGCCCAACGACAAACACCGCATCACACCCCACCGACACGCTGACCAGCGGTGCGCGCGACGCCTCCGACACGTCGCGGTGCGGCGCGAGCATGTCGCCGGGCGAGTAGAGGTTTGTGATTGCGGCTTGCGGGGCGGTTGTTTCTGGCAGCTGCACGCATCCATCCACCCCCCCCCCCCCCACCTGTTAGCCCTCACACTCCTACTCCCACCACTACAGAGAAAAGGGGGGGGGGGGGGCATACGAGATCAGTGATCAACCCCGCCACATCGCGCGGAAACGCCAGCTCGGAGCCGGCAGGGTACTGCTTCAGCGTCCAGTCGTACTGCGCGCCGAGCGTGAGCCAGCGCAGTTTTTTGGCCAGCATGCGCTGCGCGGTGAGGGGGTTGTGGGTGGCGGGGTCGCGGGGGGGGAGGGGCGTGGCGGGGGGGAGGGTGAAGAAGCTTGCGGCGGCGGCGGCGGCGGTGTCGTCGTCGTCGGGGGAGGATGAGGTGGTGGTGGTGGTGGTGGGGGAAGAGGAAGAGGAAGAGGAAGCGGGCGGAGGGTAAGGCAGGGTGTAGTGCGGGTGCAGGTTCGTGGCGTGCGCGGGGTTAGAGAGGTGTCTGTGCAGCAGCGCGGACAGCAGCGCGCGCTGCGTGGCGGGCGGGAGGAGCGAGGGGATGATCTGCAGTCCTGCCCGCCCGCGCGCACATGCCTGTTAGCTATTGTGCCCCTCCCGTACTAGGCGGGGTGAGTGGTACCGGGGACGAAATCGTGCTCATAGATCGCCGCATCCCCCACCACCCCTTCCCCTTCCCCTTCCTCTTCCTCCGACCCCGCTGCCTCCTCCCCGGCCGCCGCCCGGAACGCCTTGAACGCCCTTATGGCGCGCTCGGCCGGCACGTGTCCCACGATCTTTACATGCCGCGCGTGCCACTCGCGCGCGGGCGTGTCTGCGGATGCGGCGAGGTCGAGGATGTGCGGGTCGTGGGAGAGCGCGGGGAGGGATAGCTTCTGGTAGGTTTTGTGGATGGCGCGGATGTGTGGGGGCGCGGTGTGGTGGGCGTGGGAGAGCGGCGGGGGTGCGGGTGCGGACATTGTGTGGGTGTGGTTGGTGGGGGAGGAATGGGAAGGGAGGGATGGTTGGTTGGTGGGGGAGCCGAGGCGAGGCGAGGTGAGGCTCTGTGGTGCCAAGCCGAGTGATGGGCTGTGGGTGAAGGAGAGAGGATTGCCGAGGGGCAGCTACACAGGACGGTACCTGCGCTGCCAGCCAAAGTAATTCCATCTCTATCCATCCAACTACATGTACATGTATTCCAGACCCCCCCCCGAGAATCGGCCACACAGAAGCCCGAACTCCGGATCACTCATCGCTTAATGAGCCGTTACGTAGCCCCCCCCCCCCCCCCCGTGCGGAGAGTACGTATGCTGGGTGTTGATCAATTGCAGAGGAGCGGTGATCTTGGGGGTTGATGATGAATTGTTGCCCTTGTGCCTAAAGGTCGCGATGGCATGTGTGTGTGTGTGGACGGGGCAGAGTACTCGAGAGGTACATTCTCTCAGGTACATGATGTAGGTACCAGGTACATGTATGTGGGTTGATGTCGACTGCAGCGAAATGTCTGCTTTATCGCGCGTGGAGGCTCAACTGCTCTACATACTCTAGCTGCTCAAATGCGGGCTCACACGCCCATTGGCTCGCTCCTCGGATTGAGCCCATGAACGAATACGAATTCGAATACCGTCGTGCCTGTTCCTTCAGTCCTCCTCCAATAGCCGAGGGGGGGGGGGCGGCACGGCCAGACACAGGACGAAAGAAGCTTTGGCTTTATCACTCTACTCTATCCGCGTATCCTGCCACCTACCTACATCTACAGGGACAATCCCATCCATAGACCCCCACCGGCAGATGATACTCTCACTCTTGTTTTTGCTTCCCCCGTCCGGAGAGAAGGAGGTCAAAAAGAAGGAACAGCAGCAGCAGCAGCGGCGGCGGAGTTAAAATTATCTTCACTCTGCTTAGCAGCGAGAATCTACACCCGCCAAGCTAGGGGTCAGCCTTACACACTAACCTTACCTACACGCGGGTTGGCGGGTTTGGAATGGGGTGGGCACAGGCACGGAAACACAGAACACAGGAAGAAAGTGTTTATGTGGGTGTAACCAGTTCGGCTTGGAATGTGGTACGGGAGGGGTACAGGCGGTCGGTCAGAAGTAGAAGTTGCACTGCCTGTCTTGTCTCTGTTGTGCTTGTTTCTGTCTCGACATGTGTGTGTGTGGTGGTGGTGGTGGTGGTGTGTGTAAATACCTAGAAGCACTCTAAACTGCGGGGTCGCTTCCGTCCCCATAACCCATACCCATCCACACCCAACCCTCGAGCTCTCCATGGCAGACCAGACTCGACGAATTGGCAGGCAAGATCGCAGTCTGGCGCGAACCCTATAGAGTGTCTAGATGATTTGGGGGAGGGGGGACGGCCTCGATTCGAATTCTTGAATGCGCAAATGAAGGCTGACTGGCTGCTTTTTCCCCATCACTTAGGTACGGGTTGAGGGAGGGGGGACTCTATCCCATACATACATACATACATCCTGCAGGTTCGTTCTCCAGCTGGCGTGGGAGGGGAGGGTCCTGGGACCCTGGGCCAGTCAACCACTCGTCTCGTCTCGTTGCTTTGGAGGGAGGGGGCTGAGGCGAGCTAAAAATGACTTGCAGAGAGACATCAGCCGCTGCTGCGCGTGGAAGGGGTGGAAGAAGGGAAGAAGGGGAGGGAAGAGGAAAAGGCTGGGGATGGAAAGCAAGTTAGCATGTAGGCAGAGGAGGAAGAAGAAGAAGAAGAAGAAGAAGCTAACACAGCAAAGAAGAAGAAGATCTCGAGGAAGACCTCGAGGAAGATCTCGAGGAAGATCTCGAGGAGGACCTCGAGGAAGATCTCGAGGAAGACCTCAAAGAAGACGTCTAGAAGACCAAAGAGCTGCTGGACGGACGCTCAAGAATTGCCCGCCATCCCAGGGAACCAGAAAGGGCTGTCTCGCGGAACCCGACAGAGCAGGTCTTAAAGGGCTCAATATCGAGAGGCCAGTGAATCCCAGGATTTACACGGCAAGCTGCAGACGGCCCCTGCCTGCTGCTGGACACCGCACTCGCACTCGCACTCTTTTGGTAGAGCCGAGTCGGTAGAGTACAGCACCCACAGGTTTCTTGCAGGTATCACAGAAACCCTTCCTGTTGCTGCTGTGCTGGGTTACGACGCCCCCTTTCAACCACAACCACAACCCACAACCGCAACCCACAACCTCTTAGCTGCACCACTTACCACACTTACAACAACCACAACCACAACCACTGCCAGTGCTGCTTCTCTCCCTTTTCCTTTTTTTTTTCTTTCTTTTCTTCTTTTGCCATCCCACCCCCAACATCGATAACTCTTAATCTTCTGCTTCTCTCTTCCCTCCTTCTCTTCCCCCTTCCGGTCTTTACCTGTGGTTTCTGCTGTCTGCTTTTGCCCGATCTCTCTCCCTCCCTCTCTTTTTTTTTTATCACTCTTATCTATCCGCCCGCCATCTTGGGACAGACAGATAGATGTGCTGCTGAATATCTTGTCCCCTGAACCTTTCCTCGACAGCATCCTTTCTAGGCCTAAAACATCCCCATCTTATCGCCAGCCTCCCCCCCCCCCCCCCCCCACTCCCCACCTCCCAATCTCGGAATAATATTTGACACTCTGGCTACTATCAATAATTAATTCCTATTTTTTATTATATTTTAAAGAACGCCTGCTGCTGGCAACACACTCAACCAACCAACCAACCCACTTCCTTTTCCCACCCGCTTCTCCTGCCGCCGGGGGAGCAGTCCAATCCCAGCAACCCAACATGGACCGCCTCGACCGCTCCTCGAAATGCAGCCGCCTCACCCTGCTGCTGCGCAACCTGGCCATCGCCATGGTAGCCTACGTCGCCGTCGTCGAGGTCCTCTCCATCTACCAGACGGGGTCCATCTACCCCCTCGCCAAGAAGCGCCGACCCTCCGGCGGTGAGACACCCAAGGACAACGGCCCGCTCTCGGGCGGCGTCAACTGGCGCCTGCGGCCCCAGACCCTCGTCGCAAAGATCAACGACGCCTATCTGGGCCCGCGGCCGCACGTCGACACATTCGCCAACTACACCCGCCTCGTGGAGTCGTGCCGGGGCTCGCTCAACGGCCTGGAGAAGATGAAGAACGTGCACGACTGCCTGCACTACCTGGCCTACGCGGAGAAGGACTACTTTTTCGCCCCGCAGGACCCGCCGTCGAGGGCGCTGCCCGAGTACCCGGCCATTGAGGCCGCCGCTGCACCGACGAACGAGACGATTGGGGAGTGCCCGGGCCCCGTGCAGCTGTTCCACACGTACTGGACGGGCCCGTCCACGTGGCGGGTCGAGCTGTTCATCAAGGCGTACCTGTACACGCAGAACATCCCCTGCAGCCGGCTGTACCTCTGGCTCGAGTCGGACGGGTTCCCGCGGGCTGTGGAGGACATGCTAGCCGACAAGGGCTTCGCACGGTTCCTGCCGCTCGTCGAGCGCGGGGACATCGTGCTCAAGGCGTGGAAGTTCCCCTCCCGCATCCCACTCCCGCGCGGAGCCGTAGAGGAGGACCCGGCCTACGTGGGGAGCAAGCCCGTGCGCCGCGCGAGCCCCGACGACCCAACACGGACCGTCAGGAAGGAGGTGTACATTGCGGACGGCGTTGTGCGCGACGAGGAGGACGGCAGCGAGTGGCTGGTGCTCACGGAGCGGCAGATGACGTTCCTGCCCGTGGCCGTGTCGGACGCGGTGCGCTTCATTGTGCTGCATCTGTATGGCGGCGCGTACTTTGACATGGACGTCATGCTGCTGCGCGACCTGCGCCCGCTGCTCCTGCCGCCGGACCACAGTTTTGCGGAGCGCTGGGCCGTCCACTCGCACCCGGGCGACTATAACACGGCGGTCATGTCGCTGGCGCCGAACACGTCGCTGTCGTCGTATCTTGTGCGCGGCGGGATCAGGATGGGGCTTAACTTCCACCCGAGGATTATTGGGCGCATGGCCTGGAAGGATGGGCGCAATGAGGAGTTTGTCATGTTCGAGACGGGCCTGTTCGACCCCATCTGGGGAGAGTTTAATTGGGGCCGCGAGGGCCGCTGCGCGATCCCGTGCTTTAAGGACTATGGCGTGGCGTTCTTGGGCGGTAAGGGTGCGGTGAAGGATGAGTGGGAGAGCTATGATGGGGAGCGGCTGCCGCTGATTGGCCTGGAGGAACCGACGCGCGAGCTGAAGAGGGAGGTGGAGACGTTCAGTCCCCGGCAGAGACGGGATAATGGCGAGCCGGCGTCGTCGCCGGATGAGCCGGATGTGGTGGTGGTGCCGGTGGTGGCGGCGAAGTCGAAGCCGAAACCGGGGGCGGATGGGAAGTATGGGGGCGCGCCGTATTCGCTCAAGGACGATAAGTATCCGCCGAATAATCGCACGTTGGAGAACTTCTTTAGGGGCGCTTGGAGTTATCATATCCATAACCAGGTTTGTCTTGCCCTCTGTTTCTAGTGGTTTTGGTGATTGTGGGTGGCTAATAATGTGGTGGAATATAGTGGTCAAAACACCCACAGCCAAACTCGTGGTTCGACGTGATCCAGAAGGCGCACGACGGCTTCCTCAGCGGCGAGCGCACAAACCCGTATGGCGAGAAATGGACGGGACCTACACTGCTCCCGTATGATAGGTGGCCGGAGTTTGACTGATTCCATCTTGCTATTTTTTTTTCTTTTCTTTTTTTTTCTTTCTAGTGGTTTTTTTTTTTTTATTTTATTGGGGCTTTTTTTTTTCCGTTTCATAAGGGTGTAAAAATTTATATAGGACTAGCGGTACCTTTTTTTTTTTTTTTTTAAGTTTTCGATGGGGGTTCAATTTCTTCTTTTTTTTTTTTTTTTTTTTTTTTTTGAGTGTGGAGTGTGTGTGATGGTGGTGGCAGATATTAGTGAGGAAGCGAAGCGGGGGGGCGTTTTGCATTCTGTTTTTTTCTTGTTATTACTCTTTTTTTTTTCTCTTTTCTTTCTCATATATACCCCCTTCAGTTTGGGGCAGGCAGGTGGAACTTTTTTTGTGTGTGGATGTTGATGTTGGTGATGTTGTTGTTGCAAAAGGAGCAGGCAGGCGTTGGAGCGTAAACAAGAAAGAAAGAAAGAAAGAAAGAAAGAAAGAAAGAAAGAAAAAAAGAGAATATTGGCAAAAAAGGTTTCATTTCACTACATGTAGAAGCAGAGCAGGCGGGAGGCTAGTAGTAGTAGAGACGGTTCTAATAATGAGAGAGAAAAACTGAAACGGAAAGACCCTCCTGTGGAGGTTCTTTCTGGGTTTCTCGCATATCAGGAAGAGAAATATAATGAAATGACTTTACTGCTTTAATTTACTGCCTGCTCTTGGTATCGGCTCAATTCGGCCCCTTTTTTTTTTTTTTTTTTTTTGCTTTGCTTTGCTTTGCTTTGCTTGTGTTGTGTTGTGTTGTATTTGTGCCCCGTAGAATAGAAGTAGAAAAAATAGAAAATGGTACTCGTATCGTTCGTTAGCTCGGAGGATGATGGATGGATGAATGGATGACATAAGACTGGCTGTTTTTTTGTTTGGGTGGTGGCGCTTTTTTTTTTTTTTTTTACCCGCAGATCGATCATTGACCCCCTACCACCTGTGCTACATACCACCAACCAAACAATTTTCGTTTTTTATTGTAGAAATGGGAAATGGGGGGGAGGGGGAGGGGATGGATTGTATTTTTTTTTTTTTTTTTGTTTATACTGCAATGTTTTTCCCTCCGCTCCTTTTTTTTTCGCCCATTGAAATCGCTGTCGTTGCTATACTGTTGGCTTGTGTTGGTGTTGATATTAGCTTACCTCGCGCATTCTATTACCGCCGTGATTCAATATGCATATTGTCGGTCACGCCCGTTCGATGGAGTTTTCTACGCCCCCTTTTGTGATTCTTGACTTTGCTTGGGTTTGGTAAAGAGTGCCCTTCTATATGGGGGCCGGGGAGGGGGGTGCGATATATAGCGGGGTTTTTTTTTTTTTTTTCCCTTGGGCTTTGTACTGTTGGTTCATCATCACCTTTGGCTACAGCTGGAGATTTTCACGATTCTCAGTATATCGAACTCTTATATACTCATACGGGTATATACTTATATCTTCGACATCGATATCATCACCTAACTACATCTCTCCTCTCATCACCATGCATCCCGGAAACAACTCCAATGAGTTCTCACGCTTGAGCGTGGCCATGGCGTTATCCTACCCGCGCATCCAGCGTGATGCTACTGCCACTACTACTACATCTGCCGCTGGCGGTATGCATAACCAAACAACACCATGCCCAGCCCAGACTAATACTAACCTTCTCCCCAGCACCAGTGCCAGAAACAGACGAATTCACCACCCTACTATCCGCCCTCTCCTTCACCCACGCGCGGAGCACCACCACCACCACCTCCGAAACCATCCTCGAAGCTTCTTCCAGTCCGAGCTCGGTCTCAGCACCTTTCGTCAAACCCACCGAAAAAAAACCAGATCATCACGTGGACAGAACCACCACCGTAGCGCACGGGGGCCGCCAGTTCAACCTCAGCCCACGGGCCCCGGGCCCGGCACTCGGAACTCGGGACGCCCCGGCCCCGAGAGTCAAAGTCCTCCGGAAGCCGGACTCGGGGATCCTGTTGTCGCGGTCTGGGCGGCTGTATTACGACGATGCGGCAGAAAGTGGAGCCATGTCTGTGGCTGACTCGATGGCGGCGGGGTCGGGGTCGGGGGGGAGTGGTTATGCGGGGGTGGAGATGGGCAGGAGGTGGTGCAGGGATGTGGTGGGGAGGGAGATGATGGGGGCCGAGAGGTGCGGGTGGAGGGCGGGGATGGCTCAGGGGCCGCCGGCGGGGAGGGGGCTGAGGAGCGTGAGGGGGGTGGGAATCTGAGGCGGGGGGGATGAGTGTGGTGTTAGGTAGCTGAGGGCTGGCGGTGTGTTCTTTAGCTAGTGACAGTATCTTGTTATTGATGTGTCTGTTTGTCTGTCGTTTTGAGCTCTGGCAGTTCTGCATAGGATATCTTTCTTTTACGGCGCGAGGACACCTGCTGAGATCAGGTGTCCTCAAGGCTTATCGTGTGTGGCCTGAAATCTATCATGGCTTATTGGAAACCAATCGTGTTCTAAGACCATACTCAACCTCTTTGCAAAGATCAGCTTTGGGCTCAGTTGACCTGTCTGTCTACGTGCTTTCATATATCCTTCAACTCATAAAGACTAGTTACCTACTGTTCTCTACGTTCACTTTCGTAACTTGTCCGTACCCACCTACGTAGCCAGCACAGGAGCCCAAGTACTGATAGTACCTAAACACCAGAAGCCACGCTCTGCCGGCCTATAAGATATACAACCTCCACCATGAACTGGGAAGACTGCTGGGTCCAAAAAGACACGCACACCACCACCGGCACCGGCCTCTTCGCGCGCCAACAGATCCGCCGCGGCCAGCCCATCTTCCGCACCTGCCCCGAAGCCGCCGTCAACCTGTACGTGCTGCAGCTGGTCAACCACAGCTGCATCCCCAACATGTTTGCGCTGCAGGGCCTCGACGCCGGCACGGGCCTGCTCGACTGCCGCTTCTACGCGCTGCGCGACATCGCCGCCGGCGAGGAGCTCACGCGCTGCTACGACGACCGCATGCTGCTCGAGGAGAGCGTGGCCGCGCGCAGGGCGTGGTTGGCCGACATGTGGGACTTTGAGTGTCTGTGCCCCAAGTGTGTCGGGCAGTGGGTGTACCCGTTCTGGGACTGCCCGCAAGATTGGAAGATTGATTATGCGCTGCCGGATGAGGTGCTCTCGGAGTATATGAATGGGCTGGTCAGGGCGTTTAGGGATGAGTATATGAAGCCGTGTGTGATGGAGAAGACGCGCATCATGTCACAGAGGACGCTGTTTTCGCTGCAGTGTTTCCGCGACCAGGTCAAGTTCACGGCGAGGAAGCTCAAGAAGCGGACGTTGAGCACGAGGTACAAATTTAAGATTGGTGGAAAGACCTTGCATGATTATGCTTGGAGTCAGAACTATAAGAAATTGCTGAAAAACTAAAAACAGACCCTTATCCCACAAACTCCGAGAGAGAGAGAAACAAAAGAAAAAGAAAGAGAGAGAGAGAGATTAAAAAGGGGAAAAGGATTGGAAAGTACTAGATGAAATTACCCCCCTGTTATAAAACATTTTGTGCAAGAAGGAAGAATTTAGGATTAATGAACGGAATCCCGTCGATGTGATTGATGGCTTTGAGGAAGAAGGTAATCTTGAATGTACTGTTGAGAGAATTGGCCTAAGCAATTCAAACTGTACAATATTGGAGTTGAGTATTTATTATAAGGTCGTATGTTGTATCCTGTGCATGCAATCATTAGCACAGTTTCTAATATACCATAGTCGATTATTAATCCCCATCTCTTACTCTTTCTGTCAAGCAATACAATTCGGAGATGCCTACACTGATTCACTTTTTTCTATTTCCAAGATCGACTTGATCACTTTCTGGGCCAGATTACGAATTCGAAGTCACGATACGGTAAGCTATAAACGGCGTCGCCACAATGACAAAGCCCAATATGACGCCAATGAGGAAATTCGCAGTACAAGTCCTCCTCGGCGGGGGTCTCGACAGCGGCACCTGGTGCACCCCATTGTACTGCGGCAGATTTATATTGTTGTCGCGCGCCGGGAAGCTGTACGTCGTCGCCAACGGCGGCGAATCGTACCTTACCGGCTCTGTGCTCCTGGTATAATAGTGGTTGTGCGATTGCGCTGGTTGTGTGGGTAGCTCCAACGCACCCGTCGTCGTCGTCGTCGTCGTCGTCGCCGTCATAAACTGATGCTGCTGCTGCGTCGCACCGTTTCTTCGTGAACCTGGTAAGGAATTATATTAACGGCATGCACACACCCAGCCTACGCAACGGTGACGACGGCGGGCATCTCTCACCTTCATCGTACGGCGGCGGGTCGCCAATGCCGATCCCGCGCTCGAGGTCGAGCTCGAGGTCGAGGTCGGGGTCGGCGCCGAGCGAGTCGTTGTGGTCCCACATGCGGTGCGAGCAGGCGTGGCATTTGAGCGACTCGACGTCGCCGGCGCCCGTGAAGTCGAAGGCGCAGCGGCCGGTGGTGCAGGGGCAGCGCGCGCCGGCGGGGCCGGGGAGGATCACGTTGCAGTGGCCTTTGGTGAAGTTGGACATGCGGGCTAGCATTTTGGAAAGACTCCCGATGGGCCGGACAAGATAGATGGGGAAATGAAATAAATAAATAATAAATAATGTTATTTAGAGAAGGTAGGTTTAGGACGCTATGCGTAGACCTAGAGCTGATAAGTAGTCAAAGAGAGAGAGCGGGGGGGTAAAAATGGACGCCTTGCTGCTGCTTGCTGCTTGCTGCGAGAGAAATATCTTGGCCCCTAGAGCTGGCTGCACTGGATGGAGCAGTAGAGTTACTCTCGATCGAGAGTGAACCTGGGGAAAGAGAGAAAAAAGGTATTTATTTTCCTCTGCGCGCACAACTCAAAAGTGCAGTCGATCTTTTTTTAATTTTCCCACCCCCCTTTCACTCAGTTGTTACTCTCAGCTGTTCTGCAGCTGTCTTATCCTGGCCCGCCCTGCCTGCTTGCCTTTCTCGCTTCCCAGGAGATTTATCGATTGAGACGACGTTACGGACAAGGTTGTCATACCACCACAGCCACAAGGGCTGGCTGGCTTGCTGGATTGGTAGATGTATATAAATACATTTTTTTTTGTAGGTGCTTTTCCTGCTGTGTGCATGTTACATTAAGCCTGGTGGCATGCCGGCCGCTTATTTACTTATTTGTCTTGGGTTACATGAACTGTATGTATGTAGGTAGGTAGATACATACCGCGATCGATCTTATCAGAGAGGTTTGGTTTGATGAAACCCGATGTTCTATCGGTTTCAACGGGTTTCGGAGAGATTGGTTCCTTTTGTTGTTGTTGGTGACAGTTGTACCTACTTTACATGTCCTTATATAGATTGCTTGATTTGTTGATATAATTGAAGATTGCAAAGGGGGGGGGGGAGGTTATATGACGTATGAGGTATATTACTCACCTGTTTGAGGAATGAATTTGTGTTTTGTTATTTGATATCTAGAACATATAGTTTTGATTCGGGTTTTTAATTATTATTGGTGCTTTAAATCCAACTGGAAAACTGAAAAATCGGCTTCCCGATTCTAAGGAGACGTGCTTTTAAGTATTTGTTTTTGCTTTTTTCTGTGTTACGCAAGTGTAGTAATAACAACTTCCAGCTCCACCACAGGCTATGGTATTAAGTTCAGGCCTTCACTCCAGACAGTTTGAACTGACGAACTCCTTTATCGATTGGGTGGAGAATACCGGCCGTAACACTCACTCTCTTGCCTGGTGATAGTCCTTATCTGCAGATCTAGCCACTCCTAACAATCGCATAATGGAATTGATCCTGCCAAGCATGTCTGGGAAGAACGAAACTGGTTCATACCCCAGTTTCGCTTTTGGTACAGCAACTCCTAAGTGCAGGTATATTTGTGGAGCAGTTGAGTGATGGGCTTATTGCCTAAGATAGCAACAGCCAGGCGTATTTGGTGTCAGGGTGCCATACTCAGCAGAGAATCGACCAATCAGAGGCGACTTCCAAGAACCGCCCGAAAAAGCAGTACCTGGTCTTGCAGAACTTTGGTAAAGGGCCATTCTCCTAACTATTCCATGGTCGAACTATTTCTTCGGGTCTTCAAGCTGCCACGGTGTAAGTGCTGTTAGTCCCGAGTTATTTGGATTAGAGAAACCCGTTCCCTAGTTCTACAAATTCTTGTGTCCCTGTGTGGCGTCTACGCCTAACTGGTAGTGTAGACCCATATTGAGATTCACTCCTTCCTCGAGAAGCAAAAGAGTTGTCTCTAAGAGTCTAGAAATACCGCTTCATAAATTTGCTAGCGCACTTGACGCCATCTAAGACTGGAGATCCTGTCTCAGCAATGAAGAAACAGCTACTGATCTATGACCAATTCTGGCCGCTTATATAATGTAAGTTCTCCTCTTAAGTCCTTGGCGAGTAAATTAAACTGTTCTTGGGTGTAAGAGCGCGGTTATCCTGTAGCTCGAGACATCCCCTCGTCGACCCTTCATTACAAGATTTGAGATGGAGGGGCAGATATCAGGAATCGGTTAATAAACGATGAGCCTGGATAAGACATTTCATAATCCTTGATATTTTACAGGTATCTTTGGCGAATATATCGAACCAGAAGAAATTTGTACCTGTTATAACGAGGTCGAAGTTGTTCTCCTGTATATACTAGCCTTGCAGAAGATATTCTTGGGTAGCGCAACAAATCAAGTCGAATTGCACTTCTGTGTTTCCGATAGCCATTAGACTAACAGAGACACCGAGTAGAGCCATTAAGCCAGGTAGATCTAGATTGCCGAGTTCGCATCGCTCTGATTCTGCAGAACTTGACTCTCGTCGATGAGTAGAGTCCTCCTAACTCCGACGAGCTATGTCGAGATTCGAAAAACCATATCTGAACAAGACGTATACATCTTGATGGCATCTTAGATAACTTCGTCATGGGTAGATATAGAGCCTAGCAGCTTTTCTCCAGCAATGATGTTCGCTTTCTGCTGGAATTCATGTGCCTGCCGCCAGAGGTTTCATTACGATAGAAACGACCTCATCATTGTACTGACTTTTTCCGAGGAGACGCTTTGCATACGGATTGTTGTCTCCCCTCTCTTCAAGATGGATCTTTATCTCCTCATCTTTCGCTGGAAATGAAGTAATCCTTGATATCCTCTAGAAGTGATCATTTAGTGGCGGGAATGTTGAAGTCTGTCTGGCTCATTTGAAACAAACGATTTGAAGCAAACGAAGTAGTCCATTCTCTTGTTTATTCTGACCTCATTAATTAAATGAGCTAGACAAGAATCACTCGTGAAGAGGAATGAGCTGTAGGCGGTGTCCTGCATCAGCCGTTTGTCGAATGTCTAGCCCCCCGGGACCATACATGTGTGTAGTTGAATCGTGCAAGTCTTCAACCTCTGCAGGAAGGTGTGCACGTGTCAGGAAAGATGTTTCACCAGACCAGAAAGAACGTGCTTGTTTAAGCCACGAGGTTTAAGTTGTACGTAGCCCTAACCCGATAACGGGAAGCTTAGGGTTAGGGTTCTATCGCAACCGCACCTACCCTATCTAACCCCGGAGTATACATTACCCGCCAAGGCCTCTCAAAAGTAGAGTTCCCTTACCTACATGCTTGCAAACGGTAAAGCAATGAACTCCTGCAAGAGAAACTCTAGGCTTGCTCGGGGCAGCTTCGGAAGCTTTGATTCATCAGCTAATTGTCTTAACTGCTTTGTGATTTTTTTATAATTATTACAACTATTGTGATGCTTAAGCTTATTTGCGAAATTCGAAAAAGGTAAACACCAGAAGAACGGTTGATACCAGGAATCACGACTCATCGCAGTTTGCCGAATTATGGAAAGCTGGGAATTAACCCCGCAATACAGCTTTATCAGCATCAACTTTTTTTCCTGATCATGCACTTTCTCAGCCGCGTGTGCCCATTAGTATAAATTAAACGACGTCTCATTATGCTTTTCCCTTAACTGCCCGCGTGTGACGCCTTAAAACGGGTATACAATGTACCCTCAAGCAAGTTTAAAAGTTTTTTTTTTCGCTTGCACTATGGTGGCTGGCAGGCAGGCAGGGATCTCATGTCGGCTCTTCGGCAAACGCTGGATGAATCCCCCCCCCCCCACAATCGTAGCTTCCAGGAGGATAATTATCAATCAATTGCAAAAGCCCTTCTTATATCCGGCTTTGGGAGATTAGTATATATATATCTGGACGTTATGGCACTGACAGTTATGAAAGAATCCATCAGATTAGCTGTCGACAACCTCGATAACGTCACTTTCGAATTTTTACCTCACGAAAGATGGTGGCCCACGATAGTAAAGAAGCTGGCCAATTGCCTAGTCCAGCTTCCCACGATAATGATTTTGACCTGGAGAAATCGATGCCACCCGAGTCACAGCTGGAAAATGGGCATAATGATTCGCATAGGGGAGGTGGCGGGGATGGGTCAATGAGCTCTTCGAGTTCAACATCGGCAGGTGGTGAGGAATTTGAGGTGAAATGGGAAGGTCAGGACGATCCTGGAAATCCTAGGAGTATGAGCAAGTTCAGGAAATGGCTGTGTACCTGGGTTGTGAGCTTAGGTAGTTTATGCGTGTATGTATCCTATAATGCCAATTGTGAATTCCGAATGCTAATTGAGCTGATCGATATTACAGGACATGTACTTCATCAATATACACATCTACCTATCGTCAAGTAACCGCAGAAATGCATGTCTCCCAATTGGTTGCAGTATTGGGTCTATCACTCTTCGTCGGAGGCCTAGGAATTGGGCCCATGTTCCTAGGGCCAATGTCGGAATTCTTTGGCAGACGTCCCATTTATTTAGTCTCCTTTACCTGCTTCACGATATTCCTGATACCTTGTGCATTGGCACCTCATATCGCAGTTCTGCTCATCTTCCGATTCTTTGCGGGAATGGCTGGGTCAGCATTTTTATCTGTTGCAGGCGGAACAGTTGGAGATATGTTTGCTGGTCCCGAACTAAGTGCACCAATGATGATTTATACTGCATCACCTTTTGTAAGAAAGACAAAGCCACTCCTTATATAAAAAAGGCAATAAGCTAATATTTCTCATATAGATTGGCCCTAGTCTAGGCCCATTGATAGGCGGCTTTATAAACCAGCAAACCTCATGGCGCTGGACATTCTGGGTCCTAATAATCTGGTCCTTCTTCATGCTCGCCTCCCTCTACTTCTTCGTTCCCGAAACCTACCACCCGGTCCTCCTACGCCAGCGTGCCGTCGCCCTCCGCGCCCAAACCGGTGACTCACGCTACCGCGCCCCCATCGAGAAGCTCGACCGCTCCATCACCAAGACCGTCCTCTGGTCCTGCACCCGTCCTTTCCAACTCCTCATCCATGAGGCCATGGTCTCTCTCCTATGTACTTTCACCGCAATCCTCCTCGGCGTTCTATATCTCTTCTTCCAGGCCTTCCCCCTCGTCTTCTCACACGTCTACCACTTTGACCTACAGATGATCGGCCTCACCTTCCTCGGCCTTCTTGTCGGCATGGTCTCGGGCACCCTCTCGGACCCGCTCTGGGCCAAGAATCGGAACCGTCTCGTTGCCAAGAACGGCGGTGTCTCGGAGCCAGAGTTCCGCCTCCCCCCCGCCATGGCGGGCGCTGTTCTGGTCCCTGCCGGACTGTTCTGGTTTGCGTGGACGACAGTGGAGGGCGTGCACTGGATTGTCCCGATCATTGGGAGTGTGTTCTTCGGCATGGGGACGCTGTTGGTGTTTTCAGGCGTCTTCACGTTTCTTGTCGATGCCTACCCGCTCTATGCGGCGTCTGCGCTTGCCGCAAATTCTTTTGTCAGGAGTAGCTTTGCGGCTGGGTTTCCGCTATTTTCAACGATTTTGTATCAGAGGTTAGGGTATCAATGGGCGAGCACGCTCTTGGCGTTTTTGACTGTCCTGATGGCGCCGTTTCCCGTGATATTTTTCATTTATGGAAAGCGGTTGAGGGGAAAGAGTCGGTTTGCGACTGTACAAAATTAGAAGGGTATAGGACTTGAAGAGATATTCTTGTTACTGCTTGTAATGGCGTTTTTGGGGGTTTATGTATTTAGATTATGGTTTGTATATTTATTCACGATAAATCCTTTTTTTTTAATACACGAGAATAAATGTTTAATGCACGTATAAGACATGAGGTTCAATTGTAATTAATCTATCGACTTGATACCCCATGAGATCTATGCTAGTTATTTAATTGCAAAACAAATTTTGCATGGCCCAATAATTCAGGGAGCTTCACCATAGTCATGAAACGCCCAGCTCTTGACCCAGTCGAGTGGTGTTGCCCCCATGATATCCATGATATCCCTTTCAGCACCCATCCTCAGAAGTAAGCTCATCATCTCTGTGTCCCTATTGAAAACTGCCAAGTGCATAACTGTATCTCCATAAAAACTCTGAGCATTTAGATCGACGCCGTTGTCCACTAGTAAGGTTAAAACCTCTATAGACCTTAGTTCTACTGCCGTATGAACCGGCGCATACCCTAATTCGTTCTTAAGGTTGAGATTAGCTTTTTTATCCAACAATAGACTTGCAATAGATTTGTCGCCGCTCTCTGCAGCTTTATGAAGTGGCGTATCGCCGTATTTGTCTCTTGTATTCACTTTACTACCACTTTGCAGCAGCATTTCTACCATAGTCTCAGAGCCAAACTGGGCCGCAAAATGAAGTTCCGTTCTCTCAGAGTTTCCGTAATTATTAATACTAGCTCCGCTCTCTAGAAGAATCTTAACAACGTTTTCGGAGCCACCCTGTGCTGCTTTGTGAAGCGCCTTCGAGCCTTGGTAATCCGAATCTTCAATATTGACCCCCCTCTTAATTAGCTGCTCTACTACAGACACACAGCCCTTTTTTGCTGCATACTGAAGTGGAGTTTTAAGGAATTGATTCTTCTTATTGATATCCGCACCCTTATCTATAAGCAATTCTGCAACCATACTATGTCCGTACCTTGCCGCAAGGTGGAGAGCAGTATCTCCACAAAAGTTCTGGAGATCGACCGAACCGGGGTTTATATCTATAAGATATCTTACAACCCTTTGATCTCCGGTACTTGCTGCCCAATGAATCGGAAATTCTGAGTTTAATAAAGAACGCGGGTGCATTGATTGAACACTCTTCCTCAATAAGAGCCGAAAGATCGGCTCATTTCCTTTTTTGGCAACCCGAGAAAATGTTATCTGTTGGCCTTTGGTTTCAATTGCTTTAATGTGGAAAATTGGGGTTAAAAGAGCAGCAAGATAGCGATTTGTTCGAACCAGTAAATTTATATCTTCTGACTCTAAATAAACCTTTGCAATCTTGTACAAAATGTGCTCTGGAAGCTTGAAGATTGGTGGAGTGGTACCATTACTTTCTGTGATCTTTTCGGGGGGATTGAGGCGTATTCTATCAATGAGTAACTTATTAGCTTGTAATCAGAATGTACATTTCTAGCAGTGCAGGCTTGAGGTTACCTCTTTACATCCATGCGTTGACCTTGGCGTTTATTCTCTTGGTAAGCTCTTTTTACCAACTCTGTATCCTTGATATTGACTTGAGATGCCAGCTCCGGAAAGTGGAGAGAGCTGCTTAATTCACTCAAGGAAAGAAGTTGTTTAACTGTTTCTCTATCTCCATTAAAACTAGCCACACGCAGCGGTGTGTATCCATCACGATTTCTAAGATCGATAGTTGCTCCATTTTCTACCAGCAATTTAATTATGCCGTCACATCCGAGATCTGCTGCTATGTGAAGCGGAGAGAAACCACTATTATCCTGTGGGTTTATGTTTGCACCATAGTCTATGAGGTCTTTAATGATCGGCTCCTCTTTTTTCTGCACCGCTTTATGAAGTGGTGTCTGGCCATGGATGTCCTTTGCATTGATTCTAGCTCCTTCCTCCAGTAGGAGTAAATGTACCGACTTGCCATACGCTGCTGCTATGTGGAGCGCGGTCCATCCCAAATTATTTTGCTCATTAACGTTAGCCCCACGATGAATCAAAAGTTCGATGACGTTTTGAATCCCACTTTTCACTGCTTTATGAAGTGGATTTGAACCAACAACATCCAAGTGATGAACATTTGCTCCATATTCAAGTAGTAACGCGACCAGACCCCGATCACCGTTTTCTGCAGCATAGTGAAGGGGTGTTTCGTTGCTGAAGTCTTGGCAATCAACAGAGGAGCCCTTCTCTAATAATTGTTTTGCCATTGCCTCATATCCATGTCTCGTGGCAAGATGGAGTGCAGTAACTCCGTTTTGGGGTTTATAATTGACGTTTATGTCAGTTTCGTCGAGAAGCAGCTTCAAGACCTCTTCTTTCCCCATTCTTGCTGCCCAAAGAAGTCCTGACTCAGGGTAATCACAATTTCCCTCACATTCGCAATGAAACTCTTGGTTACTGAACAGTTTAAAGAGTAAACCTTCCTCAGGTTTTGAGTTATGTCCGCGCGTCATCAAATCTTCGCGCCTCCCAATACCGATCTGATAAAGTACGGGGACAATTATGCCTGCCAGATATTCTGTCTTGAGAATTGACTCGACCTTCAGTCCTGCATATGACTCTGCAAATATTTGCATAGGTATACAAGGCAGGCGGTCTTTTCTTTCTGACCCGGAAAAGATGGCCGAGTCTTCGTCAAGCGAATATCTTGAAGACGAAAAGGCTTTCGACCCTAGAACCCTACCAACCTCAGGCTGCATCTGATGCTTGCGTTGAGTTATGCCCGGCTGATCATCTTGAGCGAGTCGGTCCAATTCGAAACCAGGCATTCTGTGAGATATGGAAAGATTATCTGGTATTAAGTTAATAGCAGATTAATGTGACAGAAGTCGCGTCTATGGTGCTGGTGCTGGTACGGTGCAGAGGCGATGGCTGATGTGATGAACTACATGATGACCGTTAGTGCTAGTTCTAAGCAACGTTTACTTTCGGGAGTGTGCGGGTCTTTGAAAATCGGTTAGTACGAATAATAGACACATGTAATGTACAAATTTCTCCATTTCACAAACCATCACTCGTCACACGTGAAACATAGGACTGAGACCATCGGGGGAAATCGGATGTTCCTGGTGCCAAGGGAATAGCCGGATATTCATCCCGGGTAAATATTTATCCGGTGGTCATGTACCTACACCCTGTGTTTCCAGTTCCACGGAACGACGGGAGGGGATTTTAACGAAGATGTGTGCTCTACCAGTGGTGGTACTACTCGCGACAAGCATGAAGTACCCGAATATGCAGCTGCAAGGTTTTGGTGTATTTTTGACTTCTATTCCAATGAAAATTGCAGATTAGGACGTGCATTTTCGGGTACTTTTTACCTGCTGCGAGTACATACTCTCTACATGTATGTACTTTACATGTAGTTAGGTGCTACACCAGCCCCAAGTCTCGACAAACAGATCCATCTTTTTCTGTTTTCATCCCATGCAGTTGCGTATGGAGGAAACTGCACCTAGGTCCCATAGGGCTGAACACGTGCACACGGTGCTGTATGTACTATACGCTACATGTGTCATGGCTTACTACAAAACCTTTTAGGTCGAATCTTACTATCTTACACTAGGAATCTATCTTGGATAAGACTCAAACACAGTCAGGCTACTGTTAAGCTCAGAGAAGAGGTTGAGCTACATAGTATGACTGTGAGTGCTATCTCTGCCGCTCTGCGCAGCTGCATGATATTCTCAGACTAGCTAAAGCAGCCTCTAAAGGTAGCTGATATCCTACTGGGGTATTTCACCGCCTGAAATTGCCCACAAAGCAAACGCCCCGGCAAGAGAATATTTGGAGCTGTTACCGAGACCTCTATTTTTTTTAAAATTTCAATATAAATCATACCCGCTAACATATACGGCCAATGAATGACACCAGTACCAATTGAATGACAAACGATGCTTATAGCTATAAGTTATAAGTTAAATATTCTATATAAACGATAAATAAATAGTTTAAAACTCTCCTCTAACTACAAAAAATATAAAATCCGCAATTCCATAGGAAGAGTTATGACATGTACGTAAGACGGCAAACCCCGATCATGGTCGACTTCCAATTACCTGCCGCGTTTCTGGATACGCGTACGAAGAAAAAAACAAATAAACACCGGTTTCCCCGCCAAACTGACAGGTACTGGCCGGTCCATTATCTTAAAGCAGAGCCAATGATGTGCATACATGTATTTATACACACTTCCTGATATCAAACGGGCCCAGCACCCACAGGTACATATTTTACCCCACACCTAACAGTGATCGATGGCACCTCCGAGTGATTCCCCATGAGGAAGAAATCTCGCATAACTCCCCATGTTTTCTGCCGTTTAACCCACCACACGTAGAGTACCGTACGTACGGCAAAGTATGTAACACATATTTTAAATTAGCCCGCAGCCGCCCTTGTGCAGCAGCAAAGGAAAAGTGAAGGTGCGTTCAGTTTTAGTTTTCCGAGGAAAATGTCCCCCGCGTGGATAGAATACCCACTTTGGTATTCTTATATCTTCTACGTATGTAGGTAGATTTAAAAAGCCCAGTGCGTCAGGCCTTATGAAACGAGAACTGCGTATGAGATTGAAGCTACGTGTGCGTGAAATGCTGACAAGTAATGAGTTGACTGGGGTTAGTTGTTGAGAAGCGGGACAAAGCCTCTAACGTAATATACGGGTTTCTTATAAATCATCCTCCGTCAAGAAAATACCAAGTACTACCAAAAGAGAAAGACCCAAGTGGCAGAACAAAGCAGATAATTACAATTAAGCATCGTTAACTGCTCAAATTCTTTAATCCCCCGGTCCTGCCGTAACTCCCACTCTTCACAAATACAAAGAAAAAGCTACCCCAAAGAATGAAACCCATGCAAAGACTGTAAAGAAACCAAGAGAAAAAGGACAAACTTTTTTTCTTATCACCCCCAAAACCCCAGGAAATGACATTAGTTGGAATAAGCAAAGGTAAAGGAAACAAAGGTATAAGGCAAGGAAAATGCAAGTCCAGACGCCGTTATCAAACAAATGAATGGTATTTCAAAAAGAACGGTGTGCCCCCCCACACGGTTTCATGCACAATGACCCCCACGTTTCAACATTGGGTGCATATCATAAAATTCTTACCCCACCATCCACCAACACCTGCACCGTCGATCCCCCTCGTTGTCGGTAATCTAGATGGCATCTGTGTCGTGTATCGTATCAGACTGTTTCCCGCTATCGCGCAGGCGCAAAACCAGGCTACAAAGCCGCCACCCCTGGTCCCGTCCGTCGGTACGCATTTGTCTAGGAGATATACCAATTAAAATATCAAACTTGCTGACCGTGTAAAATCGGCAAAAACTATTCACATAACAATCAGCTAAACAAATACCATCATTTGTTAAGATAGGATAGATTTTACATTCCCCACGATCAGCATCGGGATATCAAATACGTCTCTCTTGATGGTCCAGCAAAATGCACACTCAACCTTTCCATCCTTTGCACCAAGTCCATCCATACCCTTCGGCCCTCGATTGCCCACCGCATCTCCATCAGAATCCCCGTTCTCAGCTTTTGCCCCAGAGCCGTTTGGTTGTTTTTGCGGCCGTGGGGGTCGATACTTGAGCACTTTGCAAGTCGTCATAACAGCACCCCTACTGTCGCCGAATGCTAATCGCGCGAATTGTTCATAAAATTCGACTACCGATTCATCGTCGAGTAATTCCGCAAGGAACACAGGCTTCTTCTGCCCTCCAAGTCCTGGCTCCTCTAACGGAGGGGGCGGCAGGTTTGGTACACTGGTGTGTGTAGGAACATTTGTATTTAAGTTGGGTCTCTCCCCGAGCAAAATAGGCTTTTCCCAACCTGTAAGCATGCAAAACTCTTTTCCTACACCCACAACTTCACCTGTACGCCGACAAACAAGTGTTGGTGTACCGCAAGATTGTATGAACCGTTCGTATTCCCATAGGGTGCGCTGGAAGCATTTCTCCATAAACAACAGATCTTCCGCCTTTAACGTCTGTGTACATGCTATAAATGATGGCCTGAAACTTGCCATTGCTCGCGCTATTCGCAACAACAACGGTTTTGGGAACCTGGACTCGAGCATATGGAATAAACGGTGGTAGTGAAGGGTGTAGGGATATGGCGCGGTTATGGTTGAATATATCTGCGAAGGATCGTCGGGGAGGCGTCTTCGTCTTTGAATTTGCTGAAGCGGTTGAGAAGCCGATTGGACTTGTTGAAGAGATGAGTGCTGCGGATGCGCTGTAGTGCGATGGTTGCTGTGTTGGTAAAAGCCTGGACTACCCATTGGCCCTGTGGTGGGGGTATCTGGATATCCCCCGCCTTGTGATGTATTTTGGACGTAACCTTGCCTAGGACTCTCCACTGGCGGGCTAGGGCTTGTCAGGCTGCCCGGTCCCGCCTCAATCATGTAAGTTCCCGCAAACCCGCCACCAATGTTGCTGTGATTTCCCGCGGGGTTGTTTCTAGTATTCCCCGCCCAATTGTCATTTCCGTATCCTTGAGGAGTTTCTCCCTGGGGTGCTGCATATCCAGTGTAACTTTCACCCGCTGTTGGCATTACTGGGGAATATCCGTAGTTACTTCCCCCACTTGTACCCTCTGGTCCATCTTGAGCTGCTTGCCCACCCATCTGCCCAAGCACTCCAAACTCCAACGCACCGTATTGACTCCCAAAATTCAGGCTCGCGATATCAAAGTTGAAGAGCGCCGGATCTGATGGGTCAAACAGCGGGGCACCAGAAAAGTTCTGTTGTTGTGTTGGTGAATCTTGCAATACATTACCCGGTGATTCAATCGAGTTTGGATTTATGGTTCCATCCGGTGGCAGCATATCCCCGGTCGGCTGAGAGGGTGGCGGAGGTGCGGGTTGATATGCATAAGAAGAAGCAGTAGAGGATGGGGGTGGGACCGCAAATTCGGGAGGGCCATCGTCAACTGGGGCATCATGAAGATATTTGGCCTTCTTACGTACGCCATCATGACAGGCGTCTTGAAGGCCACGTTTGATACATCTTTGGCAAGGGCGTTCATCACCTACAAAGAAACAAAACAAAAAAAGAGAAGAAACGAACCCGTTCAGTGTTTATTCAACATATAAGAGAGGCAGGGACTATGGGGGGAATAGTGGCAATGAGGGAAAACCACGATTTGAATAGCCTGGGGATAAGCAATTCTTGTAAACGTACCACACGTGAGATGGGCTCTCTGACACGCAAAGCAAGCCCGACGAGCTTTCTTGCGCCGAGGTCGGCCAGGATCTTTGGCAGAGCCACCTACCACTGTAGGAGGTGCGGAGGGGATAGTAGGTGTCGCGGAGCCACCGGGAGCTGTCCCAGAGGCATTAGAGCACTGGTCGCCCGAGTGGGGGGAAGAAGGTTCGGTTTTCAGTTCGGATTTGACCATGGTCGCGTGCGCGCAGAGGGAGGGATTTCGACAATGTACGAGTAGGCGGGACTTGAGAGGCGTACGCAGATGACGATCGTCAATTATCAACACTCACAGCGAAGAAGCAGCGAAAAAAAAAAAAAAAAAAAGGCGCTCTGCGGACTTCCGGGAGAAGTGGTAACGGCTAAGAGGGGGTTATAGTAGATGAGAAGAGGAGGAGGTTGAGAGAAAAAGGTTTAGTGGGGACTTTGACGAACAACCTTGGTAGTGTAGCCGAGTCGGGCCTCGCTCCAACGGAAAAACAGAAGAAAGCAAGCTGAAACTGGGAAGAAAACTGGACTATGTTTTGTATTGAAGAACTGCTTGCTATCTTTATCAATTGAGAAGAAGACCAGGAGCGGTAGGAATTGTTTTTGGTGGCAGAGGCATCTCACAAGCTCTTGGCCGTTCAGCGAATTTTATACCGCCTTCGCCTGTGTTTGTTGGCAGGCTGTGATACGAGGGAATGGGTGAATGAAGATGAAGATTGAGGGGCGCAAGAAGCGGCAGATGAAGCAGAGAAATAGAAAATGATGAACGAGGGAATGAGGGGGGTTATGATGTGAGAAAGTTACAGAGATCAGAGATCAGAGGAGGGGCTGCAGGTGCTGCACTGGGAGATCATCCATCAGCAGGAACAGCAACGGCAACAGCTACAGCTACAGCTACAGCAACATTAACTGGGTGAGTGAAATAGAGAGCGAGTGAAGAGAGAGGGGTTCAAAGGTCTCTGGAAATCACTCGAAGAGGCTACGCTATGTGTAACGGTCAGCTAGGGAAAAAAGTTCAACACCGCCGTGAGAGAAAAAAAAATCTGATCATGTTCATGTAGGGCTGGCATATGTGAATCAAATCGAGACATAGGCGTCATTCATCCTACAACCGTGTCACCCTTGCCTGTTCTTTTTCCTCTCTCAGTCATATTTCTTTTTTTTCCATCGCTCTTGCATAACCTATTTTATTTACCACTTTGGCGCTCTGGCATGAGAGAGCTCGAGTCGAACCTCCTCTGGCTCCACTTGCCCTACTACTACCTACACTTTCTATTTCTAGATCTATCAAAGGAAATGGACTACCCTCATCCACTTCTTTTGTTTAGTTATATTTCCTCCACGTATTCTCTATCTATCTCTGCGTACCTCTATTCTATCCTCTAGCTAAATATATGTATACTCCTCTGCATGCAAGTTATCGATATCTAGTCTCTAATCTCCAATAACCAGCCTTAAATCTTGATCCCCAGACAGTCTCCAATCAGTCTTCAGTCCAACCAGATCTCCAGTCTCTCTCGCCTCTCTCCACCTATTGTGTAACGATTTGGTGAACTCGCTCTCGCACCCCCTGTTATTTCGTGCACGCCTGCTCATTCCCCATGCAGCTATACGGACGTACGCTCTTGCTTGTTTGCCCCACATGCCAGGACGCGGGGCAGCATCACTTGACTGTCTCCTTCCTCGACGTCATGAAATGAAATAAAATAAACCAAACCTCAGAAAGAGCTTCTTCACTAAACCCTCATGTACGATCATGATTCCTACATATTTACCTACATACATACTGTACTCTACAGGTACTGCATCGTTTCCAATTCTTCAATCCTTGCCCATTGCGCAATCTACCTACTACCACGATCATCATCCCTTCCCGCCCGTCGGTGGCCCCGGCTTTCGTCAATCACTCCGTCTTTCCCGGTTACATATAATATTATTATGATCCACATAGGTACTTACATGATGTACCCTCGTGTGTCCTCCTTTACTAACCTCCCACCCTTTCTCTGGATCTAACCAGTTGCAACCAATCAGAGTCTGGATCGAAAAACAGCTATCTATCCAACAGACTTATCAACATCACCCTACCTTAACTTCACCTCCCACAACGTACTACACCTACTACTAAACAAACATTTTTTCCTATTTTCCACGTGGGTCAGAATGGCGAAGTCGAGTCGTGTCTTCTGCTGCTCGGGGAATTACTTGCATCCCACAAAATCTTACCATGAATCTTCCAAAGAAATTAAATGAGGAAACAATACTGGCAATCCCCTCGCATTTCAGCTACAGCTACCTCCAATTATCACCACGGCAAACGACCCCGCGTCACTTTGCGCCAACATTTTATTTTTCACTGCATGCAGCTAGATTCCTCTGCTGTAGCTACCCGTCCAACCAAGCCATTGTGTGAAACCCACACCGCAACCACAAAAGAGCAAAGTCCCGAGCAAGTATTTATAACAAGAAACATTTTATACTATTGCATGGCGTACTTGACGCCTCCATGGCTGACTGGTTGGCCGTATTTCTAGAAATATGGTGTGTGGATGAGGATCGTCCGTTCGTTCGTGAGGCGACTAATCGAGTGAGGGTGGAGGGTGTGTGTTAGTTGTGCGGGTACCCGCACCTCAACGCATATATGCATAGCGGCGCCGCTTTTAATGCCTCAGCACCCCTCGAACGTGCCTCTTATGCCGTAAGGCCGCGACCGGACTGCAAGCGATCACTATGTGTATCTTCCTGATCGTTGGATACAGCTGAGGTTTTGGCCTCGCGGGCTTCCTTTCACATGTAGCGGAATCGCTCACTCGAACGAGTCGGCCTCTCCGGTCAAATGGCCGGCGGGCTCTGCCATACGCAGAAAATACCCCCAATGCCTACTTCCCCCTTTCCTGTTGTTACTCCTTGATTTCCAATCAGTCCACCGACCGACAGTCTTGAATCAATTATATTTTCTTTTCTGGCTAACGAGATATTTCCATGGGGATCTCCGTTCATCTATGCTATCGAAGGTTCTCCTCCCGCTCTCTCCTATCATATCTCTATAGTCCTCGGCATTCACGATTTCCGCGATGAAAGCTGGGCCACTCATCCTCTGGCAGCATCGAACGAGACCGAACTGAATCTCCAAAACCAAAGAGTTTCCAAGAGATAAGACGAGACACTCTGCGTCCTTCTGTCCGGGCCGCCGCAGCTTCTCTTAGCCTGTCAATTATGGTCTCGCTTTTATGCCCTATCTATTCTAAATCATCTTGCTTTTGTAGATTTTTCAGCCAAGGGGTAATCAAAATATCCACCATATTCATTTACTTGAACGTCGCTTTGCAAACTCTCTATGCAGATACTGTGTTGCACAAACTCTTGTTTCTTCGCAGACCTTGCAGAAGGCATATATATCAAATTTAGGACTTACCGGTCTGCAAACAGGACTGCAGAAGCGGAAAGAGGGAGCAATGTGGAGAAGATTCAGTAATCATCATTGGCTACTTAAAAGGGCGATAGGAGGCGAGTTTCACTTGAGACATTAGTTTCTCTCAAGGCCAACCACCATAAACGCCAAGAAGAGGCGAACTCTCTTTCAAACCGGGTTTTTAAATATGCTAAACGATGAGCGTGCAAGTACATTTGAAATAAGGTGTCGGATGCCGAGCAGATATGTTACCATATGTGAAGAAGGTTGAGTTGGTCACATGGAAATTTCACAGGTTATCACTCGATGGTACAAAGGCTTAGCAAGTTTTCCCTTTTTAAATAATCCAAGGTCATGCATGTCTCGTGATCGACCGGTAAATGAAACCATGTGATAAGCCAGCGAATTGGAAATTGATACAGAGATGTTGAGGGGAACACTCAATCAGGTTCTATATACCGAGTATTATTACACTTTGGTCTTTAGATCATCATGCGTACAGACATGTACGTAACTTGTAGGTGTTGAGTAAGTACATGATGTAGTATAAAGGTTTTAGTTTGAAGTATGAAGGCAAATAAGTGGATATGGTATTAGCAGATGATCACTGGACACGGTCTCTGGGTACCTTGCTGGTTTGCTGGCTGGAATCGTTGCATCGGCCATCATGTACATACATGCAGTTCATGTATGCTTAACGCCACCCAAACACCGGTTTTCACTGACACGTTCATCTGTTTTAGTTGTAATTTGAGCTGGGCTCTGGGATGATCTGGCTTTTATCTTCTCTTCAGTCTTTCCTAGGAACCATTCGTGAGATCCACTTATCCCTTAAATCTTCCATATATGCCCAAGACGTGTAAATCATGCCAAATCCTTCTTCTGCCTAAGTTAATTCTCAATTGAAACTAGGAAATAAGGTTTTTGGACTTCGGATGGACACGTCTCAACTGCAATTTCTCAACCAATTCTCTTGAATACGGATAGGCCATGGCCTACAAATAATTACCTTAAAATAATGAGCACATGACAGGTGGTCGGAGGTAGCTTCCATCTTCGATTTCATTATATGTTCTGTTCTATTGCCTTCTGCTGCTGAGACCTGGACCCGTTGCCGAGCGGTACTGTATATCTTTGACACATAAGTCATGAATAAGACAACGACATCCCTCCCTCCCTAATCCAACGGGAGGCACTGCTTTTTCTTCCCTGTGGTCTTGAAGATCACCCAACCCGTGTAGTACGAATTTATTGATTCCAAATCATAGAAGATCCACACATCACCTTAACCTAGGCGGGGTATGTTATACTTCATTTCGGATTGTGGTATTGAACTATGTTGGTGTCTGATGAAATAGCTGGGCAGTTATAATCACCAATATATCTATTGCAAATAACTAGAGAGATCACCCATTGATATACTCTATCAAGAATCATTGCTGTTATATCCACTGCAATAATAGGTGGGCTGATCTGGCTGATCCTTCACTCCGAAAGTCTAACAGCCTTCTTGCATCCAAGACAAACTTTTCACCTGATGGCTGAGACTGATTCACATATTGACGCCTACATGAAATTGATAGATGATATACCTGGTATACTAAGATTGAGCAACAAATTGCCAGATCCATGCGCCATGATTACGGTTAGTTTTACCCCTTCTTGTTCTTATAAAACTCTTAATGTATCTCACACTCGTGGTTCCCCGTCAGAGCATTTACATGTAATTGCTCGGCATTTTGTCAAGAACGAGTAATCAGCTAAAGCCCGAACTAGTACCGGAGGGGACATGTACAACCAATCAATATTCAACTTCGGAAAAAGGTCAGCTTAGAGATATGTACATTGATGTCTTCAGCTACATAGATCCTTCCCTCCTTCCTGGGCCCATGGGCTTCTTCTCCACCTGAAGATCAGTGGTAGAGTATATGTATCTTCTATTTTACAAATAGATATACATATACGTGGTACAAGAAAAACAGTAACTACATGCATCCCTATTGCTATATATCGATATATCCGCCCCAGATTCTTTATTCTATAGATCACCTCATGACTCATGCATTTATGTCTTTATAACATGCCCCTTTCATGTCAAAAATATGAGAAGAGATAGTTGTCCGAAACCGTGCCGATGTATGACGTTAGCAGCAATTGACACCGTATTGAGCTGGTTGACGTTGTCGGAGAATACCATTCAGACGACAGCTACTCACGTACGGAACGGTATTGATCTGAATCTGATCGATGTTTTACCATTTATTTTAATTTTAATTTAGCCTTTGGGAAGATTGGGCGCACAATGCTTGATGTAAGGGTACCCAATAGAGGTGACCACACATAGGTTCTATAATAATAACTGTCATCACTATTACATCGAGTCAAAGCAAACACAAAATCAAGCATCCAATCCAGCTGTCCAAGAGCTCGTCAACGTACCACAAGGTCCACCACCCCGATTAAATCTTCCTCTCCTGTACAATACGAAGAACACAATCCCAACCCCCATCTGCCTCAAGCTCTAGGGTATTGGATTAGTCTGCCTATATGTATACAGGAATTGTGAAACAACGTGCGCACGTACGGTAGTTTAAGTTCTTATTGGGGAATGGGAGACGGGGGGTCGATCCGGTCTAGGTAGGGTCATGTGTGACAGCCTGAATTGATTGAATGCAGTGTGACGTGACAATCACTCTACTCACTTGCTCATTGCCTCACTCAGTGTGTCAGGGGGTGAAAGGGGGTTTGGGGGTGGGGTGGAGATGATGGAGTAATGGATTCTTTACATGAAGTTCAAATGAGAGGTGTGGTGAAGTAGTGCCTGATTTGGCAGAGAAACCCTTTCTTCCACGTGCACGACACCCTCTTCCTTTTATAATTAGTCTTTATTCTCCGTAGGATAGCTGGTGTCGATGAGAAATCGAGTATATTACTCAACTATAATTCACTGATTCAATTCATCCATTCGGGCTAGCCAACACACTCAGTGGGCTTTTTATCTTCATATCATGGCGCAGGGTCATTGAGACATATAATAATAAGGCTAGGTGTTGACAGCCTAACTATTATAGGTCGAAAAGTCTTGTTAATATCTAGTCCACACACCTAGCTCGCGGGGGGGGGGGGGGGGGGGGGTATCTAGCCACTACCAAGGGAAAGATGATTGATTTGATTTAATTTACAGAAAAAAAAAGCTTCAATATATCACATGAATCAGAGGTGCTCTTGAAATTCGATAGTTACTAATCACGATTCGCTTTTCCGCTGTGAATAAGCCCCATTTTATCGGGGTGCGCATCTAGAACCCTCCTCAAGTAGGAAATCCCTTACTTACTGGTTAAAGATTACAGTTAAATGCACTTCGATATACCACGTCAGTGATGAGATTGCATTCTACACATCCCCGGCCCCTGGCTGCCCAGCTTGAGCGACAGCATCGAGTGCGATGCATGTCAGAGATATAGCCTTTGGTAAAAGCCTCTGAGAGTATAAATCTACTTTAATGCAGCATTTGTATGGATGCGAATATCAAATACGTACCTTTACAATGAAGGGAACGTCGCGTGGTTTCTGCTCATTGGTAACTGAATCACAGATAATCACTCGGCCACGTATTCTTGTTGAAATCTCCGGTTTTATCTGCAGAGGCATTATAAAAATATCATGCATATTATCCTGTCAGGCAAGGTGTCTCTAACCTGTATCTAATGGATGAAATCTCTCCTCCATCTAATCTATTCGCTTGTCTTGAAAACGGCATTTAAATATTATATATTCCAAGACCATCCATCAATTTGAGAAGGAGATACTAAGTGGCAGCGCAGACCCGCCACTTAATGTAGTAATAAAATAGCACTCCAAATGTTCACCTTTCTTTCAGGCATATTTACATAGGTTCATCCAAACATATACGCACATACGGTCAACGTGTATGGGAACACAGCGTTAACAAAAAGGTCTGTTTGTGGCATGCATTGCGGGGAATAACGGGTGCGGCGCGGCGCTGAACCTCAAACATTGGCATGGTCGGTACGTATTCATGCATGACATATGCAAGTACGTACATGCATGTACAGCTTTGGGAAGAAGCATAGGAAGGAGAATCTCGAGTACTACAATAAGTTAACACTAGTGCTTAGCTACGTACATTAGATAGAGATTGGTTCTGATAGGATAGGAGGAGCGCACATATATATGGTCTTTATAATCATGGATTATTATGCCGAGTGCGAGATCTCCATATAGCTAAAATCTTTAGTGTAGTGTAAGTGCGTATAATCCTCTCATTCCTCATTAAATACAGGAGTCAACTGATATTGGAAGACAAAGTACATGTAACAGCCAAAGTATCGGGTTGCTGGATACTTTGGGCTTCCTATCAGAATGTCTGCATGGAGTTCAGCAGGCTATGGCTCCTCGCCCACAGCGAGGTCCACAAGGTCATTCGAGGCGAGGAATAGCTAGAGATAACATTAATAAGGTATCTTGATCTTACCTGCTTCTAGCCTTTCTCAGCCTCGGGACTCTGTGAAAACGACCCAATGGGCGCCTCAAGAGGTACGTTAGACCACCTCGTAGCTCTCAGCCTTGTTTAACATCCCCCGTGACCTCATAGACTACACTTTTTAATCCGAATCAACTAGACACTTACGATGAATTCCCCATGATTTCCTCATGATCTATATATAATGATTACCATCAATCGTCCCGGGCGAGACTTCAAAGTGCTTGTATACATACATGTAGTTGTATGTAATCCAACCCGAAGATGATGTAGTGCGGCGGAACAAGTCATGTTCTTCCCTTGACCAATTAATCTGCAGGTTGCCCTTTATCGCACCGTTTAATTTCGCCCCTTTGTTCCAATCAGCTACAGGTATCTACCCGCTCTCATAGTGCTAATACCTGTGTCGTACGTACTGAGTTCAATAGAATAGTCCGCCACATATTTAATTAGGCATTCCACAAATCATCCTCACTCTATCTCGATATGAGAAACTAGTAGTATATTTCGAGTGTAGGTAATGTGGTCCATAAAGTATCCCGAGGCAAGTGATTGGTGATTCGGTCGATTCATAGTGTTGTACAGATCTAACGAGAATTATCCCTCGGTTTGCCTCGAGGAATGCGCCTCGGAGTGAGCACCTCGGCCTCGTGAACTAGCGCTGGGTATACGTCATCGAGTAATTCCGCCCTAGAGTCTAAGGGACTTCATGCTGCAGATAATTGTCCCCAGTAGACGTTATCCACTCTATAGACGCTGTAGATGACAGTTGTCACCACTAAAAGCTCGGCAGACAATTAATTTTCTGTACTAAGGCCACGGATAGTACTGGCCAGCTGGTCTAGCTAGGGAGTTTCTTAGGTTTTTAAACTACAGTAAAGGCATTTATCCTAAAGTGAGATATATATATTCAACATTGAAATATACTCGAGTGATTTTTAGTGGTATGGTGAGAACATTCATGGAGCTCTTTCCTTATCATTTCCACGTGCTAAGCCCAAAACGGCGGTAGCTTCGCTAGTATGACACGTGAGCGAGTGATTGACGATGATGGGTAACTAAATGTTTCAACCAGATGAAAGGTCGAAAACACAATTGCTAAGGACAGAGGTGAAACCATGAGTATTGAGTCTACAGCGTGACTGAAGGAATTCTATCTACGTATACGTGTATTTCTGTTCCGGCTGCCAATGATCAACCTGCTAGGCCTCCCTCCAGCCTCTCTTAGTTTGAGATATCGTTAGTTACCCGGCTTCAAAATCACACCAACCCCAATTGCCAACCAACACCATCGCAACCCAGACACATCAAAAAAAAAAAAAACCTCAATGCTCGCCAGTCGCTTTCCCTGTCTCACCAATCCTCCGTTGCGGGCATGTATTCAATTTGCAATAACCAGAAACAAATCTTCAGCCAGCGCGCATCACGAGTCAGAATCCAAAGCTAAAGCTAGCACTGTGTCGGCAAAGGCATGGCGCTTCTGGTGGAGGAAGAAAAAGAGTATAGGAAATAATGATACAACCACTGTGTCGGCAAAGGCATGGGGCCCCTGGTGGGGGAAGAAAAAGAGTATAGGAAATAATGGTACAACCACTGAAAAAACGACCCAGACAAAGAAAGGTGGGTTGATCTGGAAGAAGCTGGTACCAGCACAAGGGCAACGTGATAAGCTACCCACCAGTACTGTCAAGAAGAATTCGGGGACAAATTCGAAGAAAACACCATTGAAGAAGAAGAATGTCCCAATGATTAAGCCCGAATTGGAGGTCCCTGAAAAAGTGTTTGATGAATTAATACAAACACCAATAAATACTCCAGCTTTCGAAATAGACAGTCTAGGAAGACGGTATGAACTGCGATATATTGACTGTAAACCAGCTCCAATGACTGCCAGGTTTGTATTGATCGACCAATCTCTACATATAACAACAAATCAAAACACCACTGACATATATACATCCTCACTCCAGGATCTACCACCCAGAAGCTTCATCTAGCCTCAATAGAAACAAGATTCTCTATCTACCTTCCACAATCCCGAATAGCTTCTTCCCATCTCACGACAGCGTAATTTCGACTCTCTCCCAGATCACCTCTTCAACAATCATATATCCCGTCCCAACCGACACCGCCGAGCCCTTCCCGCAAAGCATTCAAAACCTCCTTCGTATCTATGATGCCACTACAGATAAGGCGCCGACGGCCATAATAACTTCAGGCATAGCAGCGACCACGGCCACTGCAATGGCGATGACCGAGCCAGCCATCAAAGGAATCGGTATCTGGGGCGGCATCTTTGACCTCACAAAGTCCTCCGCGACCTCAACCCGCTGGAACCGGCCTCTCGAACACTGGGAGCACCTCCCGACCAATGCACTCCCGCCAGTCCCGAAATCAACCAATTCCCTCACAATAACCAGAGATGAGTTCAAGGCGCTGCGGCGCCACTACTATCCTAACCCGGAAACGTGGTTGGACCCGTTTGCGAGCCCGTTGGCCTTTTTCATGGGATCAAACGTGGTGTTCTCGCGCATGAATTTGACCGAGGTCATGGGCGAGGGTATACGTCAGCAGATGGTGAAAATGGATAGTTATAGCGAGAGTGACTGGGAGGGGGAGGTGTATATATATCCGCGCATCGACTTGACGTTGCGGACATGGAACTCATTCCCACCGGCGACTAGGAAGGAGGATTTCCCGAAGATTCGGATTGTGGCGCCGGAGAAGGAGGAGGGGGCGGAGGAGAATGGAAATGATGTTGCCTTTGCGCAGGCAGAGAAATTTGGGAATATTGCGAAAAAGGGGCTGGCAAGTTGGTTGAAGTCAAAGCTGAGGTCAACGCCGATGGATACCTCGGCGAGTACGCCGACATTAGGTATGGAATTGGATGAAGAATCGGAGGCCATGAAAGAGGCAGAATTCGAGGCAGAAATGATGGTGAAAGTGGATACATTATCTAAGGAGGATACTGGAGTAGAGGAGGTGAATTTGATGGCACGTTGGATAAAATGGGTGTTTGAAGGGCCGTCGGCAAGAGATTAGACCTCCCTAAATACTGCATGTACTTTTATACAATTCATAGCCATCAGAAATAACTTTAGCGGTTGTTTAAATTTACTGCACAGACCAACTAGAGCTAGCATGGTTCCCGCGATCACTGTCTCTAAAGCTCTTTTTATTATTTTTGGTAACTTTAATGCCTACCAACATCAAGCATGTACATAGCTGACAGCAATTTGATCATACGGTACGTGTATGAAACAAGAACGATATTTAGAAACATCTGATGGTTAGGGTTCATTTGTATTTAGCCACCTAGTATCTATTATTTGTCCAAGCTAGGACTCTTGATGGACTAAAGTACTCATATCGATATTAGTTTAATCACATGTACTTCTAAACCTGAAGGTATAGAAATATCAGTTACCTGATACGTGTCTCTCCTGGTTCCTCTTCGTCACCTTGATTTCGTCACCAACACTGATCGTTTGCCCTATTAATTGCTCATACCCATTAGCACCAACTCTACCCATTAGGTTTTTCCTGACCTCTGAGATACTACTTACCAAATTGCTCACAAAACCCATATTTTCCAAAACAGGGACTATATGGATGCTCAGGGTTGATCCTCCTATCCTTCATCAGTTTCTTGTATACTTGCTTCTCCGGCGGCATCGCCTTCCCCGTCGCATAGTCCACATTGATACTCGTACACCTCGGCGTATTGAAGGTCATATCCAACCTCACTACCTCACCACCACCCCCCTCTTTCCCCACCTCCACCTCCGCCCATAGCTCCTCATCATACGCATCCACCCCAGAACCCATAGTGTCCACGTATATGTTCGGCCTAAATTTCGTGATATCAAAGTCCTCACCCGCACGGTTTGAGACGTCCTTCAAGGAGACGTCTGTCGCGAGAAGAATTGGTGCTACATCGGCGAAGGAAATTCCCTGTGGGTGCTGGGGAGATGGGGTGATTGTGGGGATTGTGGAACGGTGACTGGGCCCGATGTGGACAAGGTGTGCGGGGTAGTTGAGATGGGTGCTGAAGAAGAGGGAGGCTTCAGGGCCCATATCGTAGCCAGTGGTGGATGTATCACAGATGGAGATAGGGTAGGTCTTGGTTCCAGCGGGGAATGTGGGGGTTAGGGGGATGGTGATGGGCGTGCAGGAGGGGGTGGATTTGTGCGTGACGTGAAGGGAGGTGAGGTCATCGGAGAGGGAGGGTTGGAATAGACAGAGCTATGGAGTATTAGTATCAGTAATACTACTACTAATATTATATTTCTAGTTGAAACCAGGGCTAGTAGGGTATAAAAGTAAGACTGAAAGATCATTTGGGATCTGATAAGCTATTAAATATATAGCGCAGGTGATATCATTTCCCAAACGATATCTCAGGATTAATGCCCATAGCTAGACCCCGACCAACTGACTAACCTCCGGGTTATCCTTAACCGTCAAATTGACGACCTTGCCATCCTCGGGCTCCACGCGGATTAGCATAAACGTGCGATCATGTTGTAAGCCATTCGGCGTGATCGTGGCGCTAGATACAGGGATGGGGAGTATTGATTTGATGGGATGGATAAAAAGCTATCAATCCTCAGCTTAGCTATCACCCGCAACACAAAAGCTATTAGAGAAAGTAGAACTTGCCTTATCGATCTTCATGATTGCGATAATTGTTAGTTCGTGAAGGAGGTGAAAGACTTTAAAAAGCGGAGGCACCCTATGGCTAGCCGTGGCAAGCTAGCTCAGGGCTACAAGAGATGTGGGTTAGTTAGCTAGTGTGTGGGGGTTGCCAATGGCGGGGGCGGAGAAACACCTGCCAAGGAATAGGGCTTAGGGTGTTGCTAACTCTGAGGATTGCCGCTTTTGTCGATTAGTACTGCAGAGTGAAGGAGGCTAGGCCCGAGGCGATTTGCTGAGACCGCTTCTCATAGGGAAACCTCAACTCGAGCCATCCATGTAATAACGCTGATCTTATAAACGAGAAGGCTACTGATTACTGGTAGAAAAGGGCGTTATGAGACACCTATTATATCCCCCCCAAGTACTATTCGCATGTCGATAGCTGTCCTCAGTAACCAACTGGATAATAAAAGTATGTATTAGCCGCTAGGTCTGACCTGACATTCTCAACGCCAGATGGCTGCAGAATCTAACCTCTACTGTTACCCGCAGTACACCTTCGAACTCTGCCATAGAAATCACGTCGTCTTATTCATCTCACCACTACAATTCTCTTTCCAGGTAAGTCCGACTCTCATGCCACACCCTCCCCCTTACCCCGCCCCAACCACGTAGTCTAGATTCTCGGATAAACTAAGCATGGCTATTTTCATGGTGACTATGGAGAGGTCGTGGAGATGTAGTTCTGGCCCATCCGTCAACCCCTCCTATCCACCAACTTTTGGCAAACCGAAGGTTCTCAACTGGCACACCGCCCATCAACCCTCTCAATGATCATCTTCGTACCGACGAAAGCAGTTCTACATCAGTTCCAGAAGCGGATCCTTGAAACAACGGCGCTCGCAAGGAATGAAGCATAGCAGCAGCGAGATACATGACAGGATACCTCTGCCCTGTGGGCGTGCATAATGTCGGCTCTCTTCTGTTTGATGTATGACAGTCTGCGCTAATCCTGCCACCTATGTTTGCAGTGTAGTTTAGCTCCCTCATCCTAAGGGACTAGTTTTAAACATGCGTTAGCCACTTCCATAGGAAATGAAACCCTCGCGCGGAGAGTTTATCGGCGCCCTATTCAGCTCAGAAATATGTGCTAGACAGGAACCTCTCTGGACGACACGTATGTGTATCAGTTAGGGGCAGAATTGTGCCGGGACATCCACCACTGGCAAGCCCGCCAAAGGCGTGTGGACTATTAAAGCACTAGATTTTCGACAACTACAAGAGATTCCACCAACATATTTACCTCAATGCTTCATCTAATACGAAAACAAGCTCAGAAACGATGTGATAATAGAAACGGGCAATGCATACTACAGCCACTCAGCAAAAGTATTCGTGATTTAGTTTTAATGTCAGTGCGCAGTGTAGCGTACCCGTGGTGTTGATGTTATTAATGTAGAGATTCAAAACAACGAAAAATATATAATATAGTTCGTGGCTATATATAAAAGAAGAGAGGTCATTGATCTTATTCTTCATTGATTCCGGGCTCCATTGGTCACTGGGAAAGTTTTCTCTCGGGGTTTTTAATGGTCCGCCACGGTTACATATAGAGAAATGTCTTACTCCGAAATCGGAATCACGAACACTTTTGCAGAGTGGCTGTACCATCAACACCAAGGACAGAGATGGGCAGCCCAGTCCAAAGGACTGGGCTAGGCCTCTGGAATCTCAGTCCCATAGATGTGGGTCTGTTTAAAACTGCGAACCATTGTGTTGGGCAAACCATTATACTCTGTGGTGTATATTGCAAAGCCCTTGGAGCACATGCTCTCGTGGTGACCAGAGCGATGGCATAATCTTTCTTCTTCTTCTTCTTCTTCTTTTTTTTTTTTAGGTCAAACGCCTTCAAAATCAAAGGGACGCTTAGGCAGCCCCATGCCAAACCTCCCCGAAGAGTTTTCACTCACCCTAAGGGTAGCCAGGGCAGTGAGAGCCAGCTGGCGTCAAGCCTGCCTTAGGGGATTCGTCGGAGGCTTTAATTTCTCTCATTTTTCATCATCTCCTCGCTGCAGCAAGTCGATGGCGGAAAGAAGAAGAGGCATTCGGGCTTCTAAGAGATTACCCTTTTAGGTTAATCATGCTCCCACTCTCTACGGGTAGTTTTCTACGTACCGTATGAGCAATCACGACAGTAGAGGCCAGCTAGGATCGAGCCTACCACTTGGGGTCTTTTCTTTAGCCAGACGGGTTTTCACCTTTTCACCATGGGCTTGTCGTATCCAGAAGACGATGAAAAAGAAGCGCAAGCGCAAGCGCTCCCCAAAGTTATGATTAAGTAGCGAGGAGACACAGAGAGGCAGGTAGATATGAGTGATATTCCATGACTGGGCCGAGAATCTCTTTCCCAGGACACCGGCGAGTATGCCCTTGCATCAAATCTGGAAGACATATAGTACCTACATACGCTCTCTTCGCTTATTACATCGTTCAACCTGGCCAGTCTGACCAGGGTTTGCTGGCCGGGACGCGTCAAAAAGAATTTCCGATCCCTCTAGATTCCCATGTCTGGTGCTGCATAGCTGCCTGGTGTTTGTTTTTCGGGACATTATTACCGTTCTCGGTATGGTTAGCTTGAGCTGTCAACGATAATCCCACATCCACTAGCTAGCTGGCCGTTTCCCCGGGACTCCTTGTTAGTGTCCCGGCCGGTTGGTTATATGCATGATGTAGCTATTTGAGTACCCATCCACCTTCTGCTTTCGGCGCGGTTTTGATATCACCACCATAGTGCTAGCGAAATAGCAATATGTACTGAATAGGGCCGCGAGACGTAATCAAAAACTGAGTATATCTGTGGACCTCGCCGACCTCGCCTACCTTAGCTCGGTGTATCAACCTCGCATTGCATCACAACCTGCACTCCTTTTTAAACAAAGGTCACAACAGCCCCTCCGAACGACTAGTTGATTCGACAAGCCGATCTGCTAGAAGCTCCTTCTGTTCCGAGCGACTAAGATACTTTTTCAGTGAAGATTAGGTACGGGTATCTGCGAAGCGTAATGATGCTGGTCTTGTACCAGCCCAATATGAAAGACCAGGCAGGGCCCTGATATGAGATCCGGAACCCCAATGAATTGGTTCCACATGATCATTGGCCCTACCGTTATCGGTATATCGAAGAAAAAAAGTGACCGTTAGGATCGAGTTCCGCTGAGAGGCTTCCACGCTTCTTTATTTCTCATTACCTCCTCGCCGCGGCCAGAAGACAACAAAAAGAAAAAGGAAGAGGCGTGCATGAAAGCCTCCCTATGTAAAAACATCACTGTACCGGCCCTTGGAGACCGCTTCAAGGGTCGATAAAGATTGACCGGCTTCTGGGGACCTTTTATTAAGAGGCTTTCAATCCTCTCCCAAAACGGATCTACCAACACCGTTAAAAGCTGGCGGAGCTTTTCTTTATGATGCAGTCACAGGTCGGCGTTGTGGATTCTGGTGGTGGGGGATGAATGGAGGGGAGGTGTTGTTTAAATAGCTTTGCAATTGGTGGATTGGTGCCAAGGGGAATGTTAGCCAATTTTAGAGCTGTTGGGAGTGATGGCATGACTCTAGTCCCTTCCTTGGATATAAAGATCTTTTCTGGATGAAGGTTTTGATTATATGCGGGCCCATGATCATTTCTCAAAGGCGCTACTCGTAATTGGGTAGAGTACTAATTGGAGAAATACCTCGAGGAATAAAAACCACGATTTTCTAGAATACCGTCGTTAGCAATGCCTTCAACCCCGCAGTCACTATCCCCAAATGCTGTAAATTATAAAGCTACATATAATTATGTTTAACACTAGACTACTCATGCAAACTCCGTAGAAGTACAGCCCTCTTATAATGAATATAACTCCACATATAGCACCAACTCCCACGACTTTCTGGTACCGTAGCTTTCAAGGATCATGCCTGGCTAGCTAGCTATAGCGGGTCGGCCCGAGACCGCAGTGTTGGACCAGACTAGAGTATACGCAGACTCCAGAGTAGAGCAATTCCTTCGGGCCGAGCACCCCGCGTGACGGCTTTCTGGGCAGATACAAACAACCCTGCCTATCCTCGGCCCGCTGCGAACAGCACACTTTACTCCACCTGGCCGTTCCTACCAGGCTGCATCCACACTATGTCGAGCAGTACCTACTACAGCCAGCCCTCTTCACCCAGTCTCCAATTCTTCCAACCGAGCAGAGTAATCCTTGAGAATCGTCATCCAAGTAGACATGGCAGCACTGTCAATGATCCTGCACTGTCAATGATCCTGCACCTTCTTAAGCAGGACTAAGCGCGTTAAAAACCCCATACACCAAATGTTCCGCTAAGGCGCTTACCCGGCGTGGGCTGTCCACACGCTGGTATTCTCCGTGTAAGAGAGATGCAGTGGGTGCATATGCGCCCATGCATGCATTTGTCCCAGCACCACCTCAAAGCAATATAAAGAACCCTCCCCAGTCGTGGAAGCGAGCTTGGGTGGCTTTTTCATCTGGTGGGAGGGTATATAAGTGCTGCCTATGATCTCTACGCTTCCCTAGGTCGTTAGAACTCGATTAGTATACTACTCGGCCCACGAACAACAAACAAAGATATAACCACAACTGTAAAGCTGCTTGTCGACTCGACCCTACTCAAAAACTACCTTTGATTCCAAAATGGCAGATGTTCACGAAGAATCGGCGCCTATTATAGCTGATGTTAGTTCCGAACCCCCATACTGCTTGGCAAATCGTTTCTTTGTCAGCTGATCATGATAATACTCAACCTTTCAGGACGATAGTAGTTCTTCCTCTGATGATGGCTACTCATCCGGACCAAACAGCTACACCACCTCCCTAGCCTCGTCCGTATTAAACTACAAATACGAGAATGGCCGCCGCTACCACTCCTTCCGCGACGGTCAATACGTGTAAGTACTCCCCTCCAAGCAAAAAAACACTCAAAACCCAGCACTCATCCACAACCCCGTAGCCTGCCCAACGACGAAACGGAGCAAGACCGCCTAGACCTCTTTCACCACATCTTCTGCATGATTCTCGACGGCGAACTGCAACTGGCCCCAATCGGTGACAATCCCCAGCGTGTCCTCGACATCGGCACCGGCACCGGCATCTGGGCCATGGACTTCGCCGACCGCTACCCCTCGGCCACGGTCATCGCCAACGACCTCAGCCCCATCCAACCCGCCTGGGTGCCCCCAAACTGCCAGTTCGAGATTGACGACGCCGAGAGCGAGTGGTCGTACTCGTCAAAGTTTGACTTTATCCACATCCGCGCGCTCGGCGGCGCAATCACGGACTGGCCGAAGCTCTTCAGGCAGGCGTATAAGCATCTCAACCCCGGCGGGTGGATCGAGGTTGTGGAGCCGCAGCCGAGGCCGTATTGCGACGATGGCACGCTGTCGAAGGACGGGTACATGATCAAAATCTCGGACTTGTTTGCGGAGGCGCTGAATAAGATTGGGAAGATTGGGGATCCGGCGGAAAGGCAGAAGGAGTGGATGGTGGAGGCGGGGTTTGTCAATGCGGCGCATAAGATGAAGAAGTTGCCGAACAATCCGTGGCCGAAGGATCCGAAGTTGAAGGAGTTGGGGGTGTATCATTTACAGAATATGCTTGCGGGGATTGAAGCGTGAGTTTTTTGCCTCTTTTGCTTTCTTGGGGCTATCTGGAAATGCTTTTTGCTGATGGTGTGTGGTGGAAGTTATATGATGGCCCCTCTGACGAGGACAATGGGCCTGTCGACTGAAGACGCCAAGATGATATGTGATGGTGCCTGCAAGGAAGTTGCAAACAGGAAAATACACCTGTATTCGAGAGTGTAAGCTTTTCCCCGGTTTTTGCCCCTCATATACTTGTTGTTTGGTCTCTGACATTCCATTTAGTTGGATTACTACTGCTCAAAAGCCACTTGAGGACGAAGAGTAGCGGTTTTGAGTACTTGGGATGCTTGGGATGCCGGTGGTCCCTTCCGATCTGTATCTATCTAAAATAACATATATGCGGATATGGTGGTGTGTCAATGTGGAGTTCCCCTCTTATCTTGCGTTTTGCAAATATATCGATGTCTTGTAGTAGTAAGTAGCCTTGCTGTATGTAGGTACAGCTCTGCGTGATTGAGCCAGTCGGGAGGTGAGCCAATGTAAAATATTATCACAGCCCAGGCTCGGTGTGTATATACATATGTATTCTTTTGCATACTTCGCGATCGACAACATAACCCAGGCTACAACTTACAACCACTGAAGTACCTGTAACTACCGTAGCACAAAACGAGCTAGTAACCAACTAGTAACACTCAACATGCACGCTAACTACATGTACTCTCAACCCCATGCCCAGCCGCCGGCTAATTCCACATGCAGCCTCCGATTTAGACGCGGTGAGCGTGTAAATGCAAAAAAACTGCCGATAGGTACTCGACTAGCACCTAGTACAAGGTGAATATATGTAGAACACCCAAGCCATGCAACTCCCTTTAGTTGTGGGGGCCGGCCGGAATTTCAAAGTGGGGATGCCGTTGCTGTTGGTTAGGTAAGCAGTGGTCAATGATCGGTTTGCGGGTTATATGGCTCAAGCCCCATACGTCGGGTTGGAGGTTGGTAGAGATGTTGTAGCTGTGATTGGGGAGGATGGAGGTGTGGAGAAGGGGGAAGGGGTGTGTATAAGTCAATATCGTGTAGAGGTGTAGATTTGAGATTGTCACTTCTATTAATGCTAGTATTGCCAAGCTAGCGTAAAACTGCGAGCCTAGCCCAATATTACCCACATAATGACGTGAACGTGGGTTGAATAGTCCATCCCAGCGTTATACAAGCCACACCCTGTACCGGAGCTGCAAGCCGGATGTGGAAAAAGATGTAGCAACATCGGCTCCTAGGTGGAGACTCGTTGACGAACTTTCTTCTCTCTCCTGTGGCTTGTAGTCTTTTTTTTAGTATCCTCCGCGACACCATTCGGGCCCAGTTGTACTTGTCTCATCTTATGGAATGAGGGTATTGGTTTTGTTCTGTTTTGTTTGTTTTGAGGTTTGAGAAAATCGAGTGAGTGGTTGTGAGCCAAGACCCCAACAAAACGCTTTGCACGATGATTTCTTTGATTCTTCTATTCAGATATTATCGGTTTCTTTATCTATCCTCAGCTGTTCAAAGACTACCCGGTAAACGTGTAATAAATGGTTAAAGTTTATATGCTGCCCGGGTGTGGCCAAAAATATGGTGGAAGATTGGGGGGGTAATAGGCCATTTTGCCACTAACACCCACGACACTAGTATATCTTTGCAGATTTAAGTCGGTCTTGAGATAGACTTCAAAACGTCTTGCCTCATGGAGAACACTAAGATTACTCTATCCTTTCTGGCGGAGGCTCGGGGGCGACTGTTACTCACCAACCTGGAATGATATATTCTGTGCGTAAAACTCACTAAGAAATCTACCTCTTGGTACAGTCGGGGTACAGAAGTTTTGGTAACTTTTGGTTGCCGTTGCAACACAAAATTTGCATGGGAACACCATACAAAATTAGAAATACTCAAATCATGACTTTAAAAATTAGATTGCACACGCCTGAAGAATGGACTCAAAATTCTAGAATTCTCTGAACTCCGTCGTGAGATATTTTCCAACTGCCCTTGAAGAGTTGGAATTTTTTTGATGAGGTTGGGTGGTTGTTTCGGGTAGCTAAACATGGCTACTTTGGCTGTAAAATTAAAGGGTATATTACCAAAACTTCTGTCCCAGTACTATACTTTACCTTTAATCAGAAAAGGTCCTGGATCTACGTTTGATTAAAAGGTGGTGATTAGAAATCTGTTCCCTACCATTTCCTATCTCCCGCTCGGGTGGAGAGTCCAGGAGGACCCTTTGATGGCCGGGGAATTAAATAAATATATGGCATCTAACCTGACGAGCAGTCTAGTGAATTACACGCTAGCCCACTTCCAGCATCAGTCAATACCTTTTTAAGAGGCCAGCGCCAAGATGCATGGTAATCCGTAACCCTGTTAATGTCAATATCGAATTCCGCCAAGCTCAATCAGAAACGTATTTAGGGCAGGGCGGGGAACAAAAAGCTTATTTCACTAAGCTTGGCATCTAATCCACAGGAAATCTGGCATACCAGCTCTTCTTCTATTTCTTCACGGTCATCAGCCAACACCAAAGTCCGCTTCTCTAGGTACTGGACGATGACCCTTGGTCATAGAGGCCATACGTGTATTAATGACCTTTATTATTTACTAATGCTAGCGCTATTCACGCGGGTTTATAAGGGGGAGCAAGCACTTGATAAAATACGAAGCTACTGACGCGAATACTTCTGTAATCAAACGTTGTTTTGCCACATATGATAGTAGGTTCCTCTACCTTTCCAATATTAATCTTATGTATATGTACAGGTAAGAACTTTGAGATTTTCCAGGACAAACTAACGGTTACATGTAGTGCTGGCTAACGATAGTCTTTTCAGGTTTGCTTATGTATATGTGAGATTGGGGTCCGGGACATTTGAAAAGTAGTGAGGTGGCCGGCAACCGGCCAGAAGTCGAAAGACCTTCTTACGACATTAAGGATTTCTGGAAGAATTTTCTTGTGGTAGAAAGTTGGTATACAGAAGGATACTAACCACATAATTCGGGATAGAGAGCATCTCCTGGTTTGCCTCCCTATTTGCCCGTCATCTCCCCAAGATTCTCCCACAATCTCAACCAACATCTGTAGGGTACGGCCGGGTGAGACCTTAGGGACGAAATGCAGAGAAATAGGACAAAATTCGAGGGAGCTTTGGAGGTTCTCCTGTATTATTACGGATCCTCTCTTTGAGGGTGTTGTTTCTTTTTAGTATCTACTATCGAGTGCCATGAAATCTCAATGGGACCCCCAGAATGACGACGCACTTCTCGGCCGAGTCTATCCAACTCTAATTCTCTTTCCCATCCATGAGTTGACGAGAATGCAGTGCATTATAGAAACAGGTCGAATCCAGCGTTTGGACCAGTAGAGCGCTGCACCCGTTGTGTAAATCCCAACCAACCCAGTGGTCATAACTATATTATAGCACTGTGTACTCGAAAAAGAGGCCAGTTGTGGGCGGGGGTGTCGATAAAGCTACTAAAATTCTCTGTAGACATGGTGGAGACCTGTTTGTGTGGTCAGTGGACAGGGTCGTAAGGAATACCGTTACTATATACACTTTCTTTTTGCTGAGGGGGCTTAGAGTTATCTGAGAACCAAGTCATAGATCCCTGTATAAGTGATATAGTTAATTATCCCTATCCAATGGCCCATCATGTCATACTGACCTTTTTCGCGGGGTCAAAAAACGCCTTGTGCCATAAACCTCTTATCGACCATTGAGTCTCTCGTCCAAATTTCCTGTGGCGGTTAGTTCCAATAACAATTGGCCATAATCGGCGGGCTATGGGACACTATGGTATAGGTGACGTAGCGGTTTGTCTCTACGATTCTTAATCCATGTGTCAAATATGACTCGTCCCATGTTACCCAAACCGAGATCCTGGGAACTGTCAGCAACGAGTTGACTCAACGGAGGGACTCTACACGAGATACGTTCGAATCCGCTGTATGGCTGTTTGAAGATTTACAACTATATAGGGAACTAACCAGTGATGGTATATTGATATTTGGATTTCTCTAATTCGAGCTCTGTACATCACCATAGGTATTTAGACCTAGAAATCTCAGGAAATTGTATCCCACCGCTTATATAACTTTTAATGGTTTTGAGGGCTTGTATGTGGTATAATCTCTACGCAAATGTGACTTTAAGTAATCACGGGATCTAGGAACGGACATGTATGCCATCTACAAGTTTAGGTTTGTCTTATGTAGATACAACTGTGTTCAGTTCTTAAGTATCGATGGCCTTGGATCTTCCATTCCTATAAACAATTAGAATTTCTATTCTTTCAAGCGCTGCAGCCATACTACTTTGTCGAGTGATAGCCCATGATTGGATGAAACATGTCATCAACCCCCTACACTCATCCTCAGATCACCTCTTTTCAACTACCAATCACTCTTATTGTTGCTTCCCAGTCCTAACCTTTATCTCACCGCGGCATTTGTTTCAATTTTCTCTGATCTTGGCGTTAGGTTACATTCGGGCGTTTCATCCATATACTGCATACACACGGAAGGAACCGGTCCACTAACGAGGTATTCCCACAAACAAATCAATTTCTCTTGAGTGACAGAGTTTTTATCTGAACAGTAACTGACAGAAACGGGAGCATTTGTCGCATAGCTGAGTTCTGACGGATATGGATTAATGCCCATCTCTCGTCCTGCCCTCTCGTTTCCCCTCCTTGCGGGGCCATCTACTCTTATCTATCAACCCTACATTCACTACGCATGGTATCAGGACTCGAGGTCTAAAAGAACTAGACTCAATATGCCAAGGGATTTCATCTCATCCAGAGACACGATGGTCTCGGAGGTTTGAACCGGATACAGTTAGTAAAGCCGCTCGGGTTGATGACAGGTTAAAAATCAAAGTTCCAATTAGGCAGATAGGTAAACTGACTGAGTGAGTTGGTGATTTATGTGCGGGGAGTGAGACGTGGCACAAGGCGTAAAACTAAAGGAACAATTCGTGATGCGAATTAGTAGAGGTCGATATACTTACCCGCCTATGTGCTTCAACGCGGCCTAGGGAGTACAGACGTGCAAGTTTGAACAAACTGAATGGGGGTGCATGATCTGAGGGGAATTGGTAGCCACTCTATACCTTAGCTTTAAGGATTATCGAAACAGGTCATTACGTCTTTTGTGGAGATCATCCATGGTCATAGGGCAATCACTGCATACAGTAATTCAAGCCTGTCTGCAAAGCACGAATTCACAGTCAGAATGTTAACTGCGAATGCCCACTTCGATCTTCAAAGGCCCAGGCCCTGGTCTCACGGCAC